AACGGCCATCTCGACCGACGTGTGCGACCCCGATAAATGTTACAAGGTATATACATCACCCTCTTCCAAGAGAAGCTGCATCCCAGTACGAGGCCTCCAGCCACAGTGATACTGACATCACAAATAGCATACCTGACGGGCAGCGCTGTGGAAGATCTCCCCCGTCATCATCGTCTAAAAACTCTGAAATAACAGCTAGCGCCAACATGTCCACGTTCTGGGTCAAAGACAGAGACACCCCGATCGAATCCCTCCCTACCGACCTTCTTCACGAATCCTATAACGTATTCCGAAAAAAAACGCTCGATAAACGATCGTCTGCCATAACGAGTGACGGAAACCTGGATATGGACGTTCTTTATCAATTCTGGTCTCATTTCTTGGTCCGAAATTTTAATTCAAAAATGTACAATGAATTCAGGAGTTTGGCGTTTCATGATTTGCATGCAAACAATTCTACCACCGGCCTCAACAGCATCATCAAGTTCTATGACGGCGTGCTTGCGAGCAGTCGACCTATGCCTGACACCGTCTCTCTGGACCTTGTCCAGCTGGTAGAATCCGAGCTGGAGGCAGCGAAAAAAGAAAAGCCCGCGTTTCAGAAGCTCCGCTGTGCATGGCGGAATGGTGCGTTCAACCTGAAAAACAGGAAACGGATTGATCGTATCATCAGCGAACGCGTGAGAGCGGAGCTGGAGAAATGATCTAAAATACCTTCCGCTTTTTCCCTCTTGAAAAATTCTTCTCTGTATGTGTGTGTCTGTGTTATTTCAATATTCTTTCCGGTTATCATTGGTGTCGTTTATTTTTCTCCTTCGTTTTTACATCTGCCTCTTGTGTTCGCTTCCTTGTTTTTTCCCCCTTCACTACATGTGCTTTTTTTTTTTCGGATTCCCACATCTGTTCTCTCCCCCAAACAAGATGACCAAATCGACGAAGTTATGTTCAGTGCTGAAAAACTGCCGCTGATCTTTCGACCTCACATTTGCCGGAAAACCTTATCAATTTTATTATCATTCAGGTGTCGTCTTAAGCGATGCTGCTAGATTCCATTTATCTGTTTCCGTCTCCGTTATTTTATTTTATTTTTATTATTATTTGTTTTTTCTTCTCCACATCCCCTTTTCGTATTCGTGACATGGATCCTGCTGATGTGTGTTTTTGCCTTGACATTTTATTTTATTTCAACTAAGTGTTGACACCATTATCCCGATTATCATAGATTTTTTCTTACCTCTGCATGTTCTTATCTTCCCACTTATTTTTTTTTTCAGCTTTTTTTCTTTCTTTCTCTCCTTTTGCTATTGTTTTTGGCTTCCTTTTTCTTGTTTTACCTTTTTCATAAAAGCATTTTCTTCTCTTTTATGTTTTCTCCGTTATAGTTTCTTCTTTCATGTCTGCGAATCTAGCAGGACGGTCGGTTTGAGGTTGGTTTATAATTTTTTTTTTTCCTTTAACAAAAGAGGTGAAATCGAATACAGGGTCCTGCAGGGATCAAAGCACATCATCGGCAGAAGAAAAGGAAAAATCTAGGTTATCTTTTTTTTTTTCTCTCTATCGACTTGACAGTATTTTTTTCTTTTTCTTCTTTTTCTTCTTGTTTTTTTTTAATAACAGCAAATCAGGCGAGCCGGATACGCGGAAGTTCAGGTCAAATTTAACCTGTTTGTGTTATGGGCGAGGAAGGGCACAGAACGAGAGGCCTAATTAAAAGTGGGGTGTGAAGCAAGGGTTGAGTTCAACTGCTGTTCTTTTCTGTGCTTTACTTGCTATATACGTCTACATCCTTCTCTCTGCTCCTCACTCAGCCTTCAGTTCAGCACAAAAAAAGAGAAAAAAAAAATACAAGGAAAAGCAATCAAACTTCTACCTCTGCTATCTGATTTCATTGTTTGCTGCTACTTTACTGCTTCCATTTGCCCCTTCCTCGTATAGTCTGGCTCTCCCATTCTCATTGCTTCTGGTGTTTCATTGCTGCCTCCAAGAAGAAACAAGAAACAAAAACGTTGTTTATTTGCTGTTACCGCTTTTTTATCTGCTTTTTCCTCTTGCATAGCCGGGTTTGTTCTTAGTATTTTTAATATATTTGCTGGCTTATATACTTTCCCCCGCTTTCCCATACAATTCATTATTTGTCTTTTGCAGTTTGCTTTGAGCTCCGAAAATTTCCTACCTTGCGATAAGCGTAGAATTAATCCGGAGTTCGGAGAATATTTCCGAATTGGGCCTGGTCATGGTCCCCGGTTTTCCGCAAGTTTATTCTTTTGCTGTTTGTTCGGTGACCGTCTCCAGCTTTCATTAAGCAAAACTCCACCCTATCCTGCATATAGTCCGCTGAATAGCCTCAGCTGTATCCAGGCAGCATGGAGGCAGCATCACAGCGGGTATTATCTTGCGGCGTGCGGTTGCACCCGTCAAACCAATTAATATCCAGAGTTTCTTCGTCTCCGTCCATTCCCACAGCTGCCGCCCTCTGCTCCATCAGCTCCCTACCTTACTCCTCTCCGCCGTCCTCCCGTAGATCTCGAATGCTAACATGTCTCAACCAAGTCCGACGCTTCGGAAGCACTCCTCGCCGTCTTGCTGGAGAAAACGCCTTTGGCTTCCCCTCCAACGCTCAACAGGGGCCGACATCCTACTTCTCCCACAGACAATCACTACCCATGAACACGGTGGTCAGGTTCGTGCCGCAGCAGACCGCGTGGATTGTGGAGCGCATGGGGAAATTCAATCGGATTTTGGAACCTGGGTTGGCGATCCTGGTTCCGTTTTTGGACCGTATTGCTTACGTCAAGAGCTTGAAGGAGGCTGCGATCGAGATTCCGAGCCAGAATGCGATTACGGCGGATAACGTTACTTTGGAGTTAGATGGTGTATTGTACACGAGGGTGTTTGATGCGTATAAGGCTAGGTGCTTTATTTGTTCCTCCCCCTCCGTTCCTTTACTGCGAGGTGCCTTGCGGATGTGAAGGTGAAGATGAAAAACCCCTGACAATTTTTTTTTTTTTTTTACTCTTTTAGTTACGGAGTCGAAGATGCGGAATACGCCATCTCGCAGCTTGCTCAGACCACGATGCGGTCGGAAATAGGTCAACTTACCCTGGATCATGTGCTGAAGGAGCGCGCAACGCTCAACACGAATATTACGCAGGCCATCAACGAAGCCGCGCAGGATTGGGGTGTTGTCTGTCTGCGGTACGAAATCAGAGATATTCATGCTCCCGAAGGAGTTGTCGCCGCCATGCACCGCCAGGTTACCGCTGAGAGGTCCAAGAGAGCCGAAATCCTGGAGTCTGAGGGACAGAGACAGAGTGCTATTAACATTGCGGAGGGCCGAAAGCAGTCCGTTATCCTTGCCTCTGAGGCTCTCAGAAGCGAGCAGATTAATATGGCAACCGGCGAGGCAGAGGCGATCATGCTCAAGGCCGCTGCAACGGCGAAGGGGATTGATGCCGTAGCTAAAGCCATCCGGGACGGCCAGGAGAACGCCCAGGGTGCTGTGAGCTTAAGTGTTGCGGAGAAGTATGTCGAGGCCTTCTCAAAATTGGCGCGTGAGGGGACCGCTGTTGTTGTCCCTGGGAATGTTGGGGATATTAGTGGTATGATTGCTAGTGCAATGGCTGTCTACGGAAAGGTGAACGAAGGGCAAATTAAGAGTATGGCTGCGAAGGCGATTGGGGCACGGGGCCAAGGGTCGCAAGAGGAGGGCGGAGAAATGGAGGAAGTTTCCAGGACGGAGCCGAAACCTGGAGAACCGACGCAAGGCCACTTTGGAGACACTGCTAATGCTATTACTGAAAAGAAGGGGCATGTTGCTGATAGTGTGCTTGAGGGATTCGAGCAGACTAGTCGACGGAGGATGTCGTGATTTGACTAACTCATACCTCCATTCATACGATCGCTATCTGCTGCTCTCTCGACTTTCATAATCGAATATGCAGAACTATGCGGATTCACCATGGTCGCCTTCTCTCTCTCACCCCACTCCCTTCATTATTTTATTGTTTCATCACCACACATCGAGTATATCTACCCTTTTATTCCTCTTTTTTTAATCTCATTTTCCCGTTTTCAATCGACTATCTATTTCCCATTTTAAGCTCTGAAAAGAAAATTAAAAAGCAACCAGGAAAGTGTATTTTATCTACCCAACTCAGCATTTTGGAGGAGTCATTCAGTTTTGTTCTCAGTCTTTTGTGCATGTTGACTTTTAAAAGGTCATTCGGTCAACTGAAGAACGAGGATGTCAAGAGTGTACTTGTATTCTACATATGTAAATATGCTATCCGGTTGTAACGAATAAAAAATATGGATAAATTAATTTTTACTGCTGAATGTCAAACGACTCGGAGCGGAGATCCACCCATGCATGCATGGTCCAGGCGTGTTCTTCCCCAAACTAAACGCAGCTCAGGCCAACCAACCTTTTCAGTGAAACGGCAGAAAACGCGAAACCAAGCTGGGCAACGCCGCACGCTTATCAACTCCAAGTTCTGGAATCACCACCGCAACCACTCCGCCCACGTTAACACCGGTAACAGCCATCGTCTACACAGGTGGTAGGACCAGCAGCATTGATTGCCCCACCCGACCCCTATCCTACGTTTGTATTCCCGTGGGCCACTTTGGCGATTCATTTGATACATGCTTACAGCCACCGCGACAAGACCCCTAGAACTCGATTCACTTCCACCAAATCTTCCCGATATTGCCATTAGAACCGTGCGATGCTCCATTCCTCTGCACACTATTTTCGATTCGTAACATTTCCCCTCCGTCCCCCTCCGCATCCGCGCCTGCCCAGCAACTAGGAACCATCCAAATCGTAGCAAAGTCACGCATAGGGAGAAGACGACGGCACGAGGCGAAAAAGTAGACGGAGTGCAAGCCGGAGGATAAATAGGAAAGCGCACAGAGGTGGAAAGCCCATAATTGGGGAAGAGAAGGAGAAAGAACTGGGGTTCGGGCATCGACAACGTGAGAGGAAGATCCAAGGGAATATGCATATTATCAAGCCTGTCTGGTTGACGCACGGGGGTATGTGTCCTTTTAGTTACTCAACACTTGCCTATGTGTATCCCGCGCTGGCGGTGGCCATGGGTCATTTAAGTCCTCAATTGCTCAATTGCTGAATTGCTGACTTGATGCCCTTTGTAATTTACTCTTATTTACAGGTGAACGGAAAGATTTCGAAGTCTACAGCTGCGATGTGTCACCGGATGGGAAGAGACTTGTAACGGCTGCTGGAGGTGAGCTTTCGCTTTGGGCATGATACATACTCCTCCCCAACCCGCGTCTTCCGTGGGCATGTCCTGCTCAGCGCGAACGATGTTTCGTGTGGGGATTTACAGTTCCGGGTAATGTTGGGAATTTGATCTCTAACATGTGTGTGGTATAGATGGTCATGTTCGTATTTGGTCAACAGAGGCGATCTACAATGCTGCTGACCCTGCGTTTGCGAACAAGCCACGCCAGCTGGCGTCCATGAGCAATCATTCCGGCACAATCCATGCGGTGCGATTCTCGCCAAATGGCAGATATGTTGCTTCCGGGGCGGATGATAAGATTGTATGTATATATGTGCTGGAATCAAATCCGCCATCACATGCGTCTACTTTCGGTAAGATGTACTCCTATCCGTATCGTAATTGCTTCGACTACTCCCTATATTTGTCTACCGTAATTTCCCTCTTTTCTATTTCTGAACTTTGATGTTAATGCCTTCCTTGCAGGAACAAATGAACCGCCTCCAGTCGAGAACTGGCGAACAATACGCCGATTGATCGGTCACGACAACGATGTCCAGGATCTTGGCTGGTCATGTGATTCTTCTATTCTCGTGTCCGTTGGCTTGGATTCAAAGGTCGTGGTGTGGTCAGGCCATACCTTTGAGAAGCTCAAGACCATCTCCAACCACCAGAGTCACGTCAAGGGCATCACATTTGATCCCGCGAACAAATACTTTGCAACAGCGGGTGATGATAGAACTGTGCGAATATTCCGGTTTACATCGCCAGCTCCAAATTCAACGGCCCACGATCAGATGAACAACTTCGTCCTGGAGCAAACAATATCCGCGCCATTTGTCAACTCACCCCTGACGACGTATTTTCGGAGATGCTCTTGGTCGCCAGATGGTAACCATATTGCTGCTGCCAACGCTGTTAATGGTCCCGTCAGCTCAGTCGCGATCGTTAATCGCGGGTCTTGGGATGGAGATATCAATTTAATCGGCCATGAGGGCCCGGTTGAGGTTTGCGCCTTTTCACCTAGGCTATACGATTCACAACCTGCGAGTAAGGCCCCTGTTGATAAACAGGGACACCCAATACATACCCTGGTTACTGTCATTGCGTGCGCAGGCGCGGATAAATCCCTCAGTATATGGATCACAAGTAACCCGCGGCCTATTGTGGTCACACAAGACCTGGCTGCCAAAGCCATCTCAGACCTGTCTTGGTCGCCGGATGGAAAATGCTTGTTCGTCACTGCTCTGGACGGCACTATCCTATGTGTCCGATTTGAAGAAAACGAACTAGGCAAACCTATGCCTTTCGAAGAAAATGAGAAATCGCTTACAAAGTTCGGCACGAATCGAAGGGGTGCTGGTATTGTCGAGTCTACTAATGGCTTATTACTGGAGGAGAAGAGCAAGGCTGGTGAAATTAAAGGGGTCGAAGGCCGCATGGGCGCTTTGATGGGAGATGGCCATGCCTCCACTGATCCAGGGGTGAATGGGGAGTCTGCCAATCTACCTTCTAATGCCGCGACCCCTGCTGGAGCATCCACACCTATAGGTGGGAGTGCTATTGCTGCCCAGAAAGGTCAGCCTAATGGATCTGTGAACGGGGAGCAAGATAAGCGGGATCCATATGCGGCCAAGCTTGAGAGGCTCAAGCAAAGACCTACCTATACCAAGGATGGGAAAAAACGCATTCAACCTCTCCTTGTCTCAGGTGCAGGTGGTGCGGAATCGTCCCTCCCCCAATCACGGTTAGTGGCTGCGTCGATGAGCAATGCTGGGAGACCTGACGGGCCGGATTCAATTTTGGATCTCTCCAAGCCATTTGACGGTCTTCCCAAAGGTGGGCTGGCGGCACTGCTCTTCGGCAATAAGCGCAAGTTTGCACAGATCGAGGGGGCTGATGAGGAGGGGTCCATTGAGAAGCGAGTTGCATTGACCTCGGAAAATGGGTCTGTACCCATCCTGGCTAATGCTATCGAGGGTCTGCGACCTGCACAGCCTGGAGATGCCCAAGGAGGCCCTCGACCAATACCAGAGTTTATCAGACCCGCTGTAGTTAATCCCTGCATGGCTGTTAGCCAGCTACGACTAGCGGTACCGAAGATCAGGAGCCATATTTTACAAGCGATAGATTCGTCAGGAAACCCTACCAATCCGGCTGATACTGCGGCAGCAGCAGCGGCGGGATCAAACTCGGGGCCCCTTCCAAGGGCGAAAGTAGATATACTTTTCGAAGCTCGCAACCCCCCCGCTTCTTCCGGTCGTCATATTGATAGGGAACCGGTACGAATCACCCTCACGCGCGGAGATCAACCATTGTGGCAGGATTTCATTCCCAAAACAGTGCTTCTCGTCACAGGAAACCGCAAACTGTGGGCTGCAGCATCGGAGGATGGCTCCGTTTATATTTGGACGCCAGCGGGACGTCGGCTTCTCAACGCTCTTGTCTTGGAGGCTCAGCCTGTGATTCTGGAATGTAATGGTCCATGGGTCCTCTGTATAAATGCTGTTGGGATGTGCTATGTGTGGAACGTAACGACACTTTCATCTCCTCACCCTCCCATATCCCTCGCTCCAATCCTGGACGCAGCAGTGCATACTCTAGCCCCAAATGCCACCGCTGCTCCCGCAATTAACGCGGCTCGATTAAACTCTGAGGGTCGCGTAATCGTCACGCTCTCCAACGGGGACGGCTACAGCTACTCCCCCACCCTATATACCTGGCAAAGGATGTCCGAGGGCTGGTGGGCTGTTGGTAGCCAATACTGGAACACAAAATACTCGACCGTCGGGGACCTGCAGGCCATCACCACCTCTTCCCAATCTGCTGCCGGGGCGGCTCCGGGTAGCCGGCAGGATGGTGAAACGCGAACGGCAGTGTCGGCAGGGGTCATACCTTTCCTCGAGCGTAACACCACAGACGAGACACTCGTGCGAGGTCGTGGGTTCTTCCTGCAACGCCTGATCAAGGTTCTTCTCTCCCGCGAGGGATTCGAGGGCTTCGAGGCCGGTGTCTCTGTCGCCCACCTGGAAAACCGTGTCGCCGCTGCTCTAGCTCTTGGCGCAAAGGAGGAATTCCGCCTTTATCTTTCTATGTATGCAAAGCGGCTCGGAGCTGAGGGCGCCAAGATGAAAGCGGAGGAGTTACTTGAGGGGCTTCTTGGGGGGATTTTTGAGGATGGTGGAGACGAAGTTGATGGGGATCTTGCTACCAAGGGAATAGAGGGAACGGCGAAGTCTAAGAAGTTATCAGTAGCTCAGGGCGGCAGCGCAGAATCCGGACCTGGTACCTGGAATAACGGTTCGGATAAACTTTGTGGATGGCCGAGGAGGACGCTGTTGAACGAGGTAGTCTTAGCTTTAGGTGGGCTTTCCCCCCCCTTAATTTGCTGTCCAACATTCTCATTCTTTAAATTCTTATTAACTCTGCCATAGGTAAGCATCGAGACCTCCAACGGGTCACTGTTCCTTACGCCCAACTTCTCGGAATTTTAGATGGCGATCAGCAGGATCAAGCCCGAGATCAAGGTCAGAATCAAGATCATGGGGAAGATGCTATGGTCACATGACATATTCGTTTGCTCGAGTAGCTTTCCCTTTCCGCTTCCTCCTTTGTCCATTTGTATTTTATATTTACTGTTGATGATACCGGCGTTTCTTTACCATTTGGGCGGTGATTCCGTTTTGTGGGAATGGTGGTATGTTTGCTGTTGCCCTTTTTCTTTCCCTGGTTCCTGAATTCGATGGTGTTTGTCTTGATAATACTTTTCCCATTTTTATTTCTACTGCGCAGATCTGTTTGACGAGAATTGAAATGGGAAAGGGAAGAGTATTCTCACAATATATGCGCGCTGTTGATTTTTTTTTTTTTTTTTTTTTTTTTTCATTTGGGATTTTCCCCACCCTCAAAGTGTACCATATATATATATATTATATATATTCCTCTTCTTTATTTGAAAAGAGCAAAAGGTCACTTTGTTGTTGCTACGTGGTTCGGTTTTCGGAAGTTTTATTTCCCACAAACCACCATCCCTTAGCGGCTTGTTCTTGACATATTTTAAATCCTCATACAATTTCCTCACTATACTCAATCGTATCATTCTTCTGGTATCTATCCTCTATTTGCTTGCTGAGTCATTTTTCGTCTTCAGAAACGCTAGAGTTAATCTTTCACAGGCCGCGCCGCATTTGGTCGAGAGCAAGTCCGTAATTTTTTGCAAGAAACCCTGTGGTCAGGGGAAATCAGTCTTGCGCTGCCCAGGCCCCCTCACTCAAATCCTTTAAAACGCAATAATAATTAATTACAAAATTTGGACCCTGATTTCCTTATTAAAATATGTACCTGTATGGTAACAACCATATAAAAACAAGAGAACAATAACAAGCAAACTCATCCATCTGCTATATCGCCCTTTATCCTTCAATTACTAGTAGTCTTCTCAACTTGCTGCAATCCAATCCTTTTGATGAAACTCCTCATTCCTTTCCTTCCAACATGGTTGCCCTATATGCCATATCATCATGTAACCAGATCAAGTTGTGTTTGAAGACTCATCCCTGCGGGGTATATTTATGCTCTCTATAGTTGGCATCATCCATTATTTCACATAGAATACTAGTACTTTTTCAACATTTATACTAGAATATGTAGATGTAGGGTTTTCACCATCCTTCTATCTGTATCATGATTGGTGTTGCCATTGTAGTCACCAATGCTTGTAGAGTGTGCGTTCAGTGATTCATTTCGAGGGGCCTCCGCTTCGGGAAAAATGGTGATGGAATCGGCTGTTCCGTATCGGGACTAGCGCATCCTCTCCCTTCAACACTGGTGACTTTGAATATAAATACGGCTGTTTTCTCTTCCATCCCACATTCTCACTCATCATCGCTCATGGCCGCCCCAACTCGAGCGTCCAGATCAATGTTTTGTTTTATCACTTGAATTCTACACACCATGCTTGAACCAAACCCACTTCCTCTGTCTTCCCCACCCTCTCCACCTCACATTCCACCATTCTACTGCCCTCTGGTTTTTCCCCCTAAGGGGCCGCCTTCCATCTGTGTTCATTTCTCACTTTTTTCCCATGCGAACCGGTTGCCTTGAGCAGTGGGATTGTGTCACCACTTTGTTCCAGATTACATGGCAATTACCAAATCAGCTCAAGCTGCCCTTGCATCATGCACTTTTGATTGATTGATCCATAAAGCTCTTCCTCTCACCCTTTCATGCCTCCTCTCTGTTCATACCCCCTCGAAATTAATTACTCGCTAATACAACAGCAAGCATCAGCAACCTGCCTTGGCTGAAGAACTGTCCATGAGGGTGGAGTTCAGAGACCAACTCAGGGAGCAGCCAGGGATCGTACTCAAAGAGCATCAGAAACTCATTTGGGTTTTGAGGGAGAGGTGATTGACACAGAGTATGGCATCCATGTGATGTGATTCTACCTTTCCAGTGATCCCAAGACTTGTGTGAATGGGTTAGACCAATAGCAAAAATGCCACAATGCAAATCTGGGCAATTTCATATGGCTCTTGCAAGGCTGATTTGGGGACTGAATTATGCCTCATGCTGTTTCAAGGCACAGACAGGGAATGTTGGCAGACAGGGGTTGTCTCCATACATCTGAAAAGCAGGTTTACCCTGTGGAATCTAATGAATCAAGGGTTAGACTCTCTTGCTGTCTTTTCCACAGTGATTTGGAGATCAGCCAGCCACACTGGAATTCCCATACTGTTTACAACCTGTGGAGGCAGTGCATGCGCTCACGGGACACCCATCGATCTATCATCCAGAGAATACAGGGGGAGAGCCTTGGGCCTCTTCCCCACTGGCCTGGCCAAATTCGAAATACAAAACAATGAAGGGAAGGCCACACCGTGGTTCATCAATCTCCACAGGAAGTGCGCTTCTGAGAGGGTAAACCCCATGAGGAACAAGGCCCTTTGGACATTACGGTTCCTAGATGGCTTACAATTAAAAGTTCAGACACTCCTCGTTTTCTAACCCATGGTCGCCCAGAAGGCCTTTTCTGAGTACCTTTTTGAAATCTGTCTCCCGTTATCGGTGGCCAAGTCTCTGAGAATGGATAACTTCCGCAACTTCGACCCCCAGCAAATCGCAAGCAGGATCGCTGCGAAAGAGCAACAGTCCCTCAAAACCGCAACACAGATCAAGGAAATGCCCGCGTGGGCAGTGGTTGGCGGCTAGCGGTCCATGGACCCGCAAGGCCCAAGGTCATCGGACACTGGGGATCGTGCCTCGGACTCTTTGCTTCTGACCTCCACCTTTGATCCTGACTGGGCCTTGGACACTGGTTTCGACCCCGTTCCGGACAGGGGACCACGCTGCTTATAAAACGGCCCCAGCTGACTTCGTACAATTGTCGACTTTGAGATGATCCCGAATGGGCCCTTGAGCGCTGGAAAGGGGCTGTCTATGGTCGTTAAATAACTGTGGCCGTTTTTAAACGGAGATAGTTTTTTAACCAAGATCGTTTTCTAACTGATATCGTTTTTTAACTGTGGCTGGGAGCCAATTTGGGCGCCGGGCGCCCAATAATTAGACTCTTCTCAGCGCTCAAAGGACCCATTTAGACATCCCATCTCCATTATAAAATGGCCGCCAATTTAACTCAAGTGAAGCCCTTTTAGGCGCTCATGGGAGCCTATTTGGGGCCTCCTATGGCCGTCTTATGACTGTGGCCGTCATAAAACAGCCACTCCAGTTACGACTGTTGTAGTCATTGTCAGAGAATGCCAGAAATGGAATGCAGGATACTGTAATCTTGCTACTGTAGATATCAAGTCTCCGGCTACAGTATGGGGGTATTGTAGGAAGATATGTTTAAAAAGCAACTACAAAGCTTTCCATTCAGCAGTGTGGCAACAAATACCTGAGGCTAATTCCTCGTCAAAGCACCCTCAGATAATCGAATTCCATGCTTTACAATTCTTAGTTCTCTTGACAAAAAGACTAATAAAATACTAGTTTATGTCTGGCTAAGCCTGTAAATTATTATTTACTTCTTTCGGTACCGAAAGTTCGTTCGAATACAGAAAACACTCGAAAATTCGACATAAATGGGCCGCGAGAGTCTGACTGGCAGCTTTGGAAAAAATTGCTTCACAGCAGCAAAACCCACAACCCTGCCTTGGAGCTGTCAGCCCGATAGGTACTCTTTTTTTCTAACTGGAGTCTATTCTTTTGTAGCTCACACACTCAGCTTCCACAGCATAGCCACCGAAAATATTAGCCTTCAATTTGCGCAAGGGAGAAAAAAAAAAAAAACCCCTTAAGTTTACATACATCAGTTGCTGTGTCTTCATCCAGGCAATTGATGTTATTATTCTAAAATGAAATTTTGTCTGTCATCTCGTAAGACAGCCAGCAGGCTTCGAGCACCACCTGATCTGACTTGCCCCTCTTTCCCTTCAGGCGGGGCCATTCTCACTTACGACGCATCGAGACACACCGCCCAGCCAGAAGAAGCTTGAAATCAATATTGAATGCACCTCAGAGAGTGAGAAAGCTTTGGCTCCACTGGCGACTCAATGAATGGATCTAAGCAGCAAGACTCGGGTTCAGCGGGCTCCTACACAGTAGCATGGATCTGCGCCCTCGAAGAAGAGTATTTCTGTGCATGCCGTATGCTCGACGAAGAATTCGATGGTCCGGAGATATGCGGAGACAACGACGATAATACTTATGTCTACGGTCGTATTGCGAAGCATTATGTGGTGGTTGGGTGTCTTCCAGCTGGTCGGTATGGCACCAATTCCGCTGCTCGTGTTGCCCGTGATATGATCCGAACCTTTCCACATGTGCGGTTCGCATTGATGGTGGGCATTGGGGGTGGTGCGCCGAGCAGCCGAAATGACATCCGGCTGGGTGATGTTGTCGTCAGTCAACCAAAAGATGGGTTTGGCGGGGTAATTCAATATGACCTGGGCAAAATGAAAGATGGTCGGTTTCAGAGGACAGGTCAACTAAATGCGCCGCCTGAAAAACTTCTAGGAGTCATACCTGAGATGCGCCGATTGTACAGCGATAAAAGGAAGCCAGATAGACTAACGGAGCATCTTCAGCTTCTGGATGACATGGAAGATTATCAAAAGCCAACTGTCGACCTGCTCTATGCTTCTGACTATCCACATTTAGGTGGACAAAATTGTGATGCATGTGGCTCGCACTTGGTCACGAACCGCCCGGAACGCCAGAACAACCGTGCACTTAAAATTCACTATGGAACTATCGCGTCGGGAAATTCTGTACTCAAGGATGCCAAGGTGCGGGATACATATACGGGAGATCAAGAGCTGAACATTCTTTGCTTTGAGACGGAAGCTGCGGGTCTCATGAACAATGTCCCATGCCTGGTTATTCGCGGAATCTGCGATTATTGTGACTCCCATAAGAACGATGACTGGCACAAATATGCTGCACTTGCTGCTGCTGCTTATGCGCGAGAGCTGCTGCTGGTTCTACGGCCGCAACGTGTGGATGCCATGCCTCTCTGGGCTGGGCGAGTGGCTCAAGAACTTCAACAAGGTTAGTTCTGATTTTGAATCAATTTTTCTCTGTGATATAAATGTCCTCATATAGCTCTTTATTAATATTTCATTTTCACTCCAGGCAGTTTGCTAACAGCGTCTAGTTGTAACAACTGTTGAATCGATGGATGAAAAAATTACTTGGGGCAAACTGTCATCTGTTCAAGAAGCAGCGTTTGACTCTTTTGCAAGCCAATATGAAGATGGATGTCTTCCAGGCACTAGAACTGAGCTTCTTAACGAAGTTGCAAAATGGGCTATGTCGCCACACGGAAAGTGCATATTATGGTTAAAAGGAATGGCTGGAACAGGGAAATCAACCATATCTCGCACTGTGGCAAGAATGTTAAAGAAAAACTTAGGAGCAAGTTATTTCTTTAAGAGAGGTGAAGGAGACCGAGGAAACGCAAAGAAATTTTTCCCGACACTAACAAGGCAACTGACGCTCTGGAGCTCCCACCTAAGATCTAGTGTGCAAAAGGCCCTCGATTGTGACCCTGATATTGCATCGAAATCACTCAGGGAACAGTTTGAGAAGCTACTCCTCCAACCACTGCTCAATCTTGACCAACTAAGTCTACAGCCCCAAACTGCTGTGATAGTGATCGACGCTTTGGACGAATGTGAACATGATCAGGATGTCCGAAACATAATCCGACTACTGCCTCTTCTCCAGAAGGCAAAATCGATTTGCCTTCGGATCTTCTTGACCAGCAGGCCTGAACTCCCAATTAGCCTTGGATTTGCCGGTATCGGGGATAATGAATATCAAAACCTAGCCCTTCATGAGATACCTGAAGAAGTAACACGATGCGATATACGATTATTCCTACAAGCTCGATTTGAACAAATCAGACATGACAGAAATATTTCTCAAGACTGGCCTGGCGATGATGTCATTCAAGAACTGGTTACAATATCTGCGCCACTCTTTATCTCAGCTGCCACTGTGTGCCGTTACATCGAAAACCTGAAATGGGAACCTAAATTGCGCCTCGTGGAGCTTCTGAAGGACCAGGCAAAATATGTATCAAGAATGGATAAGACATACCTGCCAATTTTAACGCGACTTCTTGATGATCCAGAAAGTGATGAACTGGAGCAGCAGCAGCTCCTGCAAGAATTCCAGGACATTGTGGGTGTCATTATCCTTCTTGAAGTTCCACTTTCTATAAATGCACTGTCGCTATTTCTTGGGATAGGAGCGGACCAGATCAGCAATCGATTGGATTTATTCCAATCAGTTTTAAGAGTTCCTAGTAACCGAGATCAGCCTGTTAGAATTCTACATCTATCGTTTCGGGACTTTTTGGTCCAGTCTAGAACCGAGTTTTTTATCGATGAGCTTAAAAAGCATAAAGATATTGCTAAATCTTGCCTTAAAATTATGCAGAGTTATCTACAGAAAGACATTTGCAATCTAGCAAGCCCTGGAACAATTAGAGCAGACATTAGCCCTCAAGATATTCATCAGTATCTACCACCGGGGTTACAATACTCTTGTCGCTACTGGGTACACCATCTTAAATCGGGCCAGGCTTTGTTTTCCGAAATAGAAAATGTGCGACTATTCCTCCAGAAACATTTTCTACACTGGGTAGAAGCAATGAGCCTGTTAAGCCTTATATCGGAGGTAGTGGGTATGCTTGACCTCCTCTACACGGAGGTACCAGTGAGTAATATGGTAGATAGCCATTCGTGGTTTATACTAATGGATGTAGGGCGATGATAATTCCGGATTAGCTAACTTCCTACATGATGCAAAGCGCTTTGTTCTAAAAAATCGCCAGATAGCCGATCAAGCACCACTTCAGATTTATTACGCAGGATTAATATTCGCACCTCAAACAACAATAATCCGTACAGAGTTCAAGCAGGACCTTCCTAGTCGGATATGCCAGTTCCCACAAGTTAACGAAAAGTGGAGTGCCGAATTACAGACTCTAGAGGGCCATTCAAACTCGGTTTGGTCAGTGGCATTCTCACCCAATGGCCGGCTGTTGGCATCCGGCTCTTCTGATAACACAATCTGGCTCTGGGATCCAGCAACAGGTGCCCTGGAACATACACTTGAGGGCCATTCAGGTCCAGTTCTTTCTGTGGCCTTCTCATCTGATGGACAGCTGCTGGCATCTGGCTCTTCTGATAACACAATCCAGCTCTGGGATCCAGCAACAGGTGTTCTGAAACATATACTTGAGGGTCATTCAAACTTAGTTTCTTCAGTGGCCTTCTCACCTGATGGCCAGCTGCTGGCATCTGGCTCTTTTGATAACACAATTCAGCTCTGGAATCCAGCAACAGGTGCTCTGAAACATATACTTGAGGGTCATTCAGATTCAGTTCTTTCTGTGGCCTTCTCATCTAATGAACAGCTGCTGGCATCTGGCTCTTCTGATAACACAATCCAGCTCTGGGATCCAGCAACAGGTGCTCTGAAACATACACTTGAGGGTCATACAGGTTCAGTTCGGTCTGTGGCCTTTTCATCTGATGGGCAGCTGTTGGCATCTGGCTCTTCTGATAACACAATTCAGCTCTGGGATCCAGCAACAGGTGTTCTGAAACATATACTTGGGGGTCATTCAGAGACAGTTTGGTCTGTGGCCTTCTCATCTGATGAACAGCTGCTGGCATCTGGCTCTTCTGATAACACAATTCAGCTCTGGGATCCAGCAACAGGTGTTCTGAAACATATACTTGAGGGTCATTCAGACTTAGTTTCTTCAGTGGCCTTCTCACCTGATGGCCAGCTGCTGGTATCTGGCTCTTTTGATAAGACTGTTCGGTTCTGGGACCCAGCAACAGACACCCTGAAACATACACTTGAGGATCATTTAGACAAGCTTTATTTAGTGGTCTTCTCATCTGATGGCCAGCTGCTGGCATCTTGCTCTTCTGATAACACAATCCGGCTCTGGAACTCAGTGACAGGTGCTCTGAAACATACAATTAGAGGTCATTCAGATGTAGTTCAGTCAGTGGCTTTCTCACCTGATGGTCAGCTGCTGGCATCTGGCTCTTTTGATAAGACCGCCCGGCTCTGGAACCTAGCAATGGGCACTCTGAAACATACACTTGAGGGTCATTCAGACGGGGTTTATTCGGTGGCCTTCTCACCTAATAGCCAGCTGCTGGCATCTGGCTCTGATAAGACCGTCCGGCTCTGGAACCCGGCGACAGGCGCCCTACAAGAAACCCTGAGCACTGAGGGAATTGTTTCGAGACTCGAGTTTTCTCAAGATAGTTTGTATCTCAACACCAATCTAGGACCATTCAAGATTCAATCCGGGCGCGGCAATCCTATCTACAATTCACCGAGTACAAATCCGGAGATATTTATACAGCGTGATAACTGGATAACTTTGAACGGGGAACGAGTATTATGGCTTCCTCCTGAAGCTAGACCTCGTTGTTCGGCGATAAAATCACATAAACTTGCCTTGGGATATGTGTCAGGTCGAGTTTCCTTCATAGGGTTTCGGGCATCATAGATATTATTAATTTTTGTTTTCTTCCTCTATATTTTAATCTTTTTGCAGAAGGAGGACCTGGAAGAGGAACTGGATTTATTCAGACTTCTTTCTTTCCTAGAACATGCGACATGCTGCTTCTAATATGGTGGCGAATCTATGGTTCTTGTCGCCACGTATCTATCCCGCTGAATATGTATGTAAAGCACATTTTGAAAAATCGTAATATTTAAGATTTAATCATCAAGTTATTCTACACGGAGTACTATGGTTCTACTCGTCAAGGGCTTTTTCCAGACCCCCTGAGGTCTAGCGTTTTGGTGATAGGGTTCTATATTAACGGAAAAGTGTAAATTAGTGATGTTAGTTTTGCACTACTGAGTACCCAGAAAGAGCTTGATGACTTTGGCACCCAGGTGTTTGCAAGGTCGTCAGCGTGGGACGTCTAAGTGGTTGTATTAGCATGTAGGCAGCTGAGCCTAGGACTATATCTTGATACAGCTTTGTTACAGCACACTTTGGCAGAGGTGAATTATTTTACCGCACAGCACCATCGGTGAACAAAGTTTAAATCAGTTGTAACTCCATGTAGGTTAGTACAGTACATGCATTAGAGTCTTGACAATTAGGGCTTGTATACATCGATAGACGCGACTAGTTGAAGCCGACACCACACGAAGAACGGTTGATCCAGAGGACCCGAGAGGACGCCTGGATGGGAGAATCGAACGGAGAAGCGGCCGATGTTCGAGTGTTGGCCGCGGTAACGCGGTCCATGGCGAGGAAAGTGGAGAATTCAGGGGTAGTGGAGCAAAACTCCTTGAAGAAAACGAACGCACACGCGACAGCCCGACTGACAGACATAGAATTCATTGGGGAGAAAGGGGGAGCCCCCGGCAAACTCGACGAGGTTGCGTGGCTGATCAACAAACTGAGGGAAACAGTTACCCAAAATATACTGCAAAGAACTGAAGGCAGGCCAGCAGGCCCTCCATTCTGAGAACAAAGTCCTACTCGAGGAAATTCATTCCCTGTGTGGAGGACTTAACGGCCGCTCGAACCTGCTTCCACCAACTGGGTCATGGGCAACAATAGTGACAGGCCCCTGGACTCAAGATCCAGAAGCACCAGGACGACAACCGAAAGACGACTTAACCTGTGTCCGAATCAGCTCGCGACCCACGGCGGAAGACAACAACGATAAGGATGGCGGTTTCGCAAGGTACCTCACGACTGAGGCAGCTAACAATCATATTAGAAGCATCTTCCTGAGCGTAGAATCAACCAAAGATGTACAGTGCAAGTGGCTGGAATCGGAACAACTAAAACGGGTTACGTGATCAGATTCAAAGACACCCAGCCCAGAGCAGCACCGAACTTGGCAACGACACCAAGCTGGTGAAACCGAGATTTGGAATTGTGGTGCATCGCACTCCGACAGAGGAATTCAACCCGGAAGACGAGAAACAGCAAGGAATCTCTAAAATTATGGAGGACAATGATCTGTCCGCAAGAGGGTGCCGAATTGAAGATATCACATGGCTCAAACAGAAGAACCTTGGAACAAACCACTGGGCAAGCATGGCTCCCTCGGGGTCTGGTGCGATACTCAAGAAGCAGCGGAATGGGTAATCAATAACAGCCTGCTTCTCGGGCAGAAACACATATGGAGCGTTGAAGCGTACCAGATTAAGAGGAAGAGATGCCATCGATGCCAGCGGTTTGGCCATCTCGCGTGGTCGTGGAAGAAAGGTGCGAGATGCGGAAACTTCGCGGAGGTTCATGAGAAGCGGAACTGTCCCCCGGGCGTTAGAGCAAGATGCCTGGATTGCAGCGGAGATCACCCCACCGGAGATAAGACTTGTGGAAGCCCCGACATGCATTCCCCGCAATGACAGAACCAAACCTCCGTCTACTACAGTTGAACATATATAGATCACGACCAGGCATGGAGACCCTGATCAATGACCCAAGAACACGCAGCCTCGACATCCTTCTGATCCAAGAGCCCCCGCTGTCAGCATACAAGACGCACGTCAACCATCTGTATCAACCAACCCCCAAGGAAGAGGAGACACGGAAGCGGAGCCTGATTTATGTCAATAAAAGAATCTCAGCATCGTCACACCGACAGGTCAACCGCGGCCACCCTGACATCACGGCAGTCCGAATGTGGACAATCACAGCCCAATTCCTGATTTTCTCGGTATACATTCCACCAGATGGCATCTACCGGACCCCGGGCGAAACTTCTATCCAACCGGTGGCGGACAAGATCCAATCAACCATTCGCCGGGTAAAACAAGCCTCAGATAAGCCGACGACGATCATCATGTCCGGTGACTTTAACCGCCATCACTCGGCCTGGAGCAATCGACAAGTCCACCATAGACTTATTGAGCAAGCAGAGGAATTGGTCCGGTTCTTCCAGGCACATCGGTTCCAGTGGTGTCTCCCACGGGTTATACCAACCTACTGGTCCCTAAACCAACCAGGGAAAACTTCCACTATCGACTTGACGGTGACAGATCGTCGAGAAAGACTCATCAAGTGCCACCTGTACCACGATAATTACGGGTCAGACCATCGGGCCACATTCTCGGAGTGGTCCCTCAAACCAGACCGCGTGACCGACCGAAAACCCCGGAGGGCATATGAGCGGGCTGCTGGGAGAAGATCGGACGGTCAGTGCAGGAGCTCTAGAACCACTTCCCGTAGCCCGAACCCAAGAGAACCTGGAACAAGCAGTCGAACAGTTGGTGACCTCGACCGTACACGCGCTCGAACGACATGTACCTGGGGCAAACCCATCCCAGTACTCCAAACGGTGGTTCGGTCCTGAACTGAAGACCCAGCAGCGCGAGGTGAATCAGTCACGCCGCAAATGGCAAGAGAGCTGTGCCACCAGGGGCTCTCACCACCCACAAACCATGGTCTTATTTTCAGAGATGCGCATAAAACGCCGGGCCTGGACCAGAATGATAGAAAAAGCCAAAGCGAAGCATTGGAAAGAGTTTCTAGACGGGGCGGGCGAAGGACACTTGTGGAAAGCAGCTTCATACATGACCCCCCAAGAGTCATACGAGAATATACCGCCTCTAATGGTGGACACCGAGGAGGTATCAGACAACCAAGGAAAGGCAAAGCTCCCCATGGAGACCATTTTCCCCGAAGGGCGGACCCAGTTGAAGAAGAAATCACAGTCCAACTTTAGGAATTGCCCTGAGAACCTATCACAGAACAAGAGGTTTACAAAGCCCTCAAAGCAGTAAAAGGAAAACTGCTCCCGAAGAAGATGGCATACCAACCCTGGTATGGAAGCATCTATGGCAATACATCAGCAAGACAGTCACGGACATCTTCACTGCGTCAATTAAACTGGGTTACTACCCAAGGCGATGGAAGTAAGCAAGGATTGTGGTCTTACGGAAGCCGGGCAAATCAGACTCTTCAGTGCCTGGAGCGTAGCAACTTATCTCACTCCTGAACACCCTTAGAAAACTTCTTGAGACCGTGATGGCCAGACGCCTATCGTGCTATGCCGAAACTCACGGGTTACTCCCGGACACATAATTTGGAGGTCGGCCTGGTCGGAACACCGAACAGACGTTGTTGGTGTTGGCCAACGCTATCGATCGGGCATGGCTGAAAAGGAAAGTCGTCACGCTGGTAGCATTCGACCTGAAGGGAGCCTTTAATGGAGTTAACAAGGTGACTCTGGATGCGCGGCTGGAGGCCAAAGGAATCCCCACCATAGCTTGAAAATGATTCAGAGCTTCATGGAGGGCCGACAAGCGAGCATCATGTTTGATGACTTTGAATCGACCAGGGAGCCTCTTGAGAACGCCGGCCTAGCACAGGGTTCACCACTCTCACCAATTCTCTTTGCATTCTTTTACGCGGATCTCGTGGATCAACCGGTCGACTATCAGGGCGGCGCATCGGCCTACATTGATGACTACTTTCGGTGGCGGATCGGGAAATCAGCAGAAGAGAACATCAAGAAGATCCAGGAGGAAGACATTCCACGAATCGAGGAATGGGCTCGACGAACTGGCTCCCGTTTTGCAGCAGAGAAAACCGAGCTAATCCACATCACGCGGCGGAAAAGTGAACACGGCAAAGGACGACTTGTGATGGACAACACAGCCATTGAACCATCTTCTGCAACGAATCTTCTTGGGGTGGTGTTTGACAAGGAATTGCGTTGGAAGGACCACGTACAACAAGCAGTCCGATGAGCCACCAAGGTGAACATCACCATGGGCAGCATGAGACACCTCCGACCAGCCCAGATGAGACAGCTCTGCCAGGCCTGCGTCTCTCCTATCATAGACTTCGCATCCACGGTTTGGCATAACCCGCTGAAGGACAAGACTCACCTGAGAACACTCGACACGGTGCAGCGAACCGCTCTGAGCCGGATCCTCTCAGCTTTTATGACAGTCGCGACACATGCCCTAGAAGTGGAAGCGTACATACTTCCAACGCGCCTCCGGCTTAAACAGCGAGCACGGAGGGTTGTTGCCCGCCTGTGCACACTCCCCCGCAACCATTCAATACAGGACGCACTGACTCGAAGCCAAAGACGCAGCCGCAATGCTGGTCATAACCCTCGACTACCCCTAGCAGAGATAATGAAGACCATGGATCCAGGTCGACTTGAAAGGCGGGAGGTGATTGACACAAGTCCACCCCACCATGGGATCCGCCCGTGTTTAAGAGATCGACATTGAGACCGACCGGGAAAAGGCAATCGAGAAGCCCTGACACTCAGGGCAGGCGCGGGTGGTGCTATATACTCAGACGCATCAGCAAGGGAAGACCAGGTTGGTGCAGCCGCAGTCAGCTTGGACGGCCACGGGAATATCAAGGAATCGCGCAAGGTCTGTGTTAGGTTGACCAGCCACTAGTCGATCCATACTGCTGAGCTGATCGGAATTCATCAGGCTACTAAATTGATTACATCAAGAGACAGCTGTGACCCACCTTCTAGGGTAGTGTCCATCCTCAGTTACAGCAAATCCGCGTTGCAGGCCCAAGCCAAACCAGGCAACAAATCGGGTCAACAGATTGTACACGCCATTCTCAGAGTAGTCAAGGACTTAGAGTCACAAAATATTCATGTTCGCCTGCAGTGTGCTCCTGGCCACTGCAACAACCCCGGAAATGATACGGCAGATCTCCTAGTCAAAGAAGCAGCCGGCCCACAGCCTTCACATAAGTTCCGGTACCTACTCACGCAGGAAACAGGGCTCATTCGCAACAGAATCCTCTCAGAATGGGAGGATGAATGGAAAGGGTCAAACAAAGGCGGAAATCTCCGACAGCTCGACGCCGCGCTGCCCTCAACACATACCAGACGCCTCTACGACTCTCTGCCACGGAATCGGGCCTACCTACTGAGCCAACTACGGACGGGCCACTCATGGCTAGCCTTGCACGGTAAACTACGCCGACTTCGTGAAGATGATAAGTGTGAGTGCGGTGCGAAGGAAACAGTTCTCCATGTCTTGATTGACTGTCCGAAACTCGGCAATACGGCAAAAACTACGAGCAGATATCGGGAATGTGTTTAATAATACATAACTGATGGTAGGAGGAAGAGACGGACCGGGACCGATGGGGGTGGGCAACTCTGCCCATGTTAGTACTTTCAACGCAGTGTTGGACGTCGCAGAAGCATCTTTAAGATTTCAAAGCCGCGCGGTGGGAAGCACGCAAAACAGGGGCGTAACAGGGGCGTAACACACGGCGGACAGCAAAGGCCTTAAAGACGAGGCTCTAAATTCGTCTGCATGAAGTGGATCAATGTATATCAAAACTTGAGGATAGCTATAGTTGCGATAGCCTGCATATCCCCCAAGGTGAGAGGTTAGGGTAAATGAAATCCACCACGACCGCCACCGCCACGGCTACTACTGTATACATCATGCCACCCTGCTTTCAGAACACGACCAATGTGTTCTAATATATTGTTTCCATCTTGACAGTCAACTGGCTGGGTGTTGACCTGATGTGTACAGTGGTACCGTTACAAAGTTTCCCGAGCATTTCTGGATCACTCCATAGCCATGGAATCAGCAAAAATGGTTATGGGTTGGATGCAAGGAACTCTTGGCATTCATGTTGCTTGCAGTATCTCCGTTGTTCCCAGATGCCTTCCATTGCATCCGCGATGGTCTCCAGAGGAAATTTTTCTGTCGTCCCGGAATCGTACCAGAAAATGGTAAGGAAATGACCTGGCTTTGGGTTGGCTTCAAGAGGGTGGATCGTGTCTGGATCTGGTTGCGCCGGATTGGCACCTTCAGCATCGGATAGTGCGGTCTTTGGGTTTTATCGGCAGTGGTATTGGTGGCCATGGCCAAAGAGAGATCAGAGGCCTCCATGGAAGCTTCAGGATTGCTCTCAGCCGTATAGGCAGACTGGTGATTGACTCTTGCGACCTCTCCCGTAAGCGACGTGGGTGGATTTTTGGTCGTAAAATTCGATGAGGCCGATTGAGACGAGGGCGCGCATTGCGCTTCGCGAAGTCTGCCCTGGAGGTGCTGTGGCTAACTCATCTTGATCATCTATATATATTATCTAACATCTTATCTTCAACTGAGTTTTCAAAATTAAAACTAAAAAGAACATCTAGACATGCTTTTGATAAATATGTGGAGATGTAATTATCATGTTATTGCAGCTTTTTCAAAGCTTGTTAGAGAGCTTTATAACCACTCTGGAGGATACTAGTACTATTGTAATATTAATCGAGCAGTTACATAGATTGAGGTAACTAAGGGAATATCATAAACACTAGTATATAAATGCTAAGCCCCTAGCTTATAGCTCACCACAGTAATCTGTACAAAACCAACGATTACATACGCTGCAAAAAGTATTTCCACCATAATATTAAAAATAAAAGATAAAGCTACAATAAATTGTTACACTGAACAGTGAGGACTTGAAAGAAAATGAGGACCAGTACACCAGTGACATTCTTCCGCACCAGCCTTACGTCCTGCACAGTCGCTATGAGACCAACATGTAAAATCGGTACAATGTGGTTCCCTAGGGGAGAGAAGGGAATCACGCTTTGCTCTTGACTTGAGCCTTCCTGTTGCGGCCTCTGAGACAAACTGCTTTATATAATCCTGGCGTGGATTCCAGATCTGTTCTTCATCAACCAGGGAGCTGTCAACATTAGCCCACATTGCGAGCAGCCTTTCATCATTTCCTTTGACAAAGTCTTTAGAAAGAGAATGAAGCTCATCAGTAGTCAGTCTTCGATAATCAATAACGGTGCCACGGCTATCAAAGGATCGCAAAATTCCATCATCCCCGATGTCTACAAGTCCATTAGGATCATGTTCAAGTCCTTTCATAGCCTCTGATACCTTTACATATGAACCTTAGTAAATCCGATTAGAACTTAAGAATAGGATGTATAATAAAATAGTGCTCACTGATATTCTTGAAGCTATGGCCGAGATCATAAGATCAAAAACGATTGCTACAAATAGCTTCATAATTGTTGGGTTAAAAAAATGCAATATTAAATATTTCTTAAGTTTAAAAGCATAATACGAACGTGAAAGGCACTAACATCTTCTTCGACGGGTTATAAGGGATTATTTATCTTCAGATCTACAGAGTTAAGCATTGAGTTTGAAACGCCGCTCAGATTATACTAACTATATTGGTTAATATCTAGATTGCTGCTTTCCATGCTCATCATCACTAGTGTACACAGGTATTAACCAATATAGTCTTGGAGGCCAAGGGGTTTCAAACTTGATGCCTACTGTTTATAGACTTTAAGGTAGGGGGTTAAACATTGCCTTATCCTTAAAGGTAAACTTTAAAAAAATCCATTTACCCGCGGGGGGATATTGATGCGAATAGAATTTCAAAGGCAAACATTGGCACCGTTTTAAATTCTCAAAACGAAATCAGATCCGGAAATGGTTAACAATCCGCGGGGGAATATATCTATAATAAGACACATAACCTAAGCTATGATGATAGAAGAATAACCATGTATCGAAATATGCCTTACAGCTCAAGGGATGATATCTCTTCGGCTGGTGCAATGGAAAATCCCGGTGCGGGTGCTGCTTACCAGCTGGCGCTAGTGGTAACTGAGTGCTTTTGCTTTTGCCCCAATACCTGAGAATTTATTACTTATGTATCTAGCCATTTCATGGACTTGGACGCGGGGCACGGTTGAGCATGGCTTGGACAGGGTAAACGGGTTTGTCAATTGAGGTCACATTTACTGAGCACAAAGTGGTTAGACATAGGTCGGGTTAGATGCCAAATTCAAGGGGTATAGAGCTTGGGTTTGGAACCAACATCATTCATAGTATGTACCTCTTGGGGCTGTCAACCTTGTTTTATTGTTTCATCCTATCCCATTCTGTCCCATGGGAAGGACATACCGTTGAACAATGTTTGAATTTTCAGCCGGAAAAAATTTCTGTGGGGTTTAAAAAATATTTGCCCGGAGTGGTTTTCTTTATATTTCCCACATTTCAATGTTTAATTACTAGTGGTCTTCAATTCTAATTTTAGCTTATGACCGCGTAAATGGGTAAACATGGTGAAAGTAGTTTAGCAGAGTTAAGAATTGATTCAAAATTTCACAGCAAAAATCTGCGGATGGTTTGAACCTAAAGTGCCCTTTAGCAAGATCTATAAAATCCAGCTAAAAGTTTAACTTTCTTAGCCTAAAAGTTTCAAAGCTTAAACTTAAAACCAATTATATGGATAATTGCACATGGTACTCAACCAAGATTGACTACTAGTAATTTTTCAAAAGATTGATTGATTAGTTACATCCTCTTTTCAATCAATTAAATAATTGATTGTCAATAGAGTGGTTGGGTATGGGTTATAATTTGAGCCTGGCAGAAATTGGCGATTTAGGAGCGGGTTCGAGTTGAACGTGGAATCAATCACCTTATAACTTCAAATCATGTTCAATTATGTGGCCCCAGATAACAGTGCTCGTCATCTGGATCACAAAAAATGTAAGATTGTCAGTTGTGCTCAATATCTACTATCCTTATGAGCAGTATCCATCAGCGGGGTCTATCAACTCGATATTCTGCTAAATGACTGCCAATAAATAGTATATGTTTATATCCAAATAAGGAAAAGATAATTACAATGTCATATGGTTGTAGGATTTTAAAGAAGATAGGAAAGAAGCTAAACTGTATTTTTATTTGTCAAATTCTAATCATGTTGATCCTCAGCATGTACATGTACTTGTCCACATTTGACTTTTTGTGACACATTTAACTAGAACAAGCCCATGGAACTGGGTATTCTTTGAAATGGCTGGCAATGATCACACCTGGATGAGGAAAATATGGGACTGTAAGGGTCTAAACTGTATTTAAGTTTTAACCATGTTGATGCTCAGCCTTGCCATGATGATTTTCCACCTTCTGCTACTAGCATGGCCTGGTGGTGAAGGAGCTCTTTTGTTCCAGTAGCCTAGAGAAAGGTATGTATGTACACACCAATGAGAATACTGGATAATATGCCCCCTTTTACAATTGAAATATGATTGCCATATCATCGCTTCTTTATTCCGCTATTCCAACGAGATGCCGCATTCCAGTTCGTCATGCAATACTAGGGGCGTGAGCAACCCCATTTGGGCCTTGGGCAAATGCGTCCCTACATCCGAGCGCGCAAATGTCCCAGATCAATTTCATCTGGGGCTATTCGCCTCTTGGTGCAGGGCCCAAGGGCGTTGCCAAGATAAACAGAGAAAAGTGTTGGAGCTTGAGTGAGTGGCAAACCAGTCAGCTAACTAACTAGGAATCTCTATTCTTATAGAGATTCAGCGGGTACCTCGCTGGCACACAGGCAGGGTGAAGATCCCCCCTCTAGCGATTCACTCCGTTGTAATAACGACAGTTGCCAACACTTAGCGGACACCTTCTACCCATCCTCCATACCATTGAAAGGTTCCTTGTATCCCCTTTGTGATGATTGAGCGGGGTAAGCAGATAATGGGGAATGCAAGAAGGTTCTATATTTCTATATAGAAAGCAAGCTGTCCCTTCATCGCTAGGATCCATATACACAACTGGATGCTAAGCACGAATGGGTGCATAGGCACTTAGTTAAAAGATCGTTCTCTACAGCAACTGCCAGAGAGGCCCATACTTTCCATATGTGCATGTGTTAGATGGAAAGCATCAAAACTGGCATTTGTACTAAAAAAAATAAGGAGATTACGGCGCTGTATATGCTAATTTTGCTGATAATACACAAGCCATGGCTGTTCGCTCAGCAACATGTTTCTCTGTTCAGATTATTGACTAAATGTCTTTTTACAATCTTCCATTCTTTCTCACCAAATTCATCGTCACTCACCTCAAACGCTAGGGCGCGTATTCCACGTGATCTGATTAGCGTCTTGGGGCAATGTGGGAACACGCAAAATCTTTTGTCGAACATCAACATCAACCTCCAATCACTGCAAACAATAACGTCCAAACAACGAATAAAACACCGCAGCAGCAGTGATATTCTAGCTTGAGCCACTCTGGTTTAGCCTTTTCCATTTCTGTCTAATGCTCGATCCCTGAAGATAAAACGTTTTGATACCCCTCTCTCCCCTCCCACCACCTCTTAACAATTTTTTTTGGTGCCTTTCCAGGCCGCAATTCGTCACCATTTCGTTCCTTGTGGCTCATCGAGCCCTTTTTGCTTCTCTAACACCCCAATTTGGAAGAATAGCAGCTGGTTCTGCCTTATCCTCACACGGTCCCACCTCCTCACCAATATACCCAAACAGCTCCTCCCAATCTTCACCCTGTTTGATTCTTTGCCGCACTTTCGCAAGTAGAAAGAAGAAAATGGGTCCCAAGAAGGCAGTTAAGGAGGAGAAAATTCCCTTGGGTCGCCCAGGGAATAACTTGAAGAGTGGTATCGTATGTGGGAACCAGTTACTCAGTGTCAATTTTGCTGTACTTCCTTGACTATTGATTCCCGCCTTTCCGATTCCCCTCCACTTACTTATTCTGAGATCCCGAGGTCCCTCATGTAATTCTACTTTAGGTTGTCCCGCCATTTACCTTTTAGTTCGTATTGCATGCCTCTTACCGGACTTGGTTTACTGACATCTCTGATTTGTCAGGTTGGTCTAGCAAACGTAGGCAAATCGACACTTTTTCAGGCTATCACAAGATGTTCGTTGGGTAATCCCGCGAACTTCCCTTTTGCGACTATTGATCCTGAAGAGGCCCGTGTCGTTGTTCCGGATGCGCGATATGATTGGCTATGTGAGCATTATAAACCAAAGTCGAGAGTACCTGCGAACCTGACGGTGTATGATATCGCTGGTCTAACTCGCGGCGCCTCAACCGGTGCTGGTCTTGGAAATGCTTTCCTGTCACATATTCGTGCTGTAGATGCCATTTTCCAAGTTGTTCGATGTTTCGACGACGCAGAAATCATTCACGTCGAGGGTGACGTTGACCCCGTTCGGGACCTGAACATCATCAGCGAGGAGCTACGGATCAAAGATATTGAATTCGTAGAAAAGGCCCTCGAAGCCCTTTCAAAACAAACTAGGAGAGGAGGTCAGAGTTTGGAGATGAAGAAATTGAAGGAGGAGGAGGCTACCGTTGGCAGGATACTGGAGTGGTTAAAGGAAGGAAAGGATATAAGGAAAGGTGATTGGAATCCTAAAGAGGTATGTTCCAGTTTTCAGCTTTTTGTTTCCCCTTTCTCGTTATTATCCTCTGGTTCAATTACTGTGATGAACAAGAGCACAACGCTCGATATAATCCCAGCTCTTCGAATGGCCTCGTTTTATATCTCACGTTTGAGGCTATATTGAGATTTAAGTCCAACCCTGATTTGTATTTCACCATTAATATGTGCTATTCATATGGGATGTTATTTTGGTTGTAATACCAATGCTAACCACGTTTTGTCAAAACGCAGGTTGAAGTAATCAACCCTCTCTTTCTCCTGACTGCTAAGCCAGTTGTGTATTTGGTCAATCTCAGCGAAAGGGACTACATCCGGCAGAAGAACAAGTACCTGCCTAAGGTTGCGGAATGGATCAAAACCAACTCCCCCGGCGATCCTATAATCCCAGTTTCTGTCTCTTTCGAAGACAGGCTGACCCGCTTGGAAGATGATGTTGCAGCCGAGGAGGAATGCAAGAAGCTTGGAACCAAATCGGCTCTCCCCAAGATCATTTTAACCATGCGACAATCTCTTCAGCTTGGTAGCTTTTTCACCACTGGCGCTGATGAAGTGAGACAATGGACAATTCGGAAAGGCACTAAAGCTCCCCAGGCCGCTGGTGTCATTCACACTGGTAAGTCATATTCTTTAATGTCTCCCCGTTTGTGAGACCCACTTTCCCCCACTGCAGTAAGTACAATACTGATTTGTCCCCGTTGCTACAGACTTTGAGAAGACTTTCATTCAGTGTGTTGTGTTCAACTATGATGTGTTACGTGAGTATGGGGACGAGGCAGCCGTTAAGGCTGCAGGAAAAATTCTTACAAAGGGGAAAGATTATGTTGTGGAAGATGGAGATATAATCTTGATTAAAGCCGGCGCTGCAAAGGCATAGGACAAGCATATAAAATCTTTCTTTACCTTTGACTGTTTCATAGCCGGGTGAATAAATTCAAATATTAGTAATTTTATCATGAACTGAAATCCCTCCATGTAAGTCTTTTTCACCTAGGTATGATGACTTTGTGAAATTCAATGTATAACTAGCGACTTCAATCGCCACCATTCCGCCGCGTCAGGCGCTTTGTGCCACTTGTGCAACTTACATTATGTTTATCTCAGACTTCAACTGGATTCATTTAGCTCAACGAACAAAGCATATATACCGGTTCCTTAGAGATCTGGCAATTCCTGTTTGCTGGTCTTTTTTTGTCCATCTATTTACAATGTTTAAAAAGGAGTAAGTATTGCCCTCCCTTACAGTTTTTTCCCGTATTGAATCGGCAAACCCCGCATTCTCCATTGAGAGCAAGTGTTAAATCAGACAGACATAATACTGCCCCATCCTCTGTAAACGAGTGCTCGTGTTTTGAATCATCATGATGCATATCCTTTCCTCCGATTACTTTTCTCATTGAACTAAATTATAACCCAAATAAGAAAATCTACTTACAGATCTGTTCCAGCGTCTCTTTAGGTGCAAGGTCCAAAGTCAAATCCTCCGTTCAGCGTGCTATCAAGCAAAAGCTCGTCGAGACATATCCCGGATTCGAGCCCTATATCGATGAGCTAATCCCCAAAAAGGCTTCCCTGGAGGCCGTCAAGTTGTGAGTACGCGAAACCGACCCCAACCACCAACACATCGATGCCCATTTCCTCTAGCACACAGCATCCCCTAACCGCCTTTCTATTCTACAGACACGTACCGGATCGTGTAACCCTCTACACAATAGACTCACGTCCCATCCTCTACCAATCCTTCGACAACCCTCCAATCCCACATTTACGGGTTCTGCACAAATTCCCCGATGCCGTTCCCACCATCGGGATAGATCGGGGCGCGATCCGTTTCGTCCTCTCAGGCGCCGCACTCATGGCACCCGGCCTCACTTCAGCTGGTGGCAGTCTGCCCGACCCTGTAAAAGTTCCTGGCGAACGAGAGATTGAGGCTGGCGAAGTGGTGGCGATCAAGGCAGAGGGGAAGGAGGAGATTTGCATGGTTGGTCCCTTGAAAGTAGGCACGGAGGAGATGAAGAAGAAAGGGAAAGGGGTTGTCATGGATGAGGGACATTATTTGGGAGATGGGCTGTGGAAGATTGACGTTGTGGGATGATAAATGAGGTGTTTAGCTAGAGGGAAGCGCCGGTCTACTTCTCTCTCGCTCTTTTTTTTTCGTTTTCCGTTTTTTCTTTTCCCCCTGGTTTAATATTTATGATTTAACGAGACTTGGGTTGGCTTCTATTGTAGACTGTGGGTGTTTGGGCGGGATGTGGCCGAAAGAATCGGGAAGACTGGATATACAATACCTATTATCTAGGCTGATTTTACATTTGTCCGTGATTGGGATCCAAATATCTTGGATTGGGCAATACGCCCAACTTACCCTTCATGAACATACCGTATCTTCCCTCATATTATTAATAAATGAATGCGGGATCCCGCAATGAAACCGAATAAACCACCTGATTCGATGATTTGAAATAAATTACCAACCAACCTCAGCAGATGTTCAGCATTGGGATATCACATCTGCCATTTTATATATATAAGGATAGAAGTAGCAATTTGTATATACAGGAGCTGGGTATGAGGATTATAATGACCAAAAAGAGAGCCTTCCGATTAACCTGTGAAGAACCGCCTGCCCATGGTACAGCAGGACAATAAATAAACTTCAGATCCATATAGCTAGGAATACACGAAGCCGAAATATTTGAAAACAATGTGTATGTATATATCAGCAATAAAATGAAAAGGGAGAGATCATAAATAGTGGAATGCTCAATGCACGAAGGGCCATAACCATAAGAATGCACGCATATTAGGCATAATCGCAAGTTGGGGCTAATGATAATGACCCAAGGCTGCCTCAGCACCGCCTTGTCTTCATCAGTAGCATCCGATGGGTTTCGGATGGATGTGGGGCAAACGGCGAAGGAGTTGATGATGTGTGAGACAGACTAGGTGGTGAAGGAACACCGTTTACCTTCCTCCTTTGTCGTGGAGTCTTCATCGGGTAGATTGATGGCCAGCCCCAAAGTTCTAGTTGAGGGTGTCGGCCGGCGATCGACATGGCTCACGTCTAAAGCGTCTGACGACGACTGATTTTCCTTTCTCAATCCAACCTTAACAACTGCACGCTGGAGCGTCTGCCCGGATCCGTCTAAGGCAATTAGGAAACGGGCTAGCTCCCCGCAGAGCTCCCAGTCGCCTCTCTGTGAAGCTAGTTTGAGAAGGCGTACGACAGAATCTTCGATCCCCTCTGCATCTCCATCCTTTTTCTCATCAAACGCTTGAAGCACTAATAAATAGCCACCGGCTGTCTTCAGAGAGTTTAGTCGGAGGGCTTGTTCGAATAGTTCCTTTGGAGGAGGAAGGTAAGCAAACAGGGTACGCCATGATCGAAGTTCTGTTTTTCTGGTACACTGGACCAGAATTTCCAGATAAACATCGGTTGGAATAGCGGACTGCAAGAAGGAAAGCACAGCAGGCAACATCTGGCGACTTGGTGCACTAGACTGCTGGGCTTCGTGATCTTGATTGTCTACTTCATCATCTAGCACATGGTGTAATAGTATTTCTAACGCGTGAGGAAAATAGGATAAATGCGAATAATGATGACAGAGGGAAAGCGCCGCTGATGTGTCAAGCTGACTTAGATTGTGCTGGAGGAGGTATGGTAGGAACAGTTGTGTCTAATAATAACCAGAGGTTAAATGGCGGGTGCTTGAGATTATGTCTGGTACGGATGGCAACTTACTCTAATTGCAAATCGAAGGAGGGAAAACGTGGCATCTCGTCTCTGAATCATTTCAGGCTCTGCCCCAAGTACAACACCTTTATTAAGAAGTATAGACAATGGGTAAAAGTCAACCGGTATCGGTAGGGGCTTTACTGTCTCATTTGGAGAACCTTTGACTGGACGAAGAACATCCTGTACGTCACCCCATACGAGTAAATCTTGACCACAAAAAATCCACAAAGAATCTCTTAGGGATATGTCAGTCTGGGAAACGTTAACTGGGGTTCCCACTGCCGGAGTGGTTGGTTCGTCGGAGGGTGGAGCGAAGTTGAAAGATAGCTGATCACGCATTAAAATGTAGTACTCCACATCATGAGCAACAATGCGCATGTCATATTTTAAATCGCCCTCCTCTGAAACTGATGGTTGTAGCAATACAAGTTTTCCGTCAACGAGGAACAAAACTGATGCGACAGATACGTCCTGGGAGGGGTCGCCGTCTCCTTTGAAGCTAGTTAGTTTCGCAGTACCAAAATAAAAAGAGGAATGGGGAAGTTTTCTTACGAAGCTGGTTGTCGGGCAATACCCAGCTGATAGCACGAACTCGCGTTGGCGCTCTAACGATGCCATGAAAGGCTATCTGGCCAACCTGAACAAGGCTGATTTTCGTTTGAGTGGCATTTATCACGTAGTGATATAATATATTGTCATACGTGTAAACCAGGAGCGAGTCTTCTCCTGAGGGTCCAATAAATACCGCAGGAGCAGGAAGAGTTTCGGTATATAGCACAGAAGAACTGCTAAGGGAAAGCTCACGAGAGTATAGCCGTAACTATGCTTATTAGTTTCAAAAAGTGGTATTAATATGGAGAAAATTGACAACACTTACTTCGTAGGAATTATCACATTCAACAGCAGCGATTAAGATATGTCCATACCAACACATCCCGCCTTGAACAGCAAAAGAATCTTCAGCTTTCAAGTCATCGAATGTTTTCCATCTCCCACTCTGAACACTATAATGAGCCAACCCTCTTCTGCCAGCAATGGCCACATATCGGCCATCTTGAGAAACAATACAAGACCGGATTGGCCATTGAGCATGGAGGTAAGCAGGGGGATACTGCGCATGATGCCAGAGGTAATCTTTACCCGATATAGTAGTGAGATCTGGTAAGTCGTGGCCACGATACAAAATGATTTCCGTCCCCGTTTGCAATAACGCTCTCGCCATGTTCGCCGAGGAGAAGCATCCAGTCAGAGCACTACGGGCTGTTTCAAACATCCAGATACGGCTAGTATCTGGTGCTATCAGGATGATGTATGAGCCACCACCAATCCAACAACCCATAGAAACTCCAGTCAGCCAAGCCTCGCCATTTTTGGTGGCTAGCTCACGGTCGGTAGTAAAGCTAGTTCCGCCGGGTTTACCAAACACACTCCATGTGGCCCATCCAGACTCATATCCTGCGAAAATGCAATACCCATCAGGAGAATAGCTCATAAATGATGTAGGACCCATAGACGCTGGTGATGCGGGTAGCTCGAGCTTATGCGAAAGCGGTATGTTTCCCATATAATCTTTCGCTACGTAAACAAACACCTCGCCATTTTTACAGGCCACTGCGAGTAGAGAAAATCTCGCATTCACAGCCACGTGAAGAGCCTTTTGTCCGTCATTTTCAGGAGTATGGAACCTATGACCCCTGAACCGGGTCTTTGACTCGGCTGAATGTTCTTCTTCATCCCTGAGGCGTTGCACAGCATACGTTTGTCCGTCACTCGTGATCCACAGAAAAAGGTTCATAGCACGGTCGTAGACCATATCCACAATTGGAGACTTCTTAGAAATAAATGGGATCCGGCTTAAAAGCTCTGTGCTCGTTTGATTCCCAGTTTTATCAGGAGTCCACCGAATTAACTGGATAGCAGCTGGTTTCACCGTCGCCACCATCAGCTCATTGTCCAGCGCCAGAGCTTTGCTAATTCCTGCATCAACCTTTATGACAACCCTGAAACGAAAGCTAACCTCCCGAATGGTATTTGTTTCTTCCGTAACAAAATGGCGACTAAAGTGGTGGCGATGTGGGTTGGAATGGGAGGAGAACCGTTGTTGGTACACATGTGAATTAGCATCTGTCGCAATGGAATAAGTGATGAGATATCCATGGAGCGTCTGTACAACGACAATGGCAGAGTCCGGACGCAGAAGTATGGCAGCATTCGGGCCGTAACTTTCTAATGAAATTTCGGAGCGCTTGACCGCGGCTACCACAGCTGTCGGCTATGAATCCGTCAGTATATCAAATCCAGATATGAAGGTGGGTAAACAACGTACTCTAGTTTGCCAAATTGCAATGGTGGACTTCGTCATCGTGGCAAATAAGTGTCCGGTACGGGAAACACAAAGCCCAGTTACGGGTTCATCTGGCCAGGATTCTCTGCTGCCTATGCTGCTCTCGGTTGTTGCCCTGGTGTGCTCCACACTGGAGCCCTGTTCCTCTCTCTCCTTGGGCTTGTTAGCATCGCTGTCCGCATCATCATGGACTTCCTGTAATTGAATTCCGGGGCCATTGACCGCATAGACTCTAGGGACTCCATTTGGCCAGTACATCGCTGGGAATAAAGCGCTTGGCTAGAGAAGAAGGATGATGATGTATCACATTGGACCATCTTCGGCCAAAGGATAGATTCCTCAAATAGACCTCTAGCAAGCCAGGTCTCACAAGCAGCAGCCATCCATGGCCCCGTTGGACTTCCCAGAGAATGGTCAGGTTGAACGGTTGACACATGTATGAGCGGGCGAGTGTCGTCAAGTGCCCAGAGAGTTCAAGTAACAACGGGCTGGAATCTCCGAAAATCACGTGCCAATCAAAAAGCTTCTAGAACTTCCCCAGGCACGGGAGGGGATACTTGCAGAAACATTGTATTTATCGACCACGACGAGAAGCACCCAAGAGTGTCAGCTTTCCCAACAGCTTTGTGCACTGTTGAAGTTATATCTACTGTAACGAAGATTCATTAAGCCCTAATATTTTTTGAAAATGGTAATGTCACCTATTTATCCTCAACACACACACACACGCACATTGGTTATTTGTCCTCCGCCCCGTTCTGAAGCTGATATCTCTTTCTTTAGGCTCCAACAGAATCCAAGAAGCGTTTGGCTCTTGCAATAATAGACTTTCTCGGAAACAGCCTTAATGATGGAACCCTCACCGTGGACGATTCGGAATCTATAGAGATCGCGCAAACTTGTATCGCAGATACCTTTAAAGTCGATCCTTCGGACAAGGCTGCCATGCAAGATGCTCTTGGAGGCCAAAGTCTTGCAACCATATATAGCGTATATGAGAAGATGAAAGGCAAAAGCTCCTCGGCATCATCAGTTTCCGCGAGCGAGACAAAGTCAGCAGCAACCTCCCAAAGCGGGGCGCCGAATGAGGAATCAGAGAAGTTAAAATCCCAGGGCAACGCAGCCATGGCGCGCAAAGACTACCCTACTGCAATATCCCTTTATACACAGGCTCTTAACATCGCGCCATCGAACCCGATCTATCTATCTAACCGCGCGGCTGCGTACTCTGCTTCCGGAAACCACGCTAAGGCGGTCGAGGACGCCGAAATTGCCGTGGCAGCGGATCCAAAATATGTTAAGGGGTGGAGCAGACTTGGCTTAGCTAGATTTGCCCTTGGGAATGCAAAGGGTGCAGCCGAAGCGTATCAAAAGGGTATCGATGCTGAAGGAAATGGTGGCAGTGAATCCATGCGAAAGGGGCTGGAGACGGCAAAGAAGCGCATTGAGGATATGAAGAGGGGGGAGGATGAGCCCCTCGCTGAAGATATTGATGAAGCACCTGGTACCTCGCGTGGAGGAGGAGGCGCTGGTGGAATGCCTGACCTTTCGTCTCTTGCAGGGATGTTTGGCGGCAGTGGAGGAGGCTCAGGGGGTATGCCCGATCTTAGTTCGATAATGAGCAACCCCATGTTTGCTAGCATGGCACAAAATCTTATGAGCAACCCTGATATGATGAGTAACCTAATGAATAACCCGCGTATTCGACAAATGGCGGAGAGTTTTGGTGCGGGCGGAGGTGGTGCTGGTGCTGGTCAGGGAGGACTTCCAGATATGGCCAGCATGATGAATGATCCCAATTTTGCTGAAATGTAAGTCTTAACTGAGCTACTCATAACGCATACTTTAGGAGCGCTAATTGATCCATGTAGGGCAAGAAACCTGATGGGCGGAGGTGCTGGGCGTGGTGCAGGGAGGGGATCTTGAATTTGCAATGTTAATTTGGACCCTGTTTATGGTATCTTTACCGACCAAAATATTGTTAAATGGTCCATTTTATTGGTCTAATATATAGCAATGGATGTAATTTGCTGCCACAATACGCATATCGATATGCCTATGGTTTATTCTGTACTCATTTTCTAGAGTCGTTTCATAGCTTTATCTGTCTAATAACCCCACTTTTCCCATACTTAGAATCCGGGATGAATAGGACGATGCACGAACTGGACTGTGAAGTAGGAGCTTCATGGGAAAGGGGCATGTAAAGGTCATAATATTCTAAAAAAAACCATCTTAAAGCTTAATGAAAAAAAGTCCGATTCATTTACGGAATTTTTTTGATAACATTTGAATGAGCCCTGTTGATTCACTTCATGCTGCCCAGGGTTGGGTGAACGCTAAACAGCAAAGGAATCGATCCAAAGTTGCCATATATACAATATAAAGAGGAGAAGAGACTCTGAAGAAAATAGTTCTGCTGAAATCAAAAGAAAGGACCACACAGTTCTATATAAGACTCCAATCCATGTAGTAGAATACAACCAGGAAGTAACCAGCAAAAACAAGGGAATGGGGAAAATGAAACCCACGTGTCAAAATTCGGTCGATCGTAGATAGTAGTGCATAAAGATTATTTGGGGAGGTAGATATATTAGGAGGTATCTCAGGAAAATAGCGAAATGCGGCTGCTGCTAGACTTGTCGAGATCGAAAGAAAATTCGAATCGAAAAACATGCTATCCCTAGATATAGTCACGTCCAGACTTCTGCAGCTCGATCATTCTCCATCCTCGAGTTTCAGGGTTGTTCACATCTTCTGGGATTCTAGTCATGCCGATGGCATAGGTGACTAGTTGGACTTTGTCTTCCATACCAGCCGCTAGCTCTTTGGTTTTAACATTGCGATAGACATGGACTTCCTGTGTTCGGCAGGTGATGATGAAAACTGGGATGTCACCCGGCTCAAGCATGCGGGCATGAGAGATATCGACATGTCGGATATCGAGGATTCGACCGTCTGATTTCAGTCCAGCGGTCGTGTATTGTTGGGCAAGAGCAGCATAAACGTTATACTGGGCTTCTGAAAGCCAAAGTTTAAGAGTCTCAACATCCCCTTTAACATAGGCATCCAGCACCTCAGGCAGCATATATTCGCGCAATTCTCGTAAGAAGGGTTCGATTTGGAAGCTTGGATCCATTTCGCGGAACTTTTTGATGACCATAGCTGTTTCATTTTCTGCAAACCATCCCGCCACCCGATCTGAAATTCCCCGGAAGGTTGTGACTAGCGGATTGTCAGATTCATTATACGTATGTTTAAGGTTGAAATATGATTGCATAAGGCGACTAGAATCTCTGAATTCTTTCCACGATTCTTTCCAAGCCGCGTCCTTGTGGAGGGTGACGTGGGTGCCGGCACTAATTCGGTTAGAGATGCATTAGGGAGTTCAACAAACAAATAAGTATAGGCTTACTTCGGATCTTCTACCATCTTCTCTATAGTACGACGGCCGGATTTAGCCTCCGCGAGTTCCCGCAGCTCTCTTTGCTTTCGTCGTTCCTCCTTTTCCATCCAACCTCCATACCGGGAGCTACTACCATCGTCTATTGCCTCCTTCACTCCACCAACTGCTGTTTTATAGGCGGCGGTTTCACGAACCGGTCTGGTAGCCTTTTCAATACCCTTTCCGGTGGCAGATACTCCTGACCTGAGTCCCTTGACAACCGAAGTATCCCAAGTCCATGCGGCTCCTTGACCAATAACCTTTCCCGTAGTTTTTATAGCCGAAGAAGTTTTGGACGTAGCAGCGCCAGAAGCAGCCTCATACGCAGCTCTAGCCCTCTTAACAGATTCACTTTCAGTGAATTGATGTGCCGACGAGGCTAGAGCTTTTGTTGATTCATTCCATTCCTTCGAGGCCTTGAACTCGGATCGTAGGGTCTCGGTAAACACCTGCCATGGAGTTTTATCACCATGGGGAGGTGGTGGAGGTGGTGGTTCATCTTTTGCCTTCTTTCCTTCTTCCTGGGAATTTGGGTTTTGCGCTTCTCTCTCGTTCTTTGCCTTTTCCGACGATTCATCTAATTTCGGATTCTCCGCACTTGCTTGTTCCGGCCGCTTCTGCTGCTGTTGCCATAGGCTGCATCCCGTTTGAAAGGATCTTCTGGCTGGAAGATTTGCCCAAATCGAATTCAGTTGCGTGGGAGTCGCAGGAAATAGGGGTGAAGTATTAGAAATCGAATGCCTTGATGCGGAGTTGAGGAGGGATTGAAACGAGATGGTAGGATTCAAGGAAGTTTGATGGGTCAGTGGCCGCCGGGAGACTGCTCGTGATGCAAACGCTGTTGGAAAGGTAATAGTGTGGTTCCTTAACAGAGCCGTCCGCATCACACCAGGCGGCGTACATTTGGCTGCGATGAGCATTGTTCGGGCGGGTAGGATACTGCAGGCTCGTGTCTAAAGAGTAAAATAAGCAGGAGAGACGGCCAAAACAGATTAAAATCGCAGCAACACCGTAGACTCAAAGGCAAGTTCAACCCTTGGAAACCCGGCCTGACTGGTTGCTAGCTCGTGGTTATTTATGCGTTTGGAGGCCGAGGGATATTTAGCAGAGAAATGGGGAAAATATTTTGAGTTGATATCGATTTAGAGTTTGTCCACCCGCCAAGACCTAAAAAACTTCTGGGACTTGTCAACCACCATTGATTGCACTCATACCTAACAACCAACCCAAGAGCAGCGACGACTTCAACGTCTCAATTGCAACGGATCCCTTCGATATCTGCATGCGCATGTAGCTAGAAATACGCCCTTGACGTTTTTAGACGCTTGGAGCAGTCCGCTTAATCCCTCCAATTTTTTCCACGGTCCCTTGAAGTGAGAAGGTACTGTACAATGTCAATCCTAGGCTTCCCTGTATCAACTAATATTTATTTAGGGAGTCAATAATATATTCACCGATATCTGGTACACCAACAGGAAATGATGGGGGGCACTGGAAAGTGTTTATCCATTGCGGTGCAGTCCATTGGACTAACGCGCCAGCAATATTTACTTCAATCCCAAGCTTTCAGACCATCGGTCTGCACACACGCGAAGAAAGCTAGAGATATGTCCACAGGCGGCCCCTCTGCCTTGTCGAAGCTTTCGGCGTCGACTAGGGTCACGAGAAACGCAAATAATGATTCCGCATCCATGACCTTCCGTCTTAATCAGGTTGTCCAGTCCGGCTATGCTATCCAAGACCCACCGCACCACCTTCATGTCTACTCGCACAAACACAATACACACATCACCCTAACTCGACCAAACCGAGAACCTTTGCTCTCCATGAGTTGTGGAAATATTGGTTTTCGCAAAGCACAACGCTCCAAATTCGACGCAGCGCACCAACTTGCATCCTTCATGATGGGAAAAATCCAGGAAGAGGGTCATTTGTTAACAATGAAGCGACTGGAAGTTGTACTCCGAGGTTTTGGACCTGGTAGAGAGGCGTTTACAAAGGTCCTTCTAGGCTCAGAGGGAAAAAATATTCGCAATATGGTTTGCAGGGTCACCGATGCTACTCGATTAAAATTTGGTGGTTGTCGTAGTAAAAGGGTACGCAGGTTGGGCTGAGGCCGATTTCAACATTTTGGATTTTCTGTTCGAATCTCCACTTTCCCATTATCGAACGGACCTTCATGCCCTGAAAATGCTTACCTATTTATTCTATCTGGAATTTCGGTGACCGGAAGCGGGAAACAGGACGCGGGACAAAGATAGTCCCGTTCCTATGTCGTCTATATAGCGATGTATCTAACTTGGGATACCGGATAACTCTTATTGTATGGTACTGTGTACAACATTGGTGACCGATTTACAACTTCTTGGATCTATGTATAGTTCTAGTATTCATCTCTTTGCGGTGTTATGCCCTCTTAGTCTCTGCTTCGTCTTTTTCGGCTGCAATTTTTACAACATCCTTTTCACCAAATATTTTCTGGGACCCTAACTGTTGCCGACTCTTCCAAAGGCGTGTAGGACAAAGTCTCCTCAGCTTTTTAACCCCGATTGAAACCCTTAGAATATCGTCGACCTTGGGGCGGACCATGTTTCCCTATTTGAGTCTAGCGTTCCAAGCGCAAGCTCGCAGATCACATGATTTTCACTGGCATCAAAACCTTGAGGCATCTACAAATAACGAATAAACATCCGGCAAGCTCAAGTTGTGATATTACTTTTATTCTAAAGGTTCCAAAATTTATACAACCTGCTTGATACCACCTCTTACTTGTCTACCACTTCCCGATCCTTGTGCTACGCTGCTCCTCTTGCAAGTATACCTCCAAGTCTATACTAGTCTCGTCATCTCTATCCGGCTTGCTCCCTGAATGCGTCCGCATCTACTACTGAAGCTACGACAAACCGACAGCGTGATTCCTTTCTGTCGCTGTTTCTGTCCAGTTTGATGCGTCGTTAGCTGGCCATCCAATGCTGTGTGGATGCACCCATTAAACCCTTTTCTCCGTGCCTTCTTCCGCAGTACTATTCCGGCACAATGCGTGCCCATCCAGAACCATGTATCAAACCCTCCCCCGCTTAAATACGCCATTTCAGCTCCTCTATTCCTAACTTTTTGAGACTAGGTCCTCCTTGTTCCCGTAACTGAGTCGCTCATCAATGGCCGAGACCGAGATTCGAACCTCGCGTACGCCGATATCGTCTCGTCGGAGGAGTTCCTGGGCAGCCATGTTTTGCGTGTTCCTTCTCCTATTGGATCGCCCGCCAGTAAGGATGGACCAAGCGTCCGGGACACTAGGGGCAAGGCAAGACAAATTACAACAGTAAATGGCCGGACTGTGGTTGTTAAGGAAACCACGGTGTTTAGCAATAAAGGTTAGGGCGGACTCAATGTGCAGCAGATATATTTGTTTAGATGCCAACTAGTCTATTTCAGGATTTAAGGCCCTGAACCAGGCCCAGCTTCTCTCAGATGCCCTTTACTATACCTCGAATAACGAATCGCAGCCATGGTTGATATACTATATATCGACCCCGCTGATTGGCACTTTTCAGGTTGTCAGAATTACACCAGCGATCACCCCTGGGCTTTCACCGAAGCCAATAGAGCCTCCTAAAACGGAAAATCGTAACGAGAACCACATGTCACATTTCTCAAAGAAAGAGATAACATCGTTCGCAGACTTGCTTGCAAATTTCCCGATGATCGCGAGACAAATGCAGCCTGGTTTGGACAGAGTATTTCGAGAGTTCGGCAAGGAGCTTGGAAAGCCATTGCCGCCTCCGCCCTCTGTACTATCTCCAGTCATGTCGGATAGTGAAGCACATGTTAACGAGACTGAGGAAACTGGATCTTGGCGAAGTAGATCACCTGGTAAGGGGTCGTACATCAATCAAGAAAGCCTTCCTTTCAACTCCTCAGAATATTTTGAGGATGATGAGGACCTTATGAGACGGACTTTGGAAACTGCGGTAACATCGGCGATTGATCTATTTAGACTTGTCGATAAGCAACAACTCTCCTTACTGGGCGCGACAACGGATCTTACCGGCCCGCTGGTTGAGCGTCTTATCGAAAAGCATGTGGCACAGCAAGTCCACGATTCACTCTTATTTCCGCGCCTTTGCGGTTATCGCCAGGCGGAAGATGCAGAGCTAGATGCTCGTATCCATCAAATGGAAAATATTGACATTTCGCAGGTTGGAATTGTTATTGAGGGCGGTCGCCAAGGGAAACAGGAGCTACTCCGCCGCCTTGGAAGAGGCGTGGATGAATTTCGAAAAATAGCCGACGCAAAATGCCCTCAAGATATGCTTGAGATTTTGCTGGCAACCATTAAACTTGTGACTGTAATGGAAAAATCCGATGTTCGAAATGGCGAGGATTCGTACAGCCACTCCGAGAAACAATCCTCTGTACTTGCAATAAATGCAGATGTTTTAGTTTCATTGTTACTTGTGGTTATTATCCGGTCACAGGTTCGGCATCTCCAGGCTAGACTTTTGTACATGCAGCAGTATATCTATACTGATGATGTTGAAAGTGGTGAACTTGGATATGCTTTGAGTACATTCGAAGCTGTATTAACATATCTTTCGAAAGACTCCGGAGCCCTGAGGAGGGCGAGCGCCCGAAACAAACGGCTCTGGACGGCGACCAAAAAAGGAAGAGTCTCAGATATAAAGGCGATATTAGACCCGGATAGCTCTCAAGACACCCTAACTGGCCATAATTTTGATGAAGACGAGTGTTCGAGTTTTTCTAAAGATGAAGAATCTGGCACGACCTCTGATAATGCTGATCAAGAGATGTATGTGAATGGCAGCACTTCCAATCCATTGAACCAAGTATCGCCCCTGTCCCCCGACACACCCTCATTAGCCCACGTTTTTCCGTTTATGAACTGGTCCAGAGTCTCCTCCTCAAAAGTAGAAGCACCACCGCGGAAGAAAGTTTCTATGGATATGCGGAGCCTTTCAGAGTCATCGACGGTTTCATACGTTTCTCGAACGACAGTTGGTTCAACGCCAAGTGCATTGGAAGGAGATACGTCCATTGAAAACTTGACAAAGACCCAGGATCCGGCAGGTGATTCTGTGCCGATGATGGCAGTGGAAGCTCGCCAACCCCAGTCCCTTAAGTATTTACTCAGCCGTCAAGACTACTACCCCCTCGACAGCATATTGGAGGATACCAATAGTGACGGAACGACGTTGCTGAGTGCCGCTGTACAACTAGCACACACTGAACTGGTCGATATAATTCTGGACTTCATATCCCAAGCTCGCGATTCTCAGCTTCTAACTTCGTACTACGCCAAGGCAGATCAAAGAGGCCGGACTCTCGCCCACTATCTTTTCAGTGTCCCTACGCTCATGTCTCGGTTGGAGTGTGCCCTTCCATGGCGGCAAAGGGACAAAAATGGCCAGACGCCACTTTTTGCCCTCTGTAGGTCCTATGATCATCCCGATTATAACCCAATGGTGCATGAAGCATTGACGATTGCACAGAAGGCGCAAGGTGACGGGAAGCCTTTAAGGTTAGAGGACCATGTCGATGGCAAAGGGAATACTCTCTTGCATGTCGTTAGTGATCCGCAGATAGTCGTTAGGATCCTCAAAGAATGTGACTGTGACCCAAATGCCACTAATGACAAAAGATTCACGCCGTTGATGATGGCAAGCAAATACGGCCGTGTCGATCTGGTACGGATATTTTTCGGGGACCCACGAGTCGACGTCAATGTTCGTGAGATGCGTGGTCTCACTGCAGTCGAGCTCGCGAAGGATGACGAAGTCCGTAATCGAATCGACGATTTAATACTCTTTTCCAACGCGTCCTCGGCCCCTGTTGATCCTTCAGGACGAATCACCACTGTTGTTCGTTCATTGTTCGTTGAAGATGCTAGTGTTCGTTTCATCATTAAATCCGGCGCCCCCAATCCTGAAAGGTCGCTCCAAAAGTCTTCTTCGCGAGGGATTGTTACTTACACGATAACAACCTGTCGCCGCAGCATAAAAGACTTTGAAAACCTCATTAAATTCCTCAAAGTTGAGCACCCCGCATCATACATCCCAGAACTGCCTCCCTTCCGCACTCCATTTCAGATCCCATCAAGACCTTCCAGAGCGATTCTCCACGAAGTTCAGGCGCGCTTAGACCTCTTTTTGAAAATTCTATTAGCTCACCCTACATTTGCCACCCACGAAATGATTTGGGAGTTCTTCCTCGTCCCAGAAATGCAAACCGAAATGATAGAAGATAGATCTCGTCGAAAAGCAGAAGCCCTTGCGGAGACAATTGAAGACGACTACGAACCCATGACCCAAGCAGAAATTCGAGACGTCGAGCAAATCGTTTCGCATGCCCAGGATGCAGTCCGCGCCCTTAGCGCCGCCACCCGCAGCCTGCTTCGACGAGGCCACATCCTCCAGCATGCATATTCCGACCTGGCGGACTCTATCATCCTCTGCGCATATGCCCTCTCCTCGCTACAACCACCTTCCAACTCCCTTCCAACTTCATACGTCGAAACCTTCGTCCGCTACGCCGCCTGCATCTCAACACCCTCCATCGATTCGTCCCCTTTAGTCCAATTCCTCACTGCACTGACGTCGTCCCAAAGCACCACGACTGCAATGCTTAATGCACTCTCGCGGCCGGGAAAGCTCATCTCCAATCTCAACGCTGAAATCCGTGGCCTGACGCGCGCCCACTCATCCCTGGCGTCCTCATCTCTCCCGCTTAAATTCAACTTCCCAGGTCTTGAAGAATCGCGACAAAAATCCGTGCGCGATCTAGAACAAAAAATCTCAGCATCGACAGCAGAAGCTGAACACCTGGAGAAAGAGATAGCATGGAATAAGGATGTTGTCGTGGGGGAGCTGGCCGGATGGACTGCGTGGCGGGAAAAGGTTGGGAAAAACGCTATTCGGGCGTTTGTGACAACCACATTGGTCAGGGAGAAGGAGAGGGGGAGGGCTCTGGAGAGGTGTTTGAGGAGTGTTAAGGGTGGGTAGGATCTAATAATTTTTCAATAGTTCTTAGAGCGGGAGATTGTAAGGTTTATTTACTTTATTTGAACATTCGTGCTTGTCGTTTCCATATCCCCCGCCTTTTTAATATCTTCAGCTAAGGCCTGACCCAGTTCAAATTACCTCTACTCTTCACACTTCCTTCTTCTCTACAGGCCTGGTGAGCCGCATTGTTTCTTCTATTATGAGTAAATAGCTGTTCTTTTCTTCTTCTTCTACTACTACTACTACTACTACTACTTCTTCTTTTTTTTTTGGAAAACGAATGTTTCGTGTTGGTTAAGAGTAATCCCATTGTGATACGAATGTACAGCCAAGCGGATATGAGGATATTCCTTTCGTTTCTCCTATTATTCCGTCGTACTAGCACCAATAAATAAAATGCCTGCAAAGCTTGGAATTTGACACCCCAAAAGGAAATGTGAGCATTTATTTTAAGCAGACGATTATCGAGATATGCGATATCGAACACCCCTCCCCGGCCTCAACAAGGAACTGCCGCATATTGAGCCATAAATAGTATGAAAGTGTAATAAAATAAAATCTGCAAATAGGATGAAAACTCCAACGCAAAATGCAAGGGAAAAAGAGAGAGAGAAAACAACACAAAGATCCAAAACGACTTCAACTGTTTGTGAAATATATAGACATAAGCCAACGAGTGGACACCAGTGGGTATATAACACAGCATGAAAAATAAATAACGCCATTAGACAAAAGGAAAAAGGCAGGGGTAGAGATGGAGAAGAGATAGATAGACGGTGAACGCATTTAAATTAACCAGTGAAACCCTTGTTTGCTTCAAAGCCTGCTCTTCCTCAAATATGTGGATACAAATATGCAACCCCTTGTCAGACATGAAATCGAAACTAAATGGAAACTTCACTCTGGAGGACCTCATCGAGGAGCACTCGTGCCCAGCATAGGTGGGCCCGGCGAATCTTCAAAGCTCTTTTCTGAGACAGGTGAATTGGGGCGGATATTTTGAAGGCCACCGTTGTGGCCGTACCGATTGATAGTGGCGGGCTTCTCCTCCGCCTACTTAATGGAAAACGATCAATATCGGTTGGTTCGATGGGAGAGACATCGAGGTGTCCGTCGGAATTTGTGGGGGTTTGATATGAGACCTGCTGCCAGTGGTCACCAGTGGTTCCTTGCTCCGGGCCGGTATCGCTGTTTACACTGCTTAAAGAGCCGAAGAGACTACGACGGACGACATCTCTGGAATCACGCCGGGATCTATAGCTAGTTCGTTGTCCTGCTGCTCTTGCTTCTGCTGATTCATGGGGTGCCCCTGGAGCTGTTGGGAGAAGATTGCTATGGGACGATTCTTCTGTAACAATTTCAAGATTGGTAAACGGCTCCGAGGGATTGAATGTTTGCGTATTCGGAGCTACACTCCGATTTTTAGTATTTGGTGAATTTAACTGGGGCGTCGAGCAGTTGTTGGAATCATTGGAATCGATATCAGTGGGAACAATTGCAGCATAATAGCGGCTTGATATACGACGCTGCTGAGGCTGGGATTGTCCCAACACGTCATCTGGTGGGCTTTCTAAGCCAGAGTCTCGAGTCCACCAGCCATCACGCGCCTGTATAGGGGGATAAATTTCTTGTGTGACCTCACGCGCTACAAATCCTGTTTGCGGACCTCCCCCTTCACTCAAGGGATGACGAACATATGGCGGAGGTGGTGCGTTCAGTTCAGCTTCTCTTTTATTATTCCGAGAACGTCTCCAGGCCACGAAGGCGAGGTAGAGGATGGCAATAAGCGCAATCCCTCCAATGGAACAACCAGCGATAATGGGACCGGCGTCCGGCTTAGACCTTTCCGAATCCTCCGGGGCTTTGGTAGGAAGAGGAGTGGACAAAGCAACGGAAGTACGCAGAGAAGAAGTAATTGCAGGTGCATCGGTGATCGTTATGGTTACAGATGTTATGGCGGAACTCGGAAACGGCTCTTCAAAAGGATCCTCGGTGAGTGTTGTGGTAAATTGAGGAGGACCAGGAAACCCAGTCAAGCTGGTAGGAAGAAAATCAGTGAAGAAAGAAAGCGGGTCGCGTTCCCACGGAGGTTCTTCTTCGACCATTTGTCGTTTCTCTCCATCGCTACCAAGCAGTATTCGGTTCCTTTTGGACTTGTTTTGGGATGGTCCCTTCCGACCAATTAACCGCTCCCGCTGTCTCTCTATATTCGGTATTTTTGACGTCCCGGCTTGTTGGTCTAGGTCGGAGACCGGGACACATTTCCCTGGAAAGTCTGCCCCATCCTTTACATACCACCTGTGAGAACTGGGGCAAGATGAGGTTTTTCGGAGCGAGAGACCGACAGGACTTGCCAATGAAGCAGCAAATAAGCAAGCCCAAGTTGAGATGAACATAATATAGGCGGCAGGATACCGCATGACTATATACCGAGGAGAATGCGAGCTCTCAATCTGAGCGGCCCCAACAATCAGAATGGAAGATGTTGAGGATTGAGGAGACAGGGACTCCTCTCGAATATCATTTCCCTCGTTTCCAGTCAAACATTAGTTCCATGTGTGGAGGCCTGACTCTTAGCCTATATCACCAGAAACTTGATCCCTGGGAAACGGCGCAAAGCAGATCTGACGACCAGGGATCAGGTCAGAAAATTATAAATAACTAGCAAAACAAGCAGACAGCAAGCAGACACCTCTGAGAAAGGCGGATGATGAATTTTCAAACACAAGATCGAGGCAGCGCATTCATAGGAAACCAGGAGAGTTTGGATGTTGACGAACTGCCAGAATCCGACTTGGATGTCCGGCAAGAGGTTGTGTGTCGAAACTCAATGGCAGGAGATGTTTCGATGCCCTTTTTTTTTTTTTTTTTTTTTTTTTTTTTTTACACAGCCTCGCACGATGCTACAGATATCATACGAGGGGTGCTAGCATCAAAAAAAGCCGATTGGGTGCCCATTTTTGATCCGAAAGCTTCTCGTTGCTTAGTATTCATGCTGCGAGTCGGATTGCCCCGCGTTTTGAATTCTCTACAATTATTCTTCACCGACAGAGAGGAAAGGGAGGATGCACTTCTGCCCTGTCTCCCTTCTGATTCTTCCACCGAATTATAGCGTATTTTCGAAAGGATATAAGCCGGATTTCAGCTCACAGGTAGCTAAGCCGGTGATCATTTATTCTTTTCAAATCGATGAAACTTTCTCTCAACACGGGTCAAATCCCTAGTTGATCGGGGGCTTCGTCTGGAAGTTTGGAACTTGAAGCTACAAGGCGTCTAAGAATAGATCGACTCAGCCCTGGGGCTGTTGAGATCTGGAGGCTCCATACCGAATAGATTTGAAGTCTTCTCCGCCATCTCTAAGCCGAGATCTTGAGCCAACACGTCAACTCGTCATGAAATTGATAGGCGTGGAATTTGGGAGTCCTTTGGTAATTCGGGATGTCCACTCCACAGAGAAAAATGGTTGCGAGGAATACGAGCAACCTCGTATTGACTGAAGAGTTGGCACAGGGCTCAGATTTTCGGCCGGAAAAACCCTTTCGGTGGATCCAACTTCTGACAATCTTCTGAAACGCAAGGGGCATGCATGCTCACTGACATCGCAATAGCTTACGAGCACTCAGGACCCTAGAGGTTAAGTAGCTCAAGAATCTCAGATAAAAATCAGAACTAAGGCCGAGACAAAATGGAAGAATCATCCATTCACTAAATTCGTATATCTATGAAGTTGATTTCGTCGATTCACAACCTTCTCAAGGCTTGATGATAGAAAGAGCGGTTTGAACGAAGATGAGTCGAGAGTATGTGAAGGACTTAGGCACACTGGTGAGTGATATATGTTATATGAGAGAGACTCTCACATAAGAATGTTCTGTGAACAAGATCTTATCATTAGCAGTATATTGATTACTCCATTTACTCTCACTAGTACTCGTACTAGTATTTGGTTATGAGCCTGGAATGCAACCACTGTGCAAAGGTAAGTGACTACTGCTTCGATCATTATTTCTATATTCCCAAGCACATTTGAAGGAGACAGCAAACCCAGCTAACCGTCGAATGAGCCCGCTTCTCTGATATAGATGATAAGAATAGAAGTAACCGCATTTGAGAGCCCTCATCAGCTATACTAATTCATTGCAAATTTAAGTTGCTTTTGGGCGGAAAGTTATTGGAGAAATGTTGGTGAAGAGAAATTTTCTGGCCCCATAATGCCGATTGGCTAGGAAGCGGTCCAAGGGGTCTGCCAAATTTCGAGTCCTGAATAAAGGACGGATCCTCCACTCCGAGTACCCAGGCAGTCATATTACAATTCCCCTTGTGTTGTTTCTTTCTCCTGCGTACCAGTGTAGGTCTCTCACGGCCTAGCGCATCAACTAGCCGTAAGCCCCGATCCTTACCCCATCCCCGAGTTGAAACTTGCAAGTGACGTGGGGGTGAGTGCCGCTGAGTGCCGCTGAGTGGTGAGAGTTGCTTCATCCGCTGGCTCTGGGCGGAAGTTTCTCGGTGGTTCTTGTATTATCTGACATCATCACTAATTGGAATTTGGAAACGTGTTTCAAGGTTTGACAGCATTATTACGTCATCCGGCCTCCCCACTCGCCGAGGTTGTTGACAGCTGAATACAATAAAAGAAAACGTGGGGAGATGGGACCTCACCAATCTTACCTCAACTCTATCAACTTCAAAGTCTATCAAAAGCTCAGACAAACTAAACGTCCATTAACAACTATAACCGTACGATCAAGAGAATTGAAAACTTCCCCCTCGCACAAACCTGTGAACATGCCGCTCGTCGTTCCCGACGTCAGCGATAATGAAAGGGCAAGCTGGGAGGCCAAGTTACTTGGCAAGAAGCTGACTGACTCAATATCAAACAATGTGGTGAGTTACCTTGCCTATATCATTACCCTCAACCTTCGGGGTCCGGTATATCTTTTGCTCATTCAATATCCTCTATAGTCGTTTGCAATGAAAGATTTGCCTGCGGTGCACCGTGTGATTAAGCCAGGCATGGCCATGACGATGGATTATAAGCCAGATAGGTGAGAGCCCCGATTGCCATTGATTATATTGTTTTTTTTTTTTTTTTTTTTTTTTTTTTGGTATAAACCCGTTATCCGTGCCGTTTCTTAGATTTTGTCTACATTTAAACGAATATATTTCTACGGATATTTCTAGAACCCTTGCTGATTCTTCTTCTGCATAGGTTGAATGTGCACGTCGACGAAGATGGAACCGTCACAGGCGTGGTGTACGGCTAAGCAGGGATTTCTGTATAAACTGATGACTTTCAATTTCGGTGTTGGTCAAGGAGGTTGATTTTTCTATTTTGAGCTGGGAATTGCGGAGCACTTTTCGGGTGATGGGATTTAAACAATTTTATGAATTATGTGAGATGAATTACAGGGCCTGTTGTCTAAAAGAAGACTTTTTGAGACGAAATTCCAAAAATCCTCTCTGATTAATCGTGAATGTGTTTTCATTTTGTCGGATAATTGCTGCCATTGCATCGAGGACTTTTAACTCGTTCTGTTCAGTCCACGGGCAGAAAATCTTGGTGCATTTTCGTGTTGGCCCGATTAACGCGTGCTACGCAAAGGAAATGCAACTTGGTGGATTATCCCGTTCTTCTTTCCATGTTAAAACCTCACCGTTTCGTATCTTTATCCTGCCATAGGATAGGTCCGGCTTCATTGGCATTTCGCTCAGTGCACCACCGTCGCCCCATCCCTCTTTTGATACGGAGTACATATTTGACGACAAGCATGTCAACCCTAAGCCATATTGGTATTGTATTTAAGTCGTGTATTTGGTAGGCCGTAACCACCAATTCTCCAACCATTTCACGAACAACCGCTGTAGACCTAAGTTCCCCTAGGAAGCTCACAAACAACCGACGTGGCCACGAAGTCGTCTGTTTCACGGCGTATAAAAAAAGAAAATGATAGCAAGAGCAATGCCAGTCTTGCGAATTTCATTTTATTCCCTAGAGGATTCCTTAGAAAGACCAATAATGGGATATTGTAATAGGTCATTGGAGCACCCCTAAGCCGCTCTCTGGTCAATTTCCTTATGATAAATACGCTACCTTTGCAGGGACAACTCCACCAAGTTGCTTCGATCTGAGAGAAGGTGTAATAGTCACAGACAACGGGGAAACGCGTTACAATTCTCACTTCGTCTTCAATTTTTCAAATAGCAATGTGTTGTCCGTAACAACTTATACGCCGTTGAAAGCAATCTGTGCCATTCTCCAGCTGTCCCTTGATTCATCGCAAAAATGCACAAGAAGCAACTCGCATCCTCTGAGCCTGAGAGAAACGTTGAGGTGGTTTTGAAGACGTTCTAAGCTAACGACGAAGACTGCACGTTTTTGAGTGGTATATTTACATTGCCCAATATACAGAGTAAGGTGGAATTATGCCCCGTTGGCCCTATAAGCATTGGGCAAATGAGGTTAAAGACGGCTGAGAAAAGAACTTCTACGAAGCCCTGGATTAGTACCATACGGCGGCCAGGGCAGGATTAGGTTTGTGTGAGAGTCATTAAATCGCTGAACGGGATTAACAACATCGCATTGCCCATTGGGGACGACGCGCTAAAATGGAGAGACTCTCTCGGGAACATCAATCATCTTCAGAACTGTAAGCACCCAATCCAAGGGCTGATGAGACGACATGTGGTACCGCGTCCTCCTTTGTTTCCCTGGAATGGTCTATAACTTTGGCGCTTGTAGCTGTAGGTCTTCCAGGCTTGTCGGTACTTTCGGGTTTCGTGGCACTCCGGGGGCTCACAGAAATATCAGGGTTTTGTAAACTTTTGGACATCTCTGCTGAGTTCGAAGTCAATCGTGATTCCTTGCTAGCGGCAATTGAGCTGACACCTGCAGATGAGCTTTTCCTCAACTTGACGCCGGGGATCGCATCCTTCTCTTTGGCTCTTCTCCTTTTTCGACCACTAATGGTCCATTGTTCTTCATCTGCAGTCAACGTTGCCTCCCCACTGTTAAGGTCGCCGGAGCCGGTACCAATCAAAGCTTTCTCTGCTTCTTGACGTTGACGATGGAAAATCTCTAATTGCTCTCTAGTTTCTCGTTTCAAAGCTGCATCTTGGGCCCTAGTCGATTCGAGAATGGAATCCAGAAACTCCACCTCATCCTCATCTAGCGATCGAAACTGGTTTTTGAGCTTGATGGACTCCTCAAATGCCTCCTGTTTCGCAGCTGTGTTTGTCAAGAATCAGAATTAGCTTTGGTTCCAGACATGTCTCTGAGAGAGCATGTTATTCACGGACCCTTATTTTGCTGCAGAATCTCATAGAGACTCTTCCCCTTGTCCTGCTGACTCTCTTCAACCTTTCGTCTCCGCTCCGCTTCGAGCTCTTGCTGAGCCCTCAGCCATTCATCGTCTCGCTCGGTGGGCTCCTCAATGGTACCTCCACTGACAAATCCAGAGGACATGTTATTTTAACGCTTCAAGATATTCTACACCGGGCAGCCACGCTTAGGGGCAAATCTGGAATGTCCATGGTAGTGGGCGGATGATATTTAATCCGAAATCACAGTGATGCCTCGGTATGATCTTACCACTCTATATTAGGACTAGCGTCCCCGGCGCACCCGCAATTACATCAGGCAGACATCACTCCCCCCTTTGAGCTCATCAACTCACTGAACTGGAAGAAGTCTTCAGCGGCAGTCATGGCGCCATCAAGTGGCCATCAACTGCTCCCCAAAATCTGGCGGGTCGCTAGGTAAAATTTCGATCCTTTTATATTTGTTAGTTGCCCTTGTCCTAACTGTGCTGTTTAGATTCGCCTTCGAAAAAGCAACCAGGGCCGTCAAGTCTAGAGTTACAGAACCAGTTGAACCTGCTCGTCTTGCTTACCAGCCCATATATTCTCGCATATCCCGTCGCCAGCCAGTCAATAGGATAGCTGCTATCCGTCAGACGCAAAGTCGTTATTATTCCACTTCAAACGTCGCTGCTCGCTCTGTTAGACGCGCATTCCAAGCAACAAGAATTGGCGCAGCGGTTAACCGTCTGACTACACGAAGTCCCTTCGCATCAACCCTCCGACCCAATCTCACAGGTGGTACACTATGCCGAACTGCTGGCGGATATGCACTCGGTGCGGGACGTCTTGGTGGCGCGAGATACTTCTCTAATGGCCCGGCGTGCCCAGCACAAGTTGTTCAAAATGTATCCGCTGGAGTTCGCGCCTTTTGGCTTTCGGGCCAGAGAGCCAGGTTTGATGGGGTAGATCAAAAAACTGGCCGGAAGCAGTACCGGACAGTAACGGTTCTCCAGGATGAGGCGGGTCGCAGAATGCAGGGAATCCCTCGAAACGCCCCTGGGTCTTACATTGATTTTAAACTGTCCCCAACGATCACTACATTTGCGCGCTTGGCATCCCTACAAAAACCATCCGTTGCTGATACTATTGAGTCGGTTAACTTGAATACTGACAACTTGATGGACTTCCTTTCCATCGACTTCGCTCGTGCGTTGAAGGATTTTGCCGCAGTTTTGAATGATTTGAAGCGACTTGCGACACTAGGAGACTTGCCGTTATCGCTCCACGATCAATCTACCTTACGGGTACGATTTCCCGGCTGCGATGTGGAATCTGTCGAACGCTTATGTGACGAAGTAGGCGTTCAAAGAGGCATCATCCGCCAGGATGAGGATTTTGAGACACGAAATGGAACTGAAATGGCACTTTTGTTTCCATTTGCGCCCAGCCACGTAGAATCTGATCCAGAACTGTTTTCAGTCGCTAACTACCGCCATAAATCTCCCGATATGTTGAACTGGCGCCATATGATGCTTTCCGAGGAACTGACAGAATCCTCACCTGGTATAACTGGCCAAGACTATCATTTTTTGGGAAATGACGAATATAATCCATGGAACTCTTCTCGAATATCGTCAGGGTACTCTAGCATGAGCATCAGCGAGTTAGGTGATCGCGCCCTTTTTCCCGACTTGGCAGAAACAGCGTCTCCTGCCGCTAATTTTTCTCACTACGGCGGTTTCCAAGGGATTTTCAACTTTATTGAAGAGTGTGATCGAGCGAAAAACTAACCACCCACGGCTTCCGCAGCATTTTTTCATTTATTGTTTGTTTTGCTAGTTTTGCTATTTTTTCTGTCCAGAACTATTTTTCTATGAATACTAGTATCTTATACCAAAGAGTGAATATGCCAAATATATCCAACACCTGAAATGAGAGTCTCCTATTTGTAACTTTGATTCACATTAGTATTGGTTTCTCGTGTAAAATCAAATATTCAACATTCTTCAGAGTGGCTGGAACGTGGTAGTGTGTATAAACGCTCGTGTGCGTGGCCCCAAGTGCCCCGCCCTATATGGCAACTCGGAACTCAGACCTTGGAACATCGCACAACCTACCTACCAAAGCCCCTTGAATCCACTTTCATAAGATCCCTAGGCGATTTCGTGGCCCATTTTCTTCACTACTATATACTCATATCTTAACCAGCGGTATTACTTTCGATCCACTTCGCCATCAGGTCGCTAACGCCCTAAAGCACATGACATCTCGTATGCCTACCGCTAAGGCCATCACCCACCGTTGGTAGGGATATCGGACACCCTTCTAAGAACAAGCGAGACAGAGAGAGTGTGAGAGGAGCAAAAGACATGGAGGAATTCAATAGTGAGACTGAAAGCGACTACACAAGTTACTGGAGAGACTGGGTGAGTTTGTGATCTCTTTTAACCTGATTGTAAAAAGCTCACTTCGGTTTTGCCCTCCTTGAAATCTCTGGTGTGATACCGGCGTTCTTTTTCCTGTGCTATCTGTTGCATGGACTGGCGAACTTAGATTGAGGTTTTTCGGGAGAGCGCAGTTCGGTTCTGTCTACACTTGCTGGATATATCGCATTGCTCTGCAACTAGAACAGTAGCGATAGAGACTAGTCGGAAAATGAGTCGTGCGATTTGATGTGATGCCCTTCGATCTGTGGCATACGCATTTGGGAGAATATATGACTGGAATGTGCCTTTTGTCCCGCGAAGGGCGTCCAAGTTGGAATGTTCATTGCTGCTTTTGTTAATAATATGGAGGGGAGAACAATTATCACCGCCTCGTCGGACCGTGGACTCGGCTAACTCCTGTTCATTCCTATATCCACAGTTCATTTCATCACGAGGAAACGAATACTTTTGTGAGATCGACGAAGAGTACCTGACGGATCGATTTAACTTGACGGGCTTGAATAACGAAGTTCAGTATTATCAATATGCCCTCGATTTAGTGACGGATGTTTTCGACCTCGACGCAGATGATGACCTGCGAGAGCAAATCGAGAAATCAGCTCGACATCTCTATGGACTCGTTCACGCCCGGTACATTGTCACAACACGAGGGTTAGCCAAAATGGTATATACACAGCTCAGTACTAACCCTGAGAGGTCACCAGGCTAAATGCTAACCGAAAGCCATTTATAGTTGGAAAAATACAAGAAAGCTGATTTTGGTAAATGTCCGCGAGTCCTCTGCAACCAACATCCCCTTCTCCCTATGGGCCTATCAGACCTACCAGGCGAGAAATCGGTCTCCCTCTACTGCGCCAAATGCGAAGATATATATAATCCGAAATCATCCCGACACGCCTCTATCGATGGCGCGTACTTCGGCTCATCATTTCACAGCATCCTCTTTCAAGTCTATCCTGCATTCCTCCCCGAAAAGTCCCTACGTCGATACGACCCGCGAGTCTTTGGATTCCGCGTTCACGCCAGTGCGGCGCTGTCAAGATGGCAAAATCGAAAACGAGATGAGATGAAGGTCCGACTACGGAAACACAAGTTGGAGAATCCTTTTGTGGAAGATAGGGAGTTTGAGGAAGATGAGGACGATATCGCTAACTCGGGGATTGGGGAGCTTGATGGCAAGGTTCCCGCTGCCATCGCTGAAGGGGGGAGGGCTGTTCTTGACAAGGGACGAATGGATATTGGCGCTTGATGTAAACGAATGAGAGATTGATTGATGGATCAGCCATTCTTAATGGAGGCGTTTGGGAGATTGAGGAAGGATATGACTTGGAGGGATAATCAATGCATTTCTAATTTTAGAAGGGGTTCTTTTTTTCGTGTGATTTCCGTTTTAAATAATAGGTGTGTGCTTCCAGCCAGGGCAACCTTTTCTTGTTCCATGCAATTTTGTTAGGGCATCCCCGTATAGTTCTCATAATTTGGATCCTCTGTTTTGTTGCTGATTCACACTGCTCTTTTGCCTATCCTCAACAGGACTCCAGCTCTTTGCAATATCTCTCTACTTCTAGTTTTTGTTGATTGAATGGAAACCCTAATACCATGCCTCAGAAGCTTTGCATTCAAGACTGAGAGCGGAGTGTTGAAAAGTGACTGGTTTTGACCCTGATCAAGTTCAAACTCGGCAGTCAACGAGCTTGATTGCACAATAATACCTTATAGGTCATTCACCACGGGCTGCATGGGCATGTACATGAATGTGCATACATTGGACCTCTTCATTCCACTTCCTATGAGACCGACACGGTCGATCACTTCGAGAACCTGCTTCAGTATAGTTGTGGCAGAATTATTGATACTTGGTATGAAAATAGAACCCTCTATAATGGCACTAAGATCATTCAACAAGATCCTACTAAGAATTAAAAGGTAAAATTGGCAAGAACTGGAGCAACGAGCCACGTTAGCTACCTCTCAGGATGCAGGCGTGAGGTACGAAAACAATATCACAGCCCATGGACATAATAAATCCAGAGCCATGGAACCGAACATATATCGAACAATAAGCGACAACAACCGCGAAAATCTTTCAAGGGTTCCTGGGTGGTTTTGCTTTGACTTTACTCTCCATGGTCTGCGCGGTCTCAACACAGCTAAATCAATTTCAAAAGCACTATACGGTCTTTCTTATTTAGCTGGGGGGGCTCGCTTATTGGGGGTGGTAAGTGTCCCAGTACGTGGAGGTTAGGCTCTGCAGTTGGATCTGATACGTCTCCAACAGCATCATAGCCATGGGAAAAAGGCCCTGTATGCTGACACATTCACCACGAAACGAAAACCTATATTTGTCTATCTCGCGCGTATCAGCGTTTCGAAGAAACAGGAATCTGTGAATGGGGAATTACCCCAGAGTTTTATGGAACATTTGAGAATATTAATTTCTAAGTTGTTTTCAAGGATGAATTCCGTCTCTCCCCCCAACAACCGTCTTCATGGAATATATATCCACAATGAAAGAGCTGTACTGTGAAAATGATCACCTAGAAAGTTTGCAAGATTTTTGTAAGGGTTTAGTTGAAATTCGCCTAGCCTTGCTTGAACTTAGCGATATTCACCTGAAAAACATGATAGCTCTAGAGGTAGCGGCAGGAGCAATCTGGATTGATTTTGACAGGGCACAGACTTCCATAGACAGCTTGGTGAAGACAACACGGGCGCGTTGATTTGGAGAAGCGCCTTGTTTCTGAAGTGGATGAATTCATGGGTAGTGGGCTGCCTCCCCCCTCAGCGCACGACTTACATCTTGACTTAACCTGTCTATAACATAGGAAGCTGATTATTTCGAAAACAGACGAACAGAGGTTCTCAATATTGCCGTTTAGGTTGACGACTCAGCTTGCGGAAACAAGATAACAATTCCAATATAGAGGCCCAAATGTCCTAAATATAGCCAGGACGAAAGTCCTCAGCAAGCATGGAGAAGCCGAGAAAATCCTCCTAATTGAAAAGCGAGGCCATGAAGAGATTACGCATATTGCTCCCTTGGTAACATGGACCTTATTCACTCCTGGTATTCTATGAGCGGAGCCCATGGAGCTACACCCAATTGATGTATCAGCTTGGAGTTGTGAGATCAGTGGCCAGCCAAGGACGAGGATTATTTATGATCCTATTAAGATTTTCTATCGGCGCGGTTGCGTGCAAATATCATTTGACCTTCAGTAATTAGGATTTAGCTGGATGATTTGAGAAAAAACAAAGCCCAAATGAAGAACTGCGTTATCAATGCAAATAATAATGAGCTGGTGGTGTGGGTTAGGGTTACCTTAGTCACATGTGTGCGATGAATATAGGCAAGGTCTAACGCCTTGACAATAGCGGACAACCTCGTTCATCAGCTTACTCTCGCCCACCTCATCCATGAAGCACGTAACAGGCGAGTTAAGAGGTGTTTCCAATAATAAATACTATATCGGCAGGAAATTTACACTCATACTCATTCCGCCTTTGAAGATTCTAAACTAAGATCAGTCATGGACAGAGATCCAGTTGAAGCTGACATTCAGCATGATACTGACTTTTCATAGGCAGTTTGTCCTCAAAGTTCGACCATCTCTCCTTTTAGTGCAACTCCATGTGGTGGTGTACGCAGAATCTATGGGCATTCACCTCACGAACTCAAAGTGTTGATATCAAGATGAGCATTGAGCCACAAGCATATGTTATCCTGGACGACTAAGCTCGAGCTCCACCCACAAAGTAGAGTGCATCAGAGCTCCGCTCGTCACAAAGACATTTCCCAATTATGTTTTGAAGCAACTTGAATGGTCCAGCCAGTTTCACTTAGTAACCCTCCGTCCACAATTTTTCTGACATTCACTGGACCGCCAACGGTCGAGTGACGTGGGACGTCGATATCCTACATATGAGACACTCGTATTCACGAGGTGTTGTTTGCACAAAATGTGAAACATACGTAGGCACTGCGTTTGACATTGCCTAGCCCCTCAAATAAACTTGTTGTTCGTGATACAAATAAGCGGTGAATTATCTCTTTTGCTATGTCGAGTTTTTGATCCAGAATTCGAGGCTTCCAGTATTTCCGCTGTCTATAATCGAAATTCACACATAAATACTCCAAATATGCATGTTACTAAGCCTTTCGCCCTCCTCCTTGTCAACCTTGCTGTCGCAAGTATGCCGTTTTGTCTCCTTTAGAAAGCATTTTATAGTCTTGAGCTTTGAGCGTTCAAAGACCCTACAAGTTTCCCCATGTCCCTCTCATCAACAGCCGTATTTGTGGCATCCTTCCACTAACATAGGTTCTTCCGCTCTTTCAGATGCCACAGGATGTGGTGACGCTCAAGCCTGCATTGGGACAGAGACTTGCATCACCGTCACCCGGACGGCACCGACAAAGACAACCATAACCACTTGCGCTCCTACACCCACGTGTTTACGTATATACCGTTAGTATTCCAAAAATCGCTATTTTGTTGATCATTTCCGCACGTAGCGCATCTTAAGAAAGACCCGCTAACAAATCCTCTCAGAGGGTTGTACATCTGGAGGGGGTACCGAATTTTGTTGCTCTGGCTACTGCGCGGCTACCAAATGTAGGCCGACAGACCCGAAGTGGCCGAATTGCCAGGAGGACATGGGGTATTGCGAATGTGATTCGGAATGCTGCTACAACAACAAGTGCGTCGATAACTTCTGCCGCAAGCCTTGATAATTCCTGTGCCCATCTGTCGCTTGGCAAATTGAATGAGACTGGATTGAAATAGATGGATTGGTTGCAAATTGCCTCCTTATTATTTTCCCATATATTTTGCGTGGAATGTTAAATCTTGTCTTCCATACTTCTGTCGCCGAGAGAAAATTGATACCGAACTTGCCACTCTTTTGACTGCGAGTATTGTTTTGGATTTCGATCATTAATCATACGAGTATGTACCTTCGAACTATGGCTAAATGAAAATTTCTCTGGCAAAGAGGGAAATGGTGAATGTTTCTTTGAACAATGCTTCGCAAAATCAAAGTCACAATCCATCGCGTGTGATCCCCTGACAGGAGCAACGTAGGACAAAAACGCTATTCTGCGCGCAAAATTGTACTGTACATACGTACATTGCATTGAGGCTGTAGGGCTATCGCCTGCTATCGTGTGCAATTGCTAGAATTGTTGGCTAATGAGAAAGATGAGAAAGAAGCACCTCTCTCTGTCATAGACGATAAGCTCCTGTCCCCGCTGTAAAGGTCACTAGGGTATACCATAAGCAAGACCCCACTTGAGGAATTTGTTTTACTTTACCCAGATCTCATGTTCTCCGTTGCCATTTATCGTTCATGGGCAACAGGACAAAAGAGGGAAACAGAAGCCATTCAGCCTTGTAGGCTGCATCGAGGTCCCCAAGAAAAAACAGGGTTTGACATCCCTGATCCGTATGCGCGCTTTCGACCTGAACAAGCTGTCATCGGACGCCTCAATGACCTCGTCTGTGATCTCACCGGCTCCACTTCTACCATACCAGGCTTTGACACCGGGGATTAGTAACCTGGCATTGGCTGTTCTTGATTTAAGCAATCATCCATGTTGGTTGAAGGCAATAAGTTTTCCTCAAACCCATGTTCAATTCCTGAGTGTTTTGCCTGGTCTATAGACGGTGTGGTCTGGAGGTGGAGCCACCGCTCGTATATTCGGCTTAGCTGTGGGAAGCTAGCCAAGAAAATAACTAGTGCAAGGCAGAGGACGAAATAGAATGAAGATCTCGAGCTCGAGATACATACGAGGTTTATGCAGAATTCGGTTTAGGGCACCAAAACAACCACTGCTGAGGCCCAACCAGTTTTTTCAGCTATGCCAGGGCAAGGCAACCCCCAGAGCTCAGTTCTCCAACCTCCGACCAAACAAATGCCGTCAAAACCGAGCCACACTGCCTGGGGGATGATTGAAATCGATCTCCCACGCTTATCCCGCAAAATGGTCAAATCAAGTAATGTTGTCGTTTCGACATTTGCTGGTACCAGGTTTTGTCCAAATTACAGCATGCCAGTTCGTTTTTCGTCGATATATAAATCTAGCCATATCACGAGGAATATGAATCCAATATACCATGTTTCTGGGTCTCATACCCTCCAAGATTGTTCCTCGATTACTTCCTCCCTTATCGTTTAATTCCTTGTGTGTCTGCGGATATGCAGAAATTGTTGCAGCTAGCTGCTGCGCTTCTCCTCTCGGGTCTTCCAGAGGCCCTTTCCGGCCATAATCACACTTCTTGCCGCTGCAAACCTGAAGAGAAATGTTGGCCCTCGCCTCATCAATGGAAAGCCTTGAACGAATCTGTTCACGGCAATCTTGTTGCTGTTAGACCTGTCGGTAACGTATGTCATGACCCGACTTATGATCCAGAGGCATGCGCGAGAACAAAAAACATTACGCATAACTCCTTCTGGAGAGTGGAACAGCCAGGCGCAGTTCAATTCACCAACTGGGAAACCTGGCTCGCTCGCAAGGAGAGCTGCTACGTTGACACCCCGCGTGGTGACGCTTGCGACCAAGGTCGAGTATCGCTGTATTCCGTTCTTGTCGAGTCGCCTTCGCAGATACAGAGCGCTGTCCGTTTCGCACGAAAACACAATCTTCGGTTGGCCATTAAGGCATCTGGTCATGACTTTCTCGGCAGATCATCTGCGCCAGACTCGCTGCAAATCTCAACTTACCGAATGAAAGACATTATTTTCACCGACGACTTCGTGCCGAAAGGATGTAAAACGGGCGGGAAGGGATCTGCTGTTACCCTCGGAGCTGGAGTGGTGCTAACTGACTTGTACAAGGCTTTATCCAAAAAAGGGGTTGTTGCTGTTGCAGGTCTAGCTCATACTGTGGCCGCACCAGGGGGTTACATCCAGGGTGGTGGCCACTCACCTCTCGGCCCGTGGAAAGGGATGGCATCAGATAATGCACTTGAATTCGAGGTTATAACTCCAAAGGTATGGTTCGTTGGTCATTCATCCCCAACAAAGGAGATGCAGAACATTCTGCCGTGATATACCAATTTGCTGGAAATGCGGCTAACCAAGTATATAGGGAGATCTTATCACCGTCAACGAATTCCAAAACAGTGATCTATTCTGGGCCCTACGAGGTGGTGGAGGAGGGACATTCGGTGTTGTTGCCAGCGTCACAATTCGAACATGGCCCGACCCGCCAATGGTACTAGGGAGTGTCAATATTTCCACCTCGCTCGATAACAGCAAGGGTTACTGGGCTGCTGTAAAGGAATTGCATGCAGCTTTGCCGGAATTGAGTAAAAATGGAGCTTCAGGATACTACTTCATTGTCCCTCAAAGCCCTCCACTGCCCGACATTGGCTCCGTCTCTGCTGTCGTTATGGCTTTGATGTTTGCTGACCAAGACGATCAGGCCGCTGTCGAGCGCCTATTGCAGCCATTAACCGCAGCCGTCAATAAGCTCGACAATGTTACAATATCCACCTCCACCATCGCCTCACCAAGATCCAACGAAATGATTGTCAGCTTGCTTCAAGGAGATGCTGATGACACCGGCAACGCAATCGCAATTGGATCCCGTCTAATATCTCGTGATTTTTTGGTTTCATCAGATGGACCCGCAAAGCTCTCTGATGCTCTCTCACGCCTTGATTCCCAGCGTGGGAGCGTTATCACAGGCCACCTCGTGGCCGGCGGACAAGTTGCCAAAAACGCTGGAAAGGTCAACAGCGCGCTGAACCCGGCATGGAGGAAGGCGCTGACGCACATTACTTTCGGTTACTCGTGGCCTTCTAGTACCCCATTCCATGAGCAGCAGAAGATATATGAGAAGATTACGAAGGTTGAGGTTCCGATTCTCAGGTCGCTGGAACCTGGTCAGATGGGTTCCTACTTGAATGAAGCTGATTCCCATGAGTCGGACTTCCAGGAATCCTTTTGGGGTGAGAACTATGAGCGGTTGTATGCCGTTAAGCAGAAATGGGATCCGACTGGGCTTCTCATATCCCGTCGAGGTGTGGGAAGTGAGGACTGGGATGATGATGGGTTGTGTCGTGTTAACTAAAAATCTATATATATATCCGTGAGGGTTGTGAAGATAGACCATATTTGCCATATCTTTTGGTTTTCAGGATTGCAGTTGGCGGGGTTCCTGTTACCCACCATCCTATTAGTCCATTACTATTCTGAATACTTCCGTAGGATACATTTATTATTTATCAACTTGTTTATAAACAAACAATAACTAGTTAGCACAGTTCTACCTGTAGACATACCCCTGAGAGCCCTATTAGTTCAGCATAATATATGCTGACGACACTAATATTAGTGGGCTGCTAACCAAAATACTGGGATCTTTCGTGGCTTTTTCGCGTTTCAATTTACGCGGGCGATCGATTTACCCAGGAATGAATTTTTGAAGCTCAAAAAATTGGGAATATATACAGCCTATTATGTATATATCTCGCTTCTGCTTTTCTAGAATTCACCAGCGCCACGCTGGTGGTAGAGGATAAAGAGAGCCGCCGCAGCTTAGTAATATGTTAATCATCCAGTGAAATCTCACCCAGAATTTTGGTTAGTAGTAGGGCAGTCATACCTGCGGAGCATTGACGTGCGGAGCATTGACGCGGGCCATATACTTATTCGGCTTCATTGAATACGGTTCGGGATATTTATACAAGCCGGCGGGCATATCTAGTTTTATCTACTACGTAGTTATTTATAAACTAATTTTAAATCAGCATTGCAGGGCAATCTGCTGTGGTGTGGTGTATCACCCCACTTCTGCTTCAACCCGCCTATAACCAACTATAATTGTCGAAAGGTGCGCTTCGAAAGATCAACTTGGACACCGATTTCCCCCAATTTGAACTACATCTTTTGGTCGTAATATTATTTCCGTTTTCACTAAGTCCGGACATATCCAGTCCTATACCCTAACGGCCAAGACGATGGGAATCACGCATATTGTCTGCTTTCAATTTAAAGCCGATGCGACTCCGGAGGCTATTGATGAGGTATGGGTAGTAGAGTGATGCTTCTACTCCTAGAAGAGAGAGCCCAGAAAGAAACTCATCAATTTTGTTGAATAGACCTGCTCGAAAATGCTGGGATTGAAAGATGCCTGCATTCATCCTACTCACCAAAAACCCTACATCAAATCTGCAATGGGCGGCAAAGATATCTCAAAGGAGGGGCTCCAGGTATGAAAGTCGACATTCTTAAAATGTGGTGGACCTTTTCGATCTATATAATTCATTTTTTGTATTCCCACCCCAGATTGCCGAAGTTGAAATTGACAGGACCTTCACTAGAACGGATTTACGCATGCATTCGTTACTGAATTTGAGAATGCCGAAGACAGAGATTATTACACGCAAAAAGATCCCGCCCATCTGGCATTTGTCAGTAGCCTATCAGCGATGATCGAGAAGGTCCATGTCATGGATTTTGTCGACGGGGCCTTTTGATTGTGAAAGAAGTATCCCATATGCGGACGCTGAGAAAGGCTAAAGCAAATTGAATGAACAATGTGTTAGAGTTCTGGCATTCATGTGGATAGATATGTGATTTTGGTACATAGCATTTGAGGCTTTGCCCACTGGATGCCGTCGGGGAACTAGAAGACCTGGCAGTGCTTTTTGACCAAAATTTGAGTCGCTGTTAATTTGTGATCTAACCAATTGATTTCCTCCTTTAGAGAATAATCTCCATTCAAGTCAGTGCAACACACGAGAGCCGTTTTAACTTCATTGCTGTGCAAAACCTAGCTCCTTGTTGTGGTCACACATGGTCACAGGTATATATGGCTGCGCACAATGGGTTGGGGACACAGAAACCGAAAGGAAAGATCGTGAAGTATTGCAAATATCACTCTTGCATTTCTTGCTCTAAAGGACTCCTTAAAAACACGAAATCCATTCTTGCGACTGATAAACACTATTTTTGGGAGAACGCAATGGCGACTTGAGAGATGAATGGTTTGGATAAGAGCCCGCCTTACGATGGAGACGCTGTCCGCTTCAATGTCGAGACCAGCACAAGGCGGACAAGCAAAATTCTGCAAGCCGACCGAGAGCCATGCGCCAACATGGTGTAACTGTAGATCGGCAGGGCTGAAGTTACAAAAGGAGCAGTTCTTGAGGTGGTTGGTTGAATTAAACTCCTGGATATACTGCGTAAGTTAGTTTCACCCTCTGGGGAACGAGGTATTTCCTTTTTTGTTTCCCATCACCGGTCGCGCTCGTTAGTTATATTTTCCAAGCCTCGAATTTGGTCTTAAGCTTTTCGTGCGCCGTTTGGATGGTAGTACAGCTGAAAATAACTTTTGAGATATAGGGAGATGCGCCGGGAGAGCGTTCGGTTATTTGAATACTACCAGACTAATTTAGGGTAAAATTCCTTTCGTTTCGCCCATTTCATTTCATTTCATCCCTTTTCCGCGACAAAGAAGGTGTATCTTGTCTGGGTTTTAGCAGCCGGGTGGTATCTCACAATCATTCATGGCGAAACTTGAACTTGCATACAGATTGCAGCCGGGAGGGGTGCAGCATCTAAAATAGAAACCGGGGACGAAGCCCCTTGCTCAGATCCTAGCACAGCCTTGGCGGCAACCTTCTTTGGATGTTCTTCCACGCATTCCAAGTTGCGTTTCTCGTATACCAACTGTTCGGCCACGTCCGCTGGGCCAGGGTCCCAGCGGACTGCGTAAACAACGCTATTGTTGGCAGCCGATGTGTGGTATTTGCAGCTCAGCCTCTCACGACACATGGCTGCTCTGATCTGAACTTGCGTGTCCAGTTGACGGGCCACAGAAGTACAGCACAACTGACAGAATTAGACAATTAGGCTGCCTTCAATGCACCCCTGCAAGGAGCGAGCCGCCAGTTAAGGCTCCTTCAGGGTGATCGGAACTTGCCGTTCGGCGATCCGACAAGCCAGAAGACGCTAAGAATGTTTCGTCATGATCACCTCCTATTCGGGAGGGACAGACGGCGGGAGCAAGAGGTATGGCTCAGGAATCCAGCTCCGTGGAACCTCCTTTTCCATAATTGGAAAACCGGATCGTAACGTAAACCAGCAGACCATATGGGGCTGAGGCGGTTCGAGATGGGAAGTTATTAAGTCCTGGAAATCGCATTTATGATGCCTTTCTTCCCTCCAAACAAGATCCCAACCCATTCTCGCTTCCCAATGTTTTGTAGATTCGCAAGCATTGGGCTTTGTTACTTTGTTCCTCAAGCATCGCTTTCCCTCGTGTGAAATTGGTGTGTTTTTGCCCCGCTTATTCGGGATGAGTACTGGGAAACATTCCGAGTCACCACCGCCCCGGGCCACAACTGGCTTCCCACCCCAGTGTCATACCTGCCGAAAGCGAAGGGTCCGATGCGACTCATCACGCCCCGCCTGCAATAAGTGCACCGCCAAGGGTGTTGAGTGCCTGGGATATAGCAAACAAAAGCCTCTGGTCTGGCTCCAGGGGGGAGGAAACCAAAACCAATATCTGGCCGAGGGAAATAATTTGGAGCCGCCGAAGAGGAAGAAAGGGAGGCCGAAGATTATAATTGCAAAGGACGATGCGAAAGAACCAATAAAGTCCCCCGACCTGGAGAAAGATGACAGATCTGAGGTACTGGAGCTTGTGGAAACCGCTTGGGGTATGCAACAGCGCAAGACCAACCCGCACATTTAATCCTTGCCCTCCGCAGGCACACATAGTAGTTGGCGTTTGGATACTAATACTTGTTCGGATACTTAGACATTTCAAATTCACTAACCAATTTCGACCATCAGCGTGTTCCTGAAGCCTGGGACTTTAAATATCCGCTAAATATTAAAGTGGTTGTTAGTACCATATGGTACTGTAAGTGTCGCCCGATGAGCAGCCGATTTCTACTGCTAACTTTGGGTACAGTCAATAAATATATATACCCCGAGATTGATCCAATAGTTTACTACCAAGATCTCCCAACAATCGACCCCAAAAGCTGGCAAGATGACGTCTCCAATTTACTGTTTAGTATACTCGTCTCAGCCGTTGCAACTCATCAAGCTATAAAATCGCAGCAGGACGAACATATAACCCTTGGCCGGGAGATTTACCAGTATAAACAGCAGGCTTTTCGCAGATTAAATTGCGAACTCAGGAATCCTAAGACTCAGTTAGGGGATATAACGCTAATTTGTGTATTGACATTACTGTTAGTGGAGGTAAATGGTGCACTTCTTTCTAACCCACGTTACACTTTATACTAAAGCCATTCCTTGTTAACTTCTATCCTAGACCCAGCAATCAGCCTATGGTGAATGGTTCGCACATTTTGAAGGTGCAACGACGATAATCGGATTGAAAGGGGGTTTAAAAGCCGTTCTTGAACGGTGCCCCATATTGAAAAGTGCTCTAACATGCTACTTAATGTATGTATTCTGGTGGGAACTTTTTAAACTCAGTTTTGGCCGTGTCCAAAAGCCTTTTTTTTTTGTTTCATTTTGTTGTTTTCTTTCTAACGCATTTCTCCCAGAGCGGATGTCCTAGGTGGCACTACATCCCGGCAGGTATTATCCATGGACGATATTTCCAGACAGCTAGGATACGTGGGAGATCTATCTCACATTTTCCACAATGGCTCGGAAACATTTGTCCCTTTCCCAAACGAACTTTTTGAGTGTGTGATTCAAATAAACTATTACCGAACGCTCTCCATGGACGCTATTGGCACAAACGGGATGCTAATGGATTTCGGAAACGACATACAATCGCTGCTTCAGAGGATTCTTTCATTTTCTGCGGCCGGGTGGGCGGACAGCATGACTAAATACTATTCTGCGACATCAGTCGTTCCCCACGGAGACGCCGCGGGCGAATTCATACAGCCAGATCGAAGCCACTGGCTCCAAATAGCCGCTATTTATCAATCTGCAGTCCTTCTATACTGCATAAGGTCTCTTGCTCTGAACTTTGAAGGCCTCATTCTCGCCTCGTGCGCTTCAGATGCAACTCCAGATATGATATCCTATGTCACTGTTCAAGATATTCAGATTGTAGCACGACAAACGCTCTCGGACAACTTGGGCAAAATATTTACCCCAGAATCTGATCTACGCCGTCAATCTTTGGCGCGAGTGGTTACATGGCCGCTGTTCGTAGTTGGGATTGAAGCTGGTGACGATTTTGAGGACGCATTGACCTTACGGGAGTTTGTGACTAGCTCATTCATGAGATTGAGTAGAGCCTTGGGGACCTTGAATTACCGGGATGCAAGGGCTTTCTTGGTGAGCGAATATAATCGTCGGGACAACATCAGGCATGCTGGAAACTCCGACTATCAATGCTGGTGGAATGATGTTTTTGAGCATCTGCCAGATAGATGCGCTTTTTTTATGTAGATGGAAGGATTGTAATTTTCATGGACATACCACTTCCCTTAGATTCTGCCATTTATTTTCCAAGGATTGTACAGATCGCTTCTCAGTTATAAAAATATAGAATCTCTGTTTCCAATTACTCTATTTCACGCTACCACTACGCACAAAAAGGGAAAACATAGCATTTCGGCATTTACCACCAGCGATAATTCCCGTTGCGGATCGTATTGGTAGCGCAATGAACCTCGCCGCCCCAAGTGTGATGCGAATTCCAATTATCCACGAAATTGACTTTGAAACCCAACCTACCATAAACCTCCGATACCGCATCTGCCATGATATCCCTGCCATCAACAACTGGGCCCCACGGATTAGGCGCCAAGTATTGTGTACTACTAAGAACTTGGCCGTTGATCGAAGCAGGATACAGCGATCCCGCCAACTCGGAGTTATTATTCCTCTCAGGCCTGATCCCGCCATTTGGTGGGAACGTGAGGCCAGTGCGGAAAACGGCAGGTACACCGTGTATGTCTGCATTTGTGATGCCAGTTTCACGTTTTAGAAGGTTGACGGTGCCTCTGATACTCCTGGCAAAGTTGGCGTTCGCTTCTATGATTTGGCTTTGTGAAAGGAGGTCATCGATCGTGTAGCTTGGTACCCCATGAAGGCCCCAGGGAATCCCAAACAGATCAGAAGGGTTTCCCTCTGTATCATTTTGGCGCGAAAAGGCCCGGATATTGCCATAACCGGCTGACTGAGTCTTTCGTAATATAGCTAGGCCTGCCTGTGGATCAGGGACGAGCATGGCCCATCCGAGAGAATTATTGGCAGGAAGAAATTGGAGCATCTCGTCGACATGTCCGACCGCAAGCCAGTTGGTATCAAGCAGCAGAGGATCTTGAATTTCTTGTGCCAACATGTATTTCAAGATATATGGCTTTCGGGCCCCGTGAGTGCCTAGAACAATGCGCCCAGCTGTGTAATTTTTGCCGTTGAAATTGTGGGGTGGAATAGTCTCCAAATTGCCCATGGAGTTGATCTCATCACGCGATCCCCCGCGGTCTTGGACTGCCCCTGTACCGGAGCCACGTAGGTATTCAAATACTTGACGCCCAGCAACGCGGTCGTCTTGAGCGGAACGTATCATGACTTGCAAGGTCACTGGTCCGGATGGACCAGGCATGCTCGTGTAACCTGGTTCAAAAAAGTCCTGAGCCCAAATGTCATCAGACGCATTGAACTTGAAGAGTGGGTAATTGACGTCCATTTCGGCAAGAGAGGCTTCTAGAGCAGACACAAATTTTCTTTGGAAAAAGTTAGAGGTATCATTTCCGGCAGTGGCGAAAATTTGCTGAACCGATTGAGAATGATGGTAAGTTAAAATTGGTGCAACCCGCAGCTTCACACTGTCGGCTGATATCTTTCCTCGATCGTGAACTGTAAAGTGAACATTAACTCTTCCATCCCATCCACCTGGCCTCCTGGTGTCCCTAGCATCGATGCCTAGGTTTAAACCAAGTTGCAGCTGGTTCTGAGTAAACTTGTGATCGTTTTGTGTGATTAACCATTCCGACCCCTCGCGACGGAATATACGAACATTTTTGCGTGCTGTTGCGTCTCCAACTGACACAGTCCCATAAGCGCCTGGAGTTAATCTGGGAATAGGCACCGTTCGAAGATGTGCCATATATCGATCGGACCGTTGGATGTCATCCGAAGCATCATTACAAGCAGCAAGCTTCTCATTGGACGGAGGGCTGCCGCGCAGTGCCAGTTTAGAACACCGTCGGCCAGTGTCACCGATGTTAGCAAGAAATATTGCCCCGGCATGGTTTGAGGAGCTCAGCTTATGAGCTATGTCCGTGTTTCCATCAAGATCAACTCTACCATCACGGTTACTATCGGCTCGAATGTCGGCTCGAAAACAGAGACCGGTGTAGGAAAACAAAGCTGCCATCTGTTAGCAAACCGTGAGTAACCAACCTATATCATTGTCTTCCGTTTTCGTACTTACCAAGCATTTGGTGCAAGCTCAGCGACCAATGCATTGTAGATTAATCAAGTCCCCCGCTTTTTAAATCAGAAAGTATTGAAAACGGTAGGTGAGGGCAACGGAAAGAAAACGATATGAATGCCCCCATTTCAGTCTCCCCATTCATTGAAAATGGTCATCCCTTTTATATCCTGTCAACTCTTGCTATCCACGACAGTATATCAGGGCTGAGTGGACAATGCTTGGTGCCGCTAACCAAAATTGGGCAATATGCAGCAACTCCAGATGAAGCTCCAAATTTGGTTGGACGTCAGAGTCTCAAGACAAATCGCACATCACATTCAACAAATGCCCAAAATCGGCTTAAACTAGAAATATTTCCGCAAATTTGCCTGTGTGGGCGAGTGTGTAGGCGAATGCCCATCAATCTGTCGTGGGCTAAAAGCTGAGGATTCTCGGAAATGGTTTCCTTTACTGGGTAAATTTCTCGTAAATAAAGGTACACACTGGATAACACTTCTGCTAAGCACAGAATGGGCCTGGTACAGCTCCGATCACTGCTGAATGGTAGACTGAAAATGGGAGCCTCCAGGTCAAAAAGGCAATATGAGGGTAAAATGGCGAGAGTGACTGGGCGAATGCCATATATTAGCACTTTTGCTTTTGGGTCAACACCAATGAGCGCTTTATCATCAAATATTGATGGATCCCAACCGCAGTTTGGCAATGGAGTTTTGGAATGCGATTGGAAACTTTTGGGCTAAGACCACATCTATGCCACTCAACGTTGGCTGACAGTGAAGGAACTAGTAGTTTAGCCTTGTCTCCCAGTGCTGGGAAATGCGGTTTGCTACCGAAATAAACCCGAGAAAGAGTTCTGTGGAGTTAGATATATTGTTGATCTGTTTTCATTATTCCTTTCGCATACTAGATTCAACCTCACGCCGGATGGAATAAATTTTTGTCGGTGCCGTTCGAGCTCCGTATGGTGGCTTTCGGGGCAACGCTGTGAATTAACGGTCCTTGAGTAAATATACCAGTGCTCTTTGTACGTTTTGAATTATAGAAATCACGATTTCTCCAATCGTTGCAGCTCAAAAACCGTCTTAGCAATAACCTGAGCTAATTCATCCCCTTTACTCCAGATCTCATCATGGCCATGTTTCAGGTCATCAAGAAGGAGTAAATTTCTAGGAAGTCCTCTGGTACCCGCTGTTCTCCATTTACCTATCACTTTGGCCATGGTTCTTAGCTGTCCCACGTCAATTAATTCATCGGCTTCAGAATGAGCTAACACAGCCAACCTGCCGTTTGCCCACCAGTTTTCTATACTTGTTTGTCCTTCCACTCTGGCAGGTGAAACTCCATCCCATAGTTTTTCATCAGAACCGAAGGCAGCTTTGATGAATTCTTGGTAAATGACGATATCTTTAAAAGTATCACGGAGTGAACGCAGATCGTAGATTCCCGCAACACCCACTATTGCGATTGGCAGCTCTATATTCATCTCAGTGGCCTCACTGCGTTTAGATTCTGCATTTAACACACTTCCCATCACGGTTTGAAAGGCAAGAGTAGCGCCACAGCTGTGTCCAACCAGAATATACCTTTCTCCAAACTCGAATTTGTTCTGTAAATACGCGATTGCATTTCGTACATCATTGAGGTGGTCGGGATGGATTGCGCATCGCAAATCTGTCGGCTCAGTGGTGGTGGGGTCTTGGGGGAAATTGGGGTGGGCGGACAAACGATAGTCGATTGAAGCAAAAGCAGCGACCCTTTGTAGAGTCTGGGAATCGCAATCGGATGCAAGAGCATCAAGCGTGGGCTCAAAAGAAATGGATGTAATAGCCGGGTCACGCCACGCGCCGCCATGGATATAGCTTTTTCATAGATAGGATAAGCAAAGAGAATCGGATGAACTTAGATGATGGTGTTTGGGGATAGGGAGTAGTGAGTATACATTATCCAGACACTTGACGAGGGGTCCGGTTGTGGAAGAGAGCGAGGATAATACACAGAGATTTCCTGGAGGATATTTTTCTGCCCATATCGATGGGTTTCTCGATGGAATTCTGAGCCCTGACATGATGTCATTTTTGAAATTAGACACCTTCAATAGAATAACTTAGTGTTTTCTGACACTTTATGTGGTTGATACTAGTAATTGAAAGTTGATTCTTCCAACTCAAATCGCAACTTTGAAAGCCTCACCTCACACTAGACCTAATCGGGCTCAGCCTCTTTGACGACCAAAAAACCCACACAAAAGCAAGCTTCGTCGACAAAGGCCACGGGCGAGCAAGCAAGATCCTTGAACCACAGCATCATCCTTTTTTTTATTATTCAGTTTATCTGGTACCTATCGCTGTCGCAAATATGGCGGAGTATGTATATTTTCTCCTTGTTTTGTGGACTTTCACTAACCAGTCGTAGGAAAGATGCTACACTCAAAGCGGTCCAAGTGGAAGCGCTGGTAAGAAATTTCTATGTCGAGTTGGCGACTGCGAGGCACGAGTGTGAAGCTTACATGTGGCTCAGGTTGTGATGAAAATCATCAAACATAGCTCCCAGGCCTTCCCTACTATCGCAACCGGATCACTTGTCGGTATGGATGTGCGAGGGACACTCCAAGTCACGAACTGTTTCCCTTTCCCAGTTGTCGATATCCCAACCGAGTCCCATTTCGATAATGCTTCCCAAAATTCCGCTGCTGTTGCTCCGCGCGCAAAATCGAATACAGTTTATCAGGCTGAAATGATTAAAATGTTGCGGGAGGTAAACATTGATGCCAATAATGTCGGATGGTACACAAGTGCAAACATGGGGAACTTTGTCAATTTGAACGTCATCGAGAATCAGTATTACTATCAGAAAGAACTGAATGAGCGGACGGTGGCATTAGTTCATGATATTAGCCGTAGTTCTCAGGGCGCGTTGGCACTTAGGGCTTTTAGACTATCACCCCAGTTTATGGCCGCATTCAAGGACAACAAGTTCACGAGCGAACAGTATGACGCTGCCACCACTTCCTCCGATGGTTTCTTATAGAATCAGGGTTAACTAACACTTGCTTCCATCGATCACAGGCTCCAGAAATCGAACCTTCGATACCAAGACATCTTAGTTGAACTCCCCGTTCAAATTCATAATTCCCACCTTCTCACATCCTATCTCCACCAACTCCCAACCCCCACTCCTTCAGAACCCTTGGATTTCCCTCCATCCCTTGACGCTCTGACCTCTGGACCTTACTCCTCGTCTTCTCTGTTGACTCCCAACTTCGACAGCCTTTCTCTGAGCATTGATCCATTCTTGGAGAAAAACTGCGATCTACTCCTCGAAAGCATCGAAACTCACCACACCGAAAACAACAACTTCCAATTCTACCAACGATCTCTTGCACGCGAGCAAGCCAAGATTGCACAATGGCAGGCTAAGCGCAAAGCCGAGAACGCCACACGTACCCAGCTGAAGCAACCGCTGCTACCGGAGGATGAATGGCAGCGACTCTTCAAACTTCCCCAGGAACCCAGCAGGTTAGAGACATTGCTGAATACTAGACAAGTCGAGCAATATTCGCGACAAATCGACGGTTTCGTGGCTGCGACAACGGGGAAAATGTTCGCCGTCAAGGGCAATCTACTTCCAGGTGAATCCCAGGTTTAACGTCTATGCATTCGGCTTCTATACCTATCTTTCTTTCATTGTGATGATGGGATGAAACCGTCTACGGAGCTTGAATTTTCGTGATTTCGGAAAGAAAAACATAAACAAAAGCTTCATGGGTCTTGAATTGTAAATGATTGTATGGCGTATCATTGGGAATTTTCTTTGGTGCATCTATTTGTCGGCTGTTCGTTCCCTTTGAGCCGGTTAATTATGAGTTTCTGTAATTCTTTTGATATTCCTTCTCCCGGATTTCCACATGGTTCCTGCGTTGATTCCATACTTTAACCTGCCTAACTACTCGCAACGGAATCCATCTGGATGAATATATATCATGTTCTTGTGAAGATTTTTCGGACTCACTACGGAAGCATAAATGTTCCGGACGACAGAATGAAATAAAAATATTTATTAAACATGAACATATGTCAGCCTCTCCTACATATCTACCTAGTTTGATCTGATCAAGGCTCCGTCCAACGATGTGACATCTACCTGATCCGAGATTTCAAAGAGTCTTGAGAAAAAGAAACAACGAATATTAGGGTCAATAACTGCACATTGCTTATTGAGACAGTGAAGTACAGAGAAGAAATCCTAAGCCTAGAAGCGGAAGTCCTATGATATGCCCTGCCAATCTCAATCTCCGAATACTAATCCGCCCAATGATTGCCGCCAAAATCCATGTATATGCACAATAAACCGGGCCGAGCCTGACCAACCGACCGACCATATGATAATGCAATATGGACATGCCCAAGCAAATCACAGTCCCTACTTGTCATAAAACGTCAAACCAAGAAAATGTACTGAGGAATTCGGCGAAGGAAGGTGAAATATTCTTGAATCATGGGGAAAATAACGTAAATAGCCAGCAGACGGCGGATATGCAAATAGAAACGAAAAGAAACAACAATAGAACAAAGGCCAAAAACGAAGAGTAAAAGAAATGAAAAGCGTAACATCATATATATACGTTAGAAGAGGGGTTACAGGCGGGGAATTTGTTCCAGAGTTGGTAAGTCAACCAAGAAGTAATGCAAACGGGAATGTGACAGACGCCAAACAAAAAAGTTGATCAAAAACAAACTCAGCCGATTTGCTGATTTGAACACAGTCTGAGATGCAGAGGGGGAATCCAAAAAGAAAATTAAATTAAAAAAAAAGTCAAAAGAAAACAAGAAACATAACCCAAGTCAGAAAACACACATCGGGGTAAATCTCTGATGCAAACGATCCAAAAGCTCATATACACAAAATAAAACAAGCCATATGACAAGGAACCTCCATTATTAAAGGTAAGGTGGCGTGGAAAGGAAAAGCGGTGGGGGTCAGAGGTAACGCATTTCTATTACCGCCCCACATAAGCGTCTCCATCGCCCGCATTTGTTGCGACAACACCCGTGTGACAAAACACCTAGCAAAATCTTGTGAACAAAGAGAGAAAAGGCTATGGCCAAGAAAGTCGATTTTTGGAGAGAAAATGGTTCGATGGGTTCCAATTCGAGTTTCAAATGACTCTACAAATTTGTAATTTTTTTGAACCAACTGGATCGCTTCGGAGTGCCATTGGTATACGATGAATGGCGATGATAGTCAGAAGCATAACGATCGCCATATCGATCACCTTCACCACTACCCTCGCTGCTCCTGAGGGGCTCACGGACGGAATATCGTAACTCGTGACGCCTGGCTCGCCGTTCTGAAGCTTCGGCATCATCGACGCCATTAAACCTGGAGTGTCGTCGCGCCTTACGACGGGCAATGCGCCTTGCTTCCTCTTCAGATGATAGGGAATGGGCGTGAGGATCTCCTGGAGGAACGGGGACGTCGATAACCGTGGGAACAATAGGAGGTGCTTCGGGGGGGTCAGTCAATTGAGAATTCAACCATGACGACGTTTTATCCTTCCCAGCACCCACGATACCGGGATACGGCACATTAGAAGCATGGCGTGAGTGGCCATGACGAGGAGTGTGATGCTCTTCTCCTGGTATAACGGCAGACTTTCGCCGACGGGATTTGGCAGCTTCGTCACCAGAACGATGGGAACGATGCCGACGATGATCCGTCGCGTATTCATCATGGGAGTATTTATCTCGGGGTTTCTCAGCATACGATCGATGACGATCCGACCTTACTCTTCTCCCATCCTCCTCAAGTTCGTCTACCTCCCTCGCGCGACGCTTGCCTTCCATTCGTCGAATTTCTTCCTCACGTTGCTGCTCCTCCAATAACCTTGCAGCGCGGCGAGCTTTCTTCTCCTCACGATGTCGTTGTGCTCGTTCCCTCTCCTCGTCTTCTCTAGCTTGTCTTTCCCGCGCTTCACGAATCTTAGCTTTTTCAACATCTCGCCTCCTCGCGCGCCGTTCCTCTGCTTCTCTGTCCTCAGCCGCTCGGGCCTCCTGTTCAGCGTACTTCGACAAACGTCGAGCCTTCCTTTCAGCTCTTCTGGCTTCGGCATCCTCAGCCTCCGTTGTGGGTGCCGCATCCGTAGTAAAACCTTCGCCATCCGTCTCCACTTTAGTGGATCGGCGTCTGTCTCGTCGAACGCGACGGGCATATTCTTTGTCAGATTCTACTGACTTTCTCAAATCTTCTTCACGATAAGACCGTGATCGAGAGTGCTCTGGTGCTGTCGTAGGTTTGCGGAACGAGCCAAACAGTCCTAGCAAACCTTCTGATTTTTTCGGAGTTGCAGTGGTGGTGTTTGATCGTTTCAAGTTTGCACGTTCTTTTGGAGGGTCGATCACAAAAGCTAAATCCTCAGGGCCGGACACTACATCCGGACGTCCAGAGGAGCCTGGTTCAACCATGACAATATCATCATCCGCATTTCCAGGTTTCGGCTGTTGGTAGTACGAAGAGTTTTATATTAGCACACTTTATTCGTTTTATAAAAACGATACGCGTAGGGAAATGGGGACAGAAGTTCAAATTACATACCTCACGTTTAGATTTACGTCGATGAGGTTTCGAATCTATTGGGGAGTTTCCTGGCGAGATTGCTTCAGGCCCATCCCCTCCGTTGACCATAACCAAGTCGTCGTCATCGTCAATTGCATATGGGTCAGGGACTCCTGGAAAACGATTGTTAGAACATGCAATACGAGGATGAATATTTGGATACAGGCCAAACTTACTGGAGGCGCGTTTCTTACCATTGACATCCTTTCTCGGAGTCTTGGTGCCGTTCACGCCCATGAGCTTCGCTGCTTTCCCCGGCATTTCGACATGGCCGCCACTCGGAGAAAGAATACCTGAGTCATCAATGTCAACTGACGGACGTCTAGAGCTATGCCTCGAAGCTGAGGTGCCATTTTGTTTCATTGACTTGGTTCTGACGGGTGGCGCACCTCCCATCATGAAGTTGGAAAAACTCATGCCTCTGCTGTGTCGTGAGACTCGAGCGCCAGTGCTAGGGCGTTTCTCGTCAGAACCAGATGACTTTTCGACATCCTTTTCCGTAGCCGCAGGCGTTTTCTTTTCGGAAGCCATGGATTTAGACCTGGTCAAAGTAGGAGGTGGCTTTTCCTTTGGTTTTTTCACAGAAGATGAAGGTTCAGCATCGTCTTTTGGCTTGGATTCTTTCTTTACGGGTTTCTTGGGAGCAGCGCCCCAGAATCCCCATGAAGAAGCTCCAGCTGTACGTTCAACCCGGGGACGCTCCTTTTTAGCAGGTTTGGCCGTCGCAATATCGGGGGAAGCTTCGGCAGCTTTATTTTCATCAGCAGGAGCAGTGACCGGAGGAGGAGTTGCCATTTCATCCACTGCAACCTGTTTGACAGGAGAGGCCTTCTTGCTCTTCTTAGGAGCCTTTGCCGGCTGCGATTGCGTAGGTTTTGATTTAGGAAGAGGAGCCAAATCAACCATGTCGACCAGTTCGTCCTCATATGCGCCCGGGAAACTACCAGGAACCGAATCGCGTGGAGTGCTCGATTCGTCGAGAAGCGTGGCACTAGCGGCCGCAGTAGCGCTATTTTTCTTTGACGTGGACTTAGTTGGCACCGTTGATGCTTTTGGTTTTGATGACTTTTTGGATGGGGGTGGATCATTTGCGACTGGCTCTACGGTCAACTTGACGTCAGGTGGGGAAGCCAGCTGCTGAGGAACAACAGTGTGCGCAGAAGCCTTTTCTTTCGCCTTAAGCTTTTCCTTTTCCTTGGCCGCTTCTTTTTCGCGCTTTTTACTCTCCTCAAGTAATTTAATCCGCTCCGCGACCGATGTTTTGCCAGTACTTTTGATGCCAGTCGTCGATGTCGTCGTGGTCCTTGTTGTTGGCGCGCTTGGCGCGGTTGCTTTGTCAGCTGCTGTAGCGCTAGCCGCTTGTAGCTCGGCCATATCAGCGTCAACAGCGCTCGTTTTCTTTTTCTTCACGCTATCTTTACTTTCCTCCTTGACAAGTTTATCTGGGGCCGTCTCTACAGCCTCTCGACTTGTTTCCTCCTTTGTTTTGGAGGTTTTAGATTTGGTGAAAGTAGCCGTCGTAGCAACACCAAAAGTGCCTCCCCAAAAGCTTTTTACTCCCTTGGCCGCACTGACCTCCTCAACAGGTTCCTCCTTTTCCTTGAACTCATCTGTGACATCTACAACTTCAAACCCCCTAGATTTGGCCCTAGTTGATTTACTGTCCTCAACTCTAGATGATTTCAACGTGGTTGAGGTCGTGCGAGAGAGAGATGTTTTCTTGGTTTTCGAGGTCTTGGCTCCAGAACCAGTAAATGCACCCCACGTATCAATCTCCTCGACGTCAACTGTGGTTGTCCGGGAGTCAAGATCTTGAGCTGGTGGTGTTGGAGCTGGAGGTGGTGGTTCGTTGGCGTCTTTTCCTTTCTTACCCTTCGTTTTATCTGCAGCAGCTCCCCACCATGAGTTGTCATCAAGTGCTGGAGACTTGACCAGATCCGTAGAAACAGCATTTGCAGCGTTGTTGTCATTAGATTCGGCTACGGCAGCCGCTTGCTTCCTAGCCTCCCTCTCCTTCTTTCGCCTCTCTTTCGGAGTTAGCACTTCGTCAACCTCAATGAGCGGTTCAGGGTCAACTTTTGGTGGTTCGGGTTCTGGGACCGGTTCAGGCTCAAGCTCTACGGCTTTGTTCTTCTTGCCCTTTTTATCCTTAGGATTTTTTGATGTTCCCCATCCCCAGGAATCATCGACTGGAGGTTCAGGTGCATCTGGGACAGCAGGAAGAGGAGGTCGTTCTTCCGTGGTTTTCGCCTGAGCAGCGCCCTTCTTCTTGCCTTGCTTACCAGTGGCAGTAGCAGTAGTGGCCCAGCTAAGGGGGTCATCTTCTACGACAGCGGTGATGTTTTCGGTTTCCTTTTCTCTCGGTGATTCTTCAAGGATAGAGCTCTGTTTCCCTTTCTTGTCCTTCTTACTTCCGAAACCCCAGCTGCCGAAGCCCCAGCCATCCCCACCACCGCCTGAACCTCCGCTGGTCTTTGAGTTTTTGGAGTCAACTTTCGTAACCTTGCCACCATCACCAAAGTCGTCATTAAACCAATCAAGATCTTCTCCCGCAGGAAGAGGTTCAGGGGCAGGAGCCTCTTCGATCTTGGAACCCTTGGATATCTTTTTCTCTTTTTTTGATGTCCCCGCGTCCCAGGTGTTCACTTCGGGGGCAGCGGCTGGTTCATCTACCTTGGTCGGAGTCTCTTCTACAACAGCACCCTTCTTTCCCTTCTTACCCTTTTTAGTAGTGATAGCGGTAAATCCCCAGTCCTCGACAGGTTCGGCTTCCGGCTTGGTTTCGGGCTGGGGCTCGGGTTCAGGAGCTTGGTCTGCGATTGGTTCCTCGACTGCAGCCCCTTTCTTGCCTTTCTTCTTCTTGGTAGCGGTAGTTTCCCAAATATTGACTGGTCCGGGTACGGGCTCTGCCGAAGGCCTAGGCGGCTCTGGCACTGCCTCTTCTACCACAGCCCCTTTTGGGGGGTTCTTCTTCTTCTTCGTCGAAGACGCAAACGCCCCCCAATCGTCAGCAGTGTCCGCCTGAGGCTCGGGTTCGGGCGGGGGCGGGGGTGGCTCCTCTACTGGTTTGTCTTCTTCTATCACTTCTGCTACAGCGCCTTTCTTACCATTCTTTTTCTTTCCAGTTACGGTAAACGAGCTCCGATCGTCAACGGGATCAGGATCAGCCGTTGCAGGTGGGGGAGCCAGGGGCTCTTCGGCGACCAGTTTACCCTTTTTCTTCCTTCCCTTCTTCCCTGCCGGTGTCGCCCAATCCGCATCGTTCTCTAGCACTATGGGATCAGGAGCAGGGGCAAGTGCTTCCTCCTTCGATAGTTCTTCGGTGATATTCTTAGTCTTCTTCTTCTTCTCTTTCTTACTTGGGATAGAAGCCCACGCGCTTTCATCGACAGGTTCCGGTGGTTGGTCGGGCTCCGTGGGAGGCTCCCCAACAGTTTTCACATTTGATTTTTTGGCTTTGTTTCCCCATGTACCCCAGGTATCATCCTCACCGGCGGGCTCGGCAACAGGTTCAGACTGTTTTGGTGTTTCTTCAATAGCATCGAAGGGATTTGTGCCCTTCATTTTCTTCTTCTTCTTGTCATCCTTCGTTGACGTCGACCAGCCACTCCATTCATCTACAGGAACAGGCCCTGAAACAGGCTCAGGGTTGGACGGCGCTTCTTCGATTATAGCACCAGCGCCCTTTTTCGGTTTCTTTTCCTTTTTGCCGACAACAGCGAATGATGACCAAGTATTCTCCTCTTCTTTTTTCTCATCAGCGTTTGCATCACGTGTACCATTGTCTAGCTCATTTGAATCGCCCAGGTCGCCCAATTCGAAGCTGTTGGTGGTTGTGTTCTTTTTCTTTCCTTTTTTTCCAACGGGAGCCCATGCATCCAGTGTATCAACGCCATCATCTTTCTTCTCGTCCTTTGCCTTGTTATCAGCAAGACCCAGGTCACCTTTAGCGCCAGTGTTCCAACTATTTCCCCAGCCGCCAAAGCTGAATCCGGTGGTTTTGTTCGTATCGCCAGTGTCGAAAGATAAATCCAGCTGCGGGACGCCGTCATTTAAATTGACATCCTGAAAGGAGCTTTGGGGGGGTTCTTCAGCTGCAGGGGGATCAGCAGCCTTTGCGCTGTTAGTGATGGCTTGGCCGTGTTAACCAAAGGTTGTACTTGCCTTGTTCTTCTTCCCCTTCTTCTTCTTTGTTGTCGTCGTGAATCCACTCCAGTCATCGTCTGGATTGGCATCGTCAGCCCAGCTGAGCGAATTTCCTGCATTATCAGCGGTAGCGGCTTCCTCTGCTTCTTTCGCCTTGCGCTCCTCCTCCTCCTTACGTTGCTTTTCCTCCTCTCCCTTACGTTGCTTTTCCTCCTCCTCCTCCTCTTCCTTCTTCTTCTTCTTCTTCTTGTTCTTTTTCTTATTGCCGCCATCATCCCAGCCTTCGTCATCCCCACCCCCACCACCAGCACCATCATCGCCGCCACCACCTCCTCCCGCGCCAGCGCCGCCAGCGCCGCCAGCATCGCCATTTCCGGCGCTACCATCGGCATTTCCACCATCCTCACCACCGCCTGCTACATTGCCCTTGTCACCTCCATTACCAGGTTCAGTCCACTGATCCTGAGCGCCTTTTTTCGCCCCCTTTTTCTTTTTCGGGTGCGATCGGAATTTCGACGTGTCGTTGAGGTCAATCGGTAGTGGCGTTACGGAATCGCCAAGCAACGCCCCATCCGTCTTTACTTTTTCAGTTCGTACCGCGCTCCTAGGAGCAGATGCTGGCATCCCAACACGGCAATGGTCAAACTCGTCACGGCCCATGTACTCAGGAGGCATGTCGGCTATTACATTATCATAGGGAGGAGGGGGAGTGCCATACGGCGAGGGCGCAGGTTCAAGTGTGAGTAACATGTCGGTGACCAACGCGGAGGCTTTCAATGACGCGGCATAGGCCGAGTCGAATAGTGACTGTGCCGGTTAGTGTTGGGACATTAAAAAAAGAAAGGAAGGAAGGAAGAAAGTAGTTGAGATATAAAATTAGTACTGAATTGTCAAAGAAAAGGAGATGAACGATGGCTGAAGCCAGCATTATGGCTTGTCGAATAACCGCAGTCGCCGTAGCGTAATCACAAAGTCCCAGTGACGGATGTGAAATTTATATAGATATATGGCTTTGTCTCCAGGACAATGGAACCCGGCCACATGGCATCCGAGAAGGACGATTTCAATAAAACGAAAAAGCTTAAAAAGAAAGACAAAAAAAACAAGCAAAAAAAAAAAGAAACAATACAAAACCTCCAAATCCGATACAGTTACATACCATTGATTTCGATTCGCAGCTCATCTTCATAAAGCCGGCTCGGCGCAGCGCGCCCTTCAAGCACTCAGTTGACCTTCCCACGGAGCCCTCGTGGGCCTTCCCAACCCCATTCCAAGCACAGGATCCATTTCGCGACTTCATCATAATATCGCCGGAGCACCAGGGGAGCTCACGAGCAAGCGCTGGCTTAGTGGGGCCAGGTAGGTTTACTGGCGCGATCATCGCAGATGCCAGATTATTGTGCGGCTCGGCGCCGGTCGTATACAGCGCGGCTGCACCGATTGCAAGTGTCAAGAGAGCCAGCGAGGAGGGGTATCTCTAAACACATGGATGGCGATTTTTTTTTCCCTTATTTGTTTTTCTTTTCTTTTCTTTTAATGACAGTGACAGGAACACGCTCTGAATGAAGGTTATCGATGCGAAGAGGCGGTAAGTTGTAGCGGGGTTAAAAATTATGGGGGACGATGATGATTGTTGTGGAGCCGATTCAAGGTCCGAAATCTAGAAGAATTTGCGATAAACAATAAAATGAGGACTCAACAGAAGCCGTCCCCAGATCAAAATACGGAGAGAGAGAGAAAGGAGGGAAAAATAATAAAAAGATAAAAAGATAAATAAAGCCACCTCTTTTTTTCCCTCACTGTTTAGATATCCAAGGTGGGAAAAAACTTTTGGTTTTTTTTACGACTTCTTTTTTTTTTTTTTCCCGTTATCCTGAACTCGACCTTCCAAGCTCCCTGTGGCGGGAACCAGTCAAGAGCCGAGATATCCAATTTGCGTTCTGATGGGATGGAAGCAGCAGCGTCTTTAGCAAGGTCCTGCAGGCTTTGGCTGGCGCGAGCTGCGATCTTGCAGGATACCAATCGAAATCAACACACACACAAGTTCGACAAAGCGAAAGGCCGCAAAGGCAACTGGACGGCCAACGACCGGGGTAGAAATGTCGGAGCCAGGGACGGAGGGGAGGGTGCTGGTAAACAGGGAGGTTGCAATTAATTGTACCGTACAGCACCAGCAAGGCACAGCGGGCAAATCTGAGATGAAGGAGGGAGTCCCTGTAAATGGTCGGAAGAAGACGAAGCAGCCGAGGATGGAGGCGCAAGTTATTTATTTTTATTATTTTTATTATTTTTTACTTTTTTATTTTTCTTTATTTTTCCCACTTTGGCGGAACTGGCGAACGGGTCACAAGGGACGCTGGATCAAGAGAGTCAAAAAAGCGTCGCGATCAGCACTAGGTTCTCGAAACCAGTATGTCGCAGGAGTTGTCCAAGACGCGTTAAGTTCAGCAAAAGAGCACACAGCAGCTGGAGTCCCCGCCTCCTCCAAGAGCGCACATCCGAATCCGACACGGGGCTCACCAATCGACGGCCGTGTTGCAGACAAGGGCCACAGGTGGAGGGCAGGTCGGCAGCCGGGGCGCCAGTTGGGGAGGGTGTGTTGGGCGGGTGGTGATTGGGGACTGGCGCAGAGGAACCCACGCAAGGAACAGGCCGAGCGACCAGTTGCTGCGAGGACGAGGAGTGACTGGTTGTGATGGCGACGAATGTCCTCTTCTCGCGGGGTGGAAGAAGGAAATGAAGAAGATATGCTCCAATCGTCCTGGGGGCTGGTTGGTTTCGTGATCGTGTTGGTTGTATTTGCTTTTTCTCACTGTTTTTTGATTTATTATTGTTGTGATTTCGCATCTGTGTGTATCTCTGTGTATCTATGGCCTTATCACCGGGTGGGAAGAAAAAGCAAAAAAAAAAAAAAAAAGAATTAGCGAAAAAGGGCTGGGGAGGCCAGCATTCAAGGACACACCCGCAAGGAAGATTATATATATATATATATAGCACGGCAGCAAGAAATACTGTTTGCTGTGTCTTCTCCTGTCCTTTCGAAACCCAAGACCATTGCTCCGCATATAACCCTGGAGTTCACCCAGGGCATGGGGCATGGTGATGATGGTGATGGTGGCTGGGGAGTGCCGGAGTGGGGGCAGACAGCGACCATCAACAGAACAGCGCCAGCAGAGTCAAGATAGGAGATAGGCACCGTTAGGCACAGCGGTAGCGGAGAGCCCTACCCGCCGCCGTCAAGCAGTGTCCGTCGTCGAGCAGCCTGCATCATTAACAGAGCATGTATGATCCACCTCGCGCCTCTATCCCGGCGAGGTTTGGCGATGATGTCGTTACAAACTTTAATGTTTAACCAGCAACAACGAGTAATTACTTCTATTCGCAATATCGTTTACCTCATATACATATATATCTATATCTCAAAACAAGAGACAACAAATTTCCCAGCCATTCATTCAGGCCACAACATTGTCATAGAATCATCATCCTCCCCCCTCGAAAAATTTTTTTGTTAAAAAAAAACAAAAACACCCTCTCCAGCAGCTAACTTTTCAAACCCTACTAGTCGCCCTTCACCGCATCAAGAACAACTCCTCATAGGCTGGCAATTCTCTCTGTCCCCGTCACCATTTTCTTCTCCTGCTCTCCTCTTGGCCGGCACGTCCCCGGCGGACCCTACCGCGACTTGCAGTTACATGTCGAGCTTGCAAACTCGCTGCAAGTCAGCATGCGCAACGCGTTTTGCTTGTGGTGGATGACAGCGGATGCCAAAAGAAAAAAAAAAGAAAAAAAAAAGAAAAAAAAAGGATGGGAGATTCTGAGAAATGGAGCTTCCGGAATCCTCTCTCTCTGCATGTCTCTCCAAGCGAAGAGGGCTTGCCAACTATGCCCCTGAGATTTCTGACCAGCTCCAGCCCAAGTGCTGCTGCTCTCGAGTTATTGCAACATGCCACGGCTTCCATGCTGAGTTTTGCCCTAGACCAAGGTGCTTAGGAAGCCCTCTAGATAAAGCTAATGACAGCCAATTGTCTGGCTAAAAAGGATTTGAGGAAGCGAAAGAAGAAAGGGGATATATGGTTCCGCGATGGCGTGCATGAGCATTCGTTGAGCCTCACGCTGGCAACGCGCAATGGCTATGCGACTCGGCCGGTCTGGTTGCGACTGAGTAATTGCTTCTCGTTCCTGGAAACTTTTTGGCCAAATAACCTTTAACAACCTCTCCAGTACGTACTCTGTACTTCAAAGGATCCTCTGGAGATGTGGGAGCAGCAAATATGTCTTCTCCACACACACATATTGGACGTCCAAAATTCACCCAGAACGTCAACTTTCAGCAATTATCCCCATATGAAACATATGGACCCTGAAAAAAAAGTTAGCCAGAAGGACGGCGATAGATACGTCCTCCCGATGGCTAACTAGTGTTCCAGCTGATCTACCCATCATTTTGCTTATCTTTCAAGTAGTTACTTATTGATTGTTCGACTTTTTTTTCTTTTCTTTTTCCTTTTCTCACAAGCCGCAGACGCACCCTTGGGCTAGACGCGGCATATTGGAATGGGGCTCCATGTTTGTACAGTACATACATACATACATACCTAGGTACATATACATACAAGTACACATCACCGCCAAAAAAGGAACACACGAAGCCCCCCCCAGGGGTTCGAGGGCACACTTTGCTGAATCCACTTCTGATCCAGTCAGGCAGCAAGGCATATGTAGTTATAACAGCTCACTCACCAGCTGTGCCACTCCTGGAGCTTCCGGCAACTTGCGGTCAAGATTTGTTTTTTTTTTTTTTTTTTTTATGATGAAAAGGGTAGAAAAACAAAAAAAAAAAAAAAAAAAAAAAAAAAAAAACATGGAGGGAAGCTGGAAGCAAAAGGCCAGACTTTGATAAGATCATAACTTTGAGCACAAGGAGGCAGAGTTTTCCACTTGGGGATAAAAATTAAAGCGGTTAACTTAAGCCACGTTGACTTGACTCTGGTAAGCTCTACACAGTTACCAATATAAATAATAATCCTCCCCCCTCCCCTTCCCACACCAACCTCCGCAGAAATAACGTTACAAAATAAATGCATTGCTCGTTCAAGATTTTTTACCAATATAGAAATGAAGGGTACAGCAAACCATATATTGCTAACATGTTATCTTGTAACAGAGATAGAGAAGGGAGAATGGAACCGATAAGACAGACCTATCTTCCATCCGTCCATTTCCATACAATATTGTTAAAGGAATAAAATAACAAAAGATGATATAAGACACCCGTAAACCACTATTAGGTACGGCAACACAACAGGTAGAATAAAAATAGAACGCGAGTAAAAAAAAAGGACATTTGTTGGAAATCATTTTCCATATCCGTTGAACCTCTCTTGAGCGCTCACATGAATAGCGGGCTAGGAAAAATGGAAAGCTGACCGCGGGGGAACCTGCAAAAACAAACTCATAATCACACAGAGTCAATGGAAAGAGTGCAAGCGAAGGCTCGGGAAATACAATATCTCATCATACGATATTGATTGCTAAAATTACAAGATTTCGGCTTGATGGAAACAGTCATCTACACAGGGCTTGCCGATCTAGATCTAGTCGGAGGGTCGGTGCCATAAGCGGATTTAAAGTCATGAATGTATCGATTCTTTGCTTCAAGAGCCATTTGTTGGTATTTCTGTGGAATGTACATGTCAGTTTCGCGTGCAAGGTCTACGAGGTTTCCAAAATAAAAATATATGATTAAATGGGAGAAGAGGTCGATACCAGGGGCCTCTAAAGAAAAAAGACAAGGAATCTGAAAAGGAAAGTCTGATAACTGAAGGAAATTACTGCATACCTCCTTTTCGCTCATTGATAGGCTTCGCCATAGCTCTGCACACTTCTTCATCCGGTCACTGGTAGACACGTCTCCACTTGCAGATACTTCCTTCACGAAGTGCATGTATGCATTGGCAGGTCGCTTGGGCTGCCTATCATCCGAAATTTCCATGAAACCTCTCTTCTTGTTGAGCAATCGGCGCAGCCTCCGGCGGGCCGCGTTGGCCTCCTTGATCTGAAGAGGGGTGTGGCGATTCACCCAGTCGTGAAACGCAGCTCTGTTTGCAGCCCGGTTTGATTCCGCAATTTCATCGAGGCGCTGATTAATCCATTAGGAACCATGGAGCAAAAAGGAAGGTAATTCGAAAAGCAAGTAAAATGGGGGGAGCATCATACCTGGCGCTCTTCTGACGGTAAATTTTTGTAGGTGTCAGAAATGCCCGCAAACTGCTTGTGTTGTTGTTGAAGGAGTATGTAAGCTGTTTCTGGCAGACTTTTTGGGGGCTCAAGTGCCGTAGCCTTGAGTTCTGCGATCGCTTCTCTAGCCTTCTTCTTCTGTAAAGCTTCCTTTTGCTTTTCGGTCAGCTGCTTTCGCTTCGGGGTAACTTTTACTTTGGGCTTCGCTTTGGTTGACTTTTTAACAGTCCTCTTGGCTGTCTTTTTAGTGGGTTTAGCGTTTTTCTTTGCTGGAGTGGAAACTGGTTTCTTCGAAGTTGTTGTACCACCAGCCTTGGCTCCCCGGGCAGCTGTCGCATACGTTTTCTTTGAGAGTATTGGGATTGTGCGACGAAATAAGCGAGCGTTTGATGAGGATGAGAGGTTTCGAGAAAAGACGATAACAGATCGGTATGCTGGAGCATTGGCAACGGCCATGCGAGCTCCAGTGGAGCTGGCTTCAACCAAGTTCACACATCTCAGGAGCACACGACCACGACGGGCGAGAGCGAAAGTCATTGTTGATGGACAGGAGGATATTCAATATCAAGGCCAACCATAAATAAGTTGGGTATTGGCAAACCAACCCAAATCAATTGTACGTGGCGCAATGTTGCCTGCCCAATTATTGCATCCGGACTGCCTCCTTTCCACAGTAAACAGCGATGCGATACGATGCGATACGATGCGACGTGATGAGGTTGGGAGAATCAAGGGAGAGGTTGGGGTTTGTTTTGGGTTGGCTGAAAATAGCAAGGTGTGGGGCCTCGGCTTGATCTAGCTTCATTGGGCATAGTGCTGCCAAGATATCTCCCAAACTGTCGCCATCGTGAGAAAACAATCAATTTGTCGTTACCAGTGGTCTCAACTTCAGTAAATAAGTGCGAAAGCGCACATTCTCCGGCAGATAACGACCGGATCATTTTCGGGTACCTTCCTTTGCTCACCGCGAGGGTTATGGTGGTCATTCAAGAGTGCTTCTTTTTTGCGTAGAGCTAACCGCCGTCTTGTGCTCTCCACGTTTGCGTTGGACTTATCCAGCAGTAATACCTCACTCAAAGATTTGGCCTACGAAATGGCTCGGGATACTCGCTCACCATCGCCTGTAGGCAGCACCCACTCGTTCAAACGGAGCCGCAGGGATGAGGACCGGAATGATAGAAGTCGCCGGGATGATGTGAGAGGACATCGAAGGTCCCGAAGTCCCGAGGCAAGTCTCTCTCCGATTCAGTCGTTCCGCCAGCAGGTTATAACTAACATTTTCTGCTTTCAAGAGGCGATATCGTGACCGCGACCGCGACCGTGACCGCGACCGAAATTCTTATCGAAGGCGAGATCGCTCGCGCGATGATCGAGATGACCGCCGGGACGAAGACACCTATCGCCCCAGTAAGAGGGACCGCTCCAGAACCAGATACCGTTCACGAGACCCTGACGACGATAGAGACTATCGTCGCAGAAGTCGCGATAGGGAGCATCGAAGCAGGCGAGATGAATCCCGTGACCGAGGGCGGAGAAGACGGAGCCACTCTACTGACTCCAAGCGCGCTTATAGACGGGATGATAGCAGAGAACCGGTTTCAAATAAGGCTTCAGGCGTGAGGCCCGAAGAGGTTAGTCCCAAGCCGAACGTATTGTAACGGACATGAAATTATAATTAACATTGATTTTACAGACGTCGAAACCCTCTACTCCAATCCCAGCTCCCGCCCAAACAGACGAGGAAAAGAAGGCTGAAAGACGAGCCAAATTTCAAGCTTGGAAAGAGAAGATCGCAGCCGAACGTGAACGGAAAGAAAAAGAACTTGCAGCAGCGGGTGGTGCGCGGAGCATACTTGATGAGATTGATAAGAAAGCAGCTTCGGCTCAAAAGATCGCGACCCCTGAAACTCCCACAACCCCTCCAACAACTACACCTGCGCCTGCGCCATATGCCGGGAAATACGACCCCAAGTCTGTTGCAAAAAGCGCTGCAGCACCATCTCCAGAACCATCATCTCTACTAGGCAAGGACATCAGCGTCCCAAGTATCGCTGCCTCCTCTGCAACATCCACACTTTCGATTGCAGGAAGCAAGGCTAACAAATATTCAGTTTCTGCAAGCACTCCTTCTGGTAAGCATCTAGTTCCGGTTCACTCCTCTTCTAGTCCGTTCATTCTCACTTCTGGCTGGGCCAACTAACTAACCTCCACTCATCGAGTAGCAACAACCTTAAAAGCCCGAGGAAACATAAGTGGCTTTGGCTTGGGTGTTAAACAAGGAGCAGAGTTAGACAAGCCTTCTTCCAAGCGAGCTTTAGATTTTGGCGACGAGGAATTGACCAAGAGAAAGCTGGCGAAGCTTCCTGACCCTTCCCTAGAAGATGCGGCCGAAGCGAATGCTAACGAGGCGCTCGACGGTGTTGGTGAGGATGATGATGACGATGATGTCGATATTCAAGATGGCGGGACAGAGGAGGAAAATGCTGCTGCTGCAAGGGCAGCCGCTGAAAAGCGAGAGGAACGACTACAAGGCCAAGGCCTTAACCGACAAACGCAGTTCGATGTTCAACCGGAAGGTACGACCTCTACAAGTCCGAATGGTGATGTTGCCATGACAGATGAGACTCAAACTGCCACTCTTCCCGTCACAATGGACGTGGAAGAGGAAGAAACTGACCCATTAGATGCATTCATGTCTGGTCTTGCCGAATCTGCGGCGGCTCAACACGGCCGGAACAAGACAAACTTCTCAAAATCGCAACTATCAAAACCTGAGGCAATTTTTGGAGACGAAGATGATATAGATATGAAAGCAATTGACCCCGAGGCGGACGATTTCCTTGCTATTACCAGCAAAGGAAGGAAGAAAAAAGATCTCCCACCCGTAAACCACGAGAAAATGAACTACGAACCCTTCCGTAAAAATTTCTATACCGAACCGGTTGACCTAGCAGAGCTTACGGAGGAAGAAGTCGCTGCGCTGAGGTTAGAACTTGATGGAATAAAAGTCCGTGGGGTTGATGTCCCGAAACCAGTTCAGAAGTGGTCCCAATGTGGACTTGGAGTGCAGACACTGGATGTCATTCGAAAACTTAACTATGAAAATCCCACATCAATCCAGTCCCAGGCAATACCAGCAATCATGTCAGGTAGAGATGTGATAGGGGTGGCAAAAACTGGATCTGGCAAGACGATAGCATTTCTGCTCCCAATGTTCAGGCATATCATGGATCAGCGGCCGTTAGAAAACATGGAAGGACCAATAGGACTGATCATGACCCCGACCCGCGAACTGGCAACCCAAATCCATAAAGAATGCAAACCGTTTCTAAAGGCACTGAATCTTCGGGCTGTTTGCGCTTATGGCGGAGCCCCTATCAAAGACCAAATTGCCGAGTTGAAACGTGGCGCAGAAATCATTGTTTGCACCCCTGGTAGAATGATTGATCTCCTCGCTGCAAATGCTGGGCGGGTAACTAATTTACGACGAGTTACATATGTGGTGCTGGACGAAGCGGATAGAATGTTCGATATGGGCTTCGAACCTCAGGTGATGAGAATCCTGGGAAATGTTCGGCCACAACGACAAACTGTTTTATTCTCGGCCACGTTCCCCCGTAACATGGAAGCCCTTGCGCGGAAAACGTTAGCAAAGCCCGTGGAAATCATTGTTGGTGGAAAGAGTGTTGTTGCACCGGAAATTACACAGATTGTGGAAGTACGCAACCAAGATACTAAATTTGTTCGACTTTTAGCTCTCCTGGGTGAGCTCTATGCAGATGACAAAAACGAGGATGCGCGCGCATTGATATTTGTCGATCGACAGGAAGCTGCCGATGGCCTGCTCCGAGACTTGATGCATAAGGGCTACCCCTGCATGTCCATCCATGGAGGTAAAGATCAAGTTGATCGCGACTCTACAATCGACGACTTCAAGGCCGGTGTATTCCCTATACTCATTGCTACTTCCGTTGCAGCTCGTGGTCTGGATGTAAAACAGTTAAAACTCGTTGTTAACTACGATGCACCCAACCATCTTGAGGATTACGTTCACCGGGCCGGTCGTACCGGGCGTGCCGGCAACACTGGAACCGCCGTGACGTTTTTGACAGAAGACCAAGAGAGATATTCGGTGGACATCTCCAAAGCATTGAAACAGAGCGGGCAACCGGTTCCAGAACCCGTACAGAAACTGGTGAATTCGTTCATGGAAAAAGTTAAAGCGGGCAAAGAGAAGGCTAGTGGTTCTGGGTTTGGCGGCAAAGGACTGGAGCGTCTCGACCAGGAACGTGATGCCGCTCGCAATCGAGAAAGGAAAACATACAAAACCGGCGAAGAAGGTGAAGAGGAAGAGAGGGAGGAAAAGAAAGACAAGAAGGACGACCTGTTTTCCAAAGCAGCCTCTGCTGTCCAAGCCACGGCAACGCCGGCACCAACACCAAGCGTGCCTAAGGGCATCGACCTCGATGGCAAGATTACTGTCCACAAGACGGAGAAACCTACTCCTACTTCGACTTCGACGAATAATCCTCTTGACAAAGTTGGCTCTGCGGTGGCTGATATCCATGCCCGGTTGAACAAGGCTGGCGTGATGAGGTCCGGCGTCCCTATTGATAATAAGGGTCCTGACGCCGGAGCATTCCACGCCACCCTAGAAATCAACGATTTCCCACGTAAGCACACTCTCCTTATTTTTATTCAATACATGTTCATTTTGTGCTTCGCTTTTTCATGTGTAATATATATCTATATGCGGAACAAAACTAACACAAACCGTCAACTACAGAGAAAGCCAGATGGGCGGTCACCAACCGTACCAACGTCGCCAAAATCCTCGAGGCCACGGGCACGTCCATTACGACCAAGGGCAGCTTTTATCCTGCAGGCAAAGAACCACAGCCAGGTGAAAATCCGAAACTCTACATCCTTGTTGAAGGGGACACGGAATTGGTTGTTACCAATGCAATGCGGGAACTCATGCGGCTGTTGAAGGAGGGAACCCTTGCTGCCGCGGACAGCGAATCTCGAGCCCCAACAACCGGCAGATATAATGTCGTATAGAAAAGCGTGGCAGTCCAGGTTCTTTACGTGGTATCTGCGTCTAATTTTCTTATCTTTATTTTCAATTGTTTCTCTCTTCTCTTCTTTTCTCTCTTCTCTCTTTTTTTTTATCTTTTATTGTTTTCCTTTCGTCCCTATTGCTATGGTCCTGGAACTAACTCTATTTGGGCAACTTCTTTTTGATCATTTGTACAGTATAGTTATATCATTAAGCCGGGGACCATGTTGCTCCTTTTCCCATCATTTGGCGAACTTTATTTATTACTTACAAGGCCTAGGCTTCTTTCTTCAAAGGGGGCGGTTGGGAGTGAAAGAGAGGGTGGAAAAGAGAAATGTTAAATCCCTTTGTTCTACTCTCTCCTCACCCATCTCGATGTTCGTTCGAGTTCTTTTTTCCGACTCCTTGATCCAAGGATTATCCTAAAAATAAGCATCGATCCAAGCGTGGAACAAAAGGCCCTGCGTACACTGAAAAAACGGGAATGGGAACTCAATGACTATAAATTCCACCCTTGATGGGGAAGCCGTTTAATGGTATTAATTAGGGGTAGACGGGGTTGTTGGTTTTGGATATATCACGGTCAACATTGGGTCAAATAGCGGATAGAGTTTTGGGCCCCCCCCCCCCTTCCCATTATTTTGCCTATCTTTCTTTCTTTCTTTAGGACCTCCAGCGTGAGCCTGTATAATTATAGTTTTTCCCCCTGTAGATCCTAGGCACATTCCCAAGGATGGAATGTGTTCACCCCGGCCGATTCACTCATTGCCAGCCATGGAAAGGGGGGGGGGTAAGGGGTTTGGGGTTGGGAGAAACCAAAAAAAAGTACCTGGAGGAAAATAGCTGGTTGAGTTAGCTCGTTAAGGTGATTCTATCTAACCAACGATGAGGAACAGTTGTTGTTCTACCCATAACCGGCGTTCAAAACTAGAACCTGTGTATTGACCGTACTAAAGGGGATGTACTTGCGCACAGGCTACTTACTATGTATAGCAAGGAAAGAGAGGGAAAAAAGGGAAACGAATCAGACGTCCAAAGAAAAGAGGGGGGGAAGTACCCCGCAACATGCTTACCTAGGTACAGTACAATACGTGTGTCCACGGTAGTTACAAGCCAAAGATAGAGAGAGAGAGAGAGAGAGAGAGAAAGAGAGAAGCACAGTTCCTACGGAAATCCGGGAAAAAAAAGAAAAAACGCCGTCCCTATGGTCAACAGCCAGAAGAGGAAGGTGAAAAATGAACATGTACCCAAAGGAGAAGAACAGAAGGACGAAAAGAAACAGATGCCCATGGCACGGCTTTGTTCTGGAAACCGAACAAACATCGAAGAAGATCCAATCCAGTCACGTCCCTCGCGCATCTCGCATCTCAACGGTCCAACTTAAAAGAAAGAAAGAAAAAAAAAGCCTGGGACCAAAGATAACGTTCTCAGTCCCACCTCCTCACAGTAGCAGCCGCATCAGCCTCTCTCGTGGCACGGTTATGGCGACTCGCTTCATCGAGGGTCTCGCTTCGAGTCTGCGCTTTCTGCGCGGCGAGCTGCGAGCTGAGTTTGCCCTTCTTTGCAGCCGATGATTGTCTCGCGGCTCGTTCCTAGAACCGAGGAGAGGTTTTTTTTAGTTGACTTGATTGTAATTTTTATTTTTTTAATTCTCTTTTTAGTATCTTTATTTTATTTATTTTATTTTTAATTGTTCTTTCTATGGGTTTTTTTCTTTTCTCTTTTCTTTTTTTTTAATTTTGTAGAAACAAAAATTGCTTAAACCTGTAGTTGCCAACTTACCTCTGCAGCACGCGCTGCCGCATTCCGCGGGTCATCCTTCCCTTGACCCGGGCTGTGGGCACCGCCGAGAGTTCTCCCTGTACTGGCCGATAGCGATGCACGGGGTGCCTGGGGAGGGGGATGAGGGCTTGTCCCGAGTACACGGCCTGGCTGTGCAAATGGTTCGGGTGGATTGGCGCTCTTGGAGCAGAGGCTTCCCATGACTGCTTCGTGGTGGAGGAGGAGGAGGAGGAGGGGGGGGGAGGTGGTGGTAGTGGTGGAGGCGGAGGAGGAGGCGGAGGAAAAGGAAGACGAAGAAGAGGTTCGCTGGACCTGAGCTCGAGCGCGCTACTATTTTTACGATTGCCCCCTGGGGCTGTTTCCGCTCTTCTCGCACCAATAAAGTTGCGATTGTGATCCAGGGCCAGTCAGGCAGCACGGCGGGGGAGGCGTTGGGGAGAAAGGGACGGGCCGGGAGGGCAACGAGCGGGGATGCAGTCGATGACGATTTGCGGCGAGCCGCGAAACCAGCGAATCCCAACCCTGGGTGATCGAGCGCTTGTCGTTAAACTAGGTATCCTGAGGCTTTGCTGGAGTCGGCCCTGATGCAGCAAACCACGGCACAGCGAAGGCCTAGCCCCAGCCGCAGAAGGAACGGAGCTGATTGGTCGCTGTAGCTAGCCGAGGGGCTGTCGAGTCACGTGATTGAGAAGGCTGGTGTGTATTTATGCCGAGGTAAAAAGTGCGTATTCGTATTCGTATACGCGGTTCCCTTTTTTGCAGCACAGTCTAGCAAGGCTCAGCGTTTGTTAGCCACGGGTGGGCAACAGCCGCGGGCTGACTAATCGCCGTTGTCACCGTGCTCGCCGTGCGTGGCTGGAACAGGCGCGCCAGTCCGCCAATCAGCAGCCGGGCCAAGCCGGGCCCCCGCCTTGGTCAGCGATTAGGTAATTAGCGCGCCGGCTCTGCGTCGCCCAAGGTCCCCAGCGCCATGGTGCGAGGCTCTTGACAACCACGGGGGATATTTTCCTTCCCCACGGCTCCATCTCCTCGCCGTTTACCGGGTCCTTGGGGGTCTGGTTGTTTCGTTCCCTCCAGTTTCCTTACTTCCGACCCCCGGCCGTCCCCTTTCTGAACCAGCATCGAACTCCAGGCGGTAGCTAAGAGAGCATTTAAAACGGTGCCATTGGGGAGCTTTCAAGATGGCAGAGAAACGCCTGCCGCTTGCTCCTGCCTGCATGGACCTCTCTCTGTCTCTGTGTGGAGGTACCTTGTCACCAACCGAGTATTGCTCAGTGTATCCTTCATGCCACGAAACCGTTGAGTCCTGCTGCGACGAGGATACCTGTTCTGCTGAGTGTTCGTCTGTCTGTGATGGTTTGGTGGCCTGTGATGCCTCCACCATCTGCTCGGAAATGCTCTGCGACTCCCAGGACTGCCAGAATACGACCCCGGTTTGCTTTGACCAGAACTGCATAGGTGACGGCACGGTGACTGTTGTTGACGACGGCATGTGCGACATGCTCAATCCGGACGGTTCTTTCAGCTGGAATTCGGAAGGCTTTCTGGATTCTGAGAACACTACAACCCCCGTTCATCATCATCCCTTTCACCACCCCCCGCACGATGCTCCAGCTAGCGTTTGTCCCAGTATGCATTCCGTCGGGCCCATTCCCCCGTCTGAACCATCTTTGGTTGCCAAAAACTATGCCTTCCAATATCACCAAGACCAGTCCTGCTCCTCCTTACCGCAAGCTACTTTAACTGAATCGTCAAACTCGCCGGGTTCAAATATCGACCACACAATCAACCTGTGTTCGACCCTCGATAACTGCAACCATGAGTCTCACTTCGGGCCCGTCTTCTCAGACTGCAATCCAGATGAATTCCTGGGGTTTATCCCCATGGAATTCCATGAGCAATTCCATTCCATTTATTCCCAGTTATATCCCCGGTTTGACGGCGGCTTGATGCTGCCATGCGAATTGCAACCCGAACATGTGCACAAGAATACGTCACGCTCCCTACAGCCTCCCCACCGTCCTCCATCATCAAGCGTATGTTCTGCCCACTCGACTTCGAGCCCATCTTTGACGCCGCCGTTACAAGGCAGCGATATCACTACTCCCCTCGCTACGCCCCTCACAACGCCCCTCACAAGCCCCGACGTCGAACAAACGAATGAGTTGTATATCTGCAAGTGTATTATAAAGACCGAATCCCATAATACCACCTGTGGAGCTAGCTTTCTCGAGGCCAGCAAACTCCAAGAGCATTTAATCCATGCCCATGTTGGCGCTATTGAAGGGCCCCAGGGACATGGCTTCTATTGCTGCTGGGAAGGTTGCCATCGCCCCAATGAGCCGTTTTCGCAAAAGTCAAAACTTCAAGGACACTTCCTGACACATAGTAACCGTACGCTTCCCTTCTACTCTTCGTAACTGTACATGTGCCCTGCGAGTATGAAATAACCGTCTCTTTGAAATTTTAGACAAAGGCTTCCAATGTTCCACGTGCGCGAAATGCTTTGCGAGGCAGGCAACGCTGGAACGCCACGAGAGAAGCCATCGCGGGGAAAAGCCTTACGTCTGCAAGCTGTGTCAGAAGGCGTTTACAGATAGTAGCGAGCTGAGTAAGTGTTCGAAAAATTCTTCTCTTTTGAGCTGCCGCCTTCTAATCGTAAATAGAAACGCACATGCGAATTCATACCGGCGAAAAACCATTTAAATGCAATTTTCCGGGTTGTTCTTTTGAGACTGGAGATGTATGCAACAACCTTAAAAAAAAATTCTATGATTTGCTTTTCCATATGCTGACATTGGCGAATGCAGTCATCAAATATGTCCAGCCACAAACTCAGTAGGTGACCCCATATCCTTGAGCTTTATTCATTGGTTTTTTTTTTTTTTTTTTTTTTTTTTTAATTTATTTACTTTTTTTCATACGCTAACGCCTTTGCTCAGCCCATGGTGTCCGAAAGCACAAGTGTAACTTCCCCGGTTGTTCGAAGAGCTTCACACGGCCAGGTAAGCTTTAGTATCCTAACATAATACTGCGCTACTCCCAGCGGCTGGTAGGGGGAAATATACAAACAGAATCCTAACGAATGTTATGTAATACAGACCAGCTGAAAAGACACATGAAAACGACCCATAAAGTAAACACCAACTCATCCGTCTCTGTTTCACCACCAGCTGTTAGACATTTTCCTCTAGCCCAATTCCAACCACCCTCCGCGCGCTCACCATTCTCCTTCCCCTACCAAACCGTTGCCATCCCGATGGCAACCGAATAAAACAGAAATTCTTTCAACATCGCACCACCTAACACACAACGATGCACCATAAAAAGCTCGGGGCGCAGCCAGTTCCGCGGTGGCTTGTTTTAAAGATTCTGCGCCCACCCTGGTTATTTACGGACATGAACATTTAACATTTTTAATGAAACCCGCCCCTTTTCTGTCGTTCGTTCGTTTATTTATTTGCCTCGTCTTTTTCCAGTTCAGCTCGGCGTTGGCAATTTTTCTCGGCGGTAGAATACAAAGAGATTTGGGAGGGGAAACGGCGATTTGGCTAGCCTACTTGACACTTTTTATACTGTATTTATTGATTTCTATTTTTCAATTTTAACCTCCCTGGAAAATCCGGCGCTGTGTTGTTGTTGGTTTTTAAACTAGCTGATTGGTTGGTTGATTGTTTTTGATTGTTTTATACTTTGCAGCTCTTTTTGAGTATATTTTTGGCCTGACTCCACTGGCTTTTGAAGCAACAGATAGCAGGGTTGCTTCTGATAGAAGGTATATATGATTTCAACGTTAAAACACCATATCATCCTGGACGGAGATCTCAAATGTTGCTATCTGCAATGGACCATAATCGCTAGTCGAGCAATAGAAATGGCAAAATGTTTTTGAACAGAATCATATAGCTATGCTTTAAGCATTCCTAGTGATTACTTTATCCATGAGAGCAGCCCTCCGGCAACACCCCACACCCTCTCCCAGCGGGATTCGTGCCATACATTGTATGCTCATGCCACTCTGTCCTCGCCAGTATGAGTGGGTGGGTGAATGGGTGGTGAGGCCAGGCCAGGCCAGGGCCGATCAACGGCCGTCCTTGAAGTTGAACCAGACTTGAGGGACGTTGGAAATCGGCAATGGCACTGATCTTCGGAACCGAAAAGGATAGGAGGGGAATTTTTCCTTGGTTCGGAAAAATTTCGCGGCGATTTGGATCGGCCCTCCAGATAACCCCCATCCTAGGAAAAAGCCCTGGCCTGATGGATGGGGGGGGGGGGGACAAAACCCCACCAAGCTCCATCTCCTGGGTCCCTCAACCCCCAAATTTCATACAGCGATTAGCAAACCCAGCCATTCACAGCCCGTCCCCTCGATTCTCGATTCTCGATGCGTTGGACCCAGGTTAACGAACTACAGCGTACAGAGTAGTTAGTTACGTGGTTTTGAACGAGGCTAGCAAAAAAGCGGTTGGGCGTTGGTCCGAAAGCTAGCAGCGGGTAGCATATGCTGGCATTCCAATGACAATTGAGGAACAAGATTCTACTCCGTACTTGCACTGAAGAAGGTATAGAAAAGGGGGCCTAAACTCTATCCATGTTGGTGCTTCAGCTTTTGCCGTGGTTGGAATATTTTGATCTTTCATTCTCAACCACCGGTAGTTGACCGAGTCGGCTTTCGGCGTTTTCGTTAGTGTTGAGAACCTAAGGATATATTATAGTCTCCTGCTGAGCAAAATATTGGAGTGTTGAATAGTGATCCATAGATGACTGACGTTCTGGAGGCCGGAAAATTGAAGGATGCATTCCACAGTTCTGTAAAAAATAAATACAGTAATTATGTTGGGAAAGTACGGAAGCTCCTGGGTTAGTGAGCAAGCCACAGGCATTGATCACCCCGGAAGTCCTCTGAAAGCTCATGCCTCTTTAATTAAGAAATGGAACGCCAATACTTGATTCCGGTATAGATATTTCAGTTTAAATTCTTAAAAACTTTTACAGCGCCAGTCCGGAGAGTTAAAGGGAGAAAACACTGGAGTTATATCAGTCATGCACTAACAATGCATAGTTACTAGTAACTAGTTAACTAACTGAACTACAAATAATGTAAGAGGGATTGGATTTGGGTGGCTCGTCCCCTCTATACCACCATGGCGCTGGCGGTGATTTGAGGTCTTTTGCCCAAGTGGCCCAATAATAAATAAACACCCAGCATTCTGCTCAGGAGAACACTTGACATATTTCACCACATTCTCGCTCACAACCACATCCCCATTAAGTGATATTGAACTCTATTTGTAACTAATTGATAGATCACTGAGACAAAGGAGCTTGACCACCAATCATCATCAGTGTCATCCACTGATGGAAGAAACAATGAATCATTATCAATTAACTCAACTACATAATACAGACTACCAGTTTGAACATTAATACGAATAATTTTTCAAAATATATAAATAGAAAGTAGCTTTTCTCCGAGTTCATCCTTGCCTCTTGACTACTAAAGCAGTCAAAATAAGTCTATTTTCACTCATTATTGTTTCTTTTATGTGAGAAGTATGAGGTTGAACGCTGAGTAATTGGCAGCGATCTAATTGGTCGCTCTTACGTTGGGTGCGGTTCAAGCTTTTGCCAAGAAATTGTGAACCAATGATGAACCTTGGCCCATGTTCAACTCTCTGTCACGTGATTACGCGCCATCGAAAATCAATAGTTATTTTAGGGTTCCGCGAACCAACAAAACACTGAAATCACCCGAAATCACCGCGGTAGCAAGGCACTTCACTCCTTACATAATTACAGACCGAGGTGCACTTCAAAAGCTTGTTCTCTCACTCGTCAGTAGTATGGTAGTCATTTTAGCAGCAGTTGTTAGGTAGTACCATTGGACTTGTTACCAACGTCTATCCTTTCAGGGGATGTTACATAAATGGTGCTTTGTCCCGCTAGCATCTCTATATCTAAACCTAAACGCATCCTCCCCGTGCTGGAAGCCTATTAGCTTTCCACAATCTGAAATATCAGTGCATGGCAGTTTACAAGGATGAGATCGTTGTACCGCCAAGTTGTACGAACTCTATTCTCAACGTTTTCTTAAGGTCGTTGCACTGAGAAGACTAGCTCTCATCATGGTTAGAACCACCATGTTCGACTAGATCGCCAGCAACAGTGCTCATCAAGCTTGGTCAAAAAGACTGACAATCTTACAAGTTGTGTCCACACACTCATCAGCAGAGTCTATGGACTAAATATTCTTCTAAATATAGCTACTAACAATGATTAGCATATTGTTCCATCCATACGAGGAGAAAAACATAATTACAATGTCATATAGGATTGCTAGATCTTAAAGAATATTGAAAAGAAGCTAAAACTCTATCTAACTATATCCTGTCAAGTTCTAACCATTGTTGATGATCAGCATTGACTGTGGCTTGAAACTTTAAGTTTCCCATTTCGACCCACCTTCAACTAGCACCCGCTTAAGGTTTAGTTAATCCCATGGGGTGGTTAGGCCTGGTATTTGGGATGTTTATGGGACGCATTGGACTAGCTAAATCACATTTAGAGTAGAGCTCCGTACCCGTGTGAACCACTGCACAATCAGAACCATTTTCAGTAAAAATGCTTAGAAAAGGAAAATTCGCCAAGCTAAAGTAGGTTAAGTATGCCCATCGAAAGGATTCATCGGTCCCTCTATTCAAAAGCAAAAGCTTAGTTTTACAGACAATCGCTTTTATTCAGTAAATTCTATACTCGGTTTATGAAATCATTTATAAATTACAACCATACAAAGGGGTAGACAATCTTCTAATTTTTTATTTTTTATTTTTATTTTTTAAAATTAAGTTCCTAGTTAAATTCAAATACTTCTGTCAATAGTTGATTCAGGACATCGAATCTCCCCCTTAACTATATAAATGCGCCGGGTGCATACATGGTTCGGGCAAAAATTGAACATGGTTCCAATTTTCGGCTGCAGACAGCTTTCAGCCGTGGCCTCGAACAGCAATCACATACATACAACACAGTCAATTACTAGCTACTTGTGAAGGCTATGTTCCTTTGATATGTCTAGACCCATATCGTATACAGCAGGGCACCTGGGTGGCCAGCCACGGGAAGTTTAGGTGAAGGGCACAGCTGGCAGGAAGTCCCTTTTTGGCCTTGTGATCTAGTAACACTGTATGCCCGCTAGTGCAAAGTCATATCAGACAGCCTCTAATTAATGGCTACACGGTGGATATTTTCCGGGAATAACTTTGTTTGAAGTCATTGTTAGAGAAATCTGGATACACTATAATAAATCAGAGCACTTCATTAATCGATATCTCAACACAATTACCCTGAGTCAGTTTCTCATATATATGAACATCTTTATTTATAAATAAGTAAGAATAGATAATAAGAACTCTGTAAACATTCTGCGAAAACATATGACGAATATGTACCACACATATACTGAAGTATTCAGCAATATCATGTCTCACTGTCGACAAGTTATGCTACAGGGGCGAATAATAAATGGGATTGCAATAAAAGTTTGACATGAGTAACATGGTTCTAACATATGCATTTGCAAAAACAACCTATGGGGGATCAGGCATGTTTCTCTGCAATATTCGGACGGATTCCTTCTTTCTTTCTGGTTCAGGTTCAGACGTTGGCGCCACTGCCGAAGCTTTTCCACCTGACCATGTTCACCATGACTTAGGGTATGTTGTTCTGGTTGCTGCCGTTTTAATGCCAAAGCCGCAGGGTTAAAACTGTTTTAAAAACACCCTGTACATCCTGAGCAGGCATTACATAAAAACCCACTCATCAAGCATATGATACAGGATAGAACGGATAGCTAAATGCCCCACGGTTTAGAGGAGTTGCTGAACCAGCAACCATAAAACTCTCATCTGTTCGTCAATGTATGTACAAGTACACGTAACGAGAGGGGGAAAAAAACAAAAAAAAAAAAAAAAAAAACATAACCTGTTCACTGCGTAACGCTCTCTTCCAATTGCTCTACTGCGTTCCTCAGCTCCCTAATCCTCCGCCCAATCCTCTTCTTAATCTCCTCCCGAACTTCATCCGGGACCTCTGCCGGGTTAAAATTCATACTACTACCATTCGGCCGTCCTCCGTCTCCCTCCCTTCCCTCCCCTCCCTCCCCAAACACTTTTGCCCCATCTTCCTTTCCTGCCGGTCCCGCGTTGGCAGGTCGTTCAAGACGTGATGGATGCGGTGTAGTGCCTGTGTAAGCTGAGTAGGCATGGTCGAGGTCGTCAAAAGCTTCGCGCAGGGAAATACGATCGGAGACGGCATAGATGGTCGCGGCAGCTGTAGATTCAGCGGCGATTTCAAGCTGGAAAGATGGGACAAAAAAGGGAGATACAAATTGTTAGTTCGTTTCGCGGAAACTTGCCAATGTTGATATATTTGTTTTGCGTGGAAATAGTGGTTATATGCGACGTGCCTCGTCTTTTACAATCTCGTATCTGTATTGTTTTTAAGAGGGCAATGTCGTCTGGTCAGCTCATTATTTCCTTTCATCCCAAGTAGCTTGTGTCGAAGCTATTCTAGTTCGGGGGGAGCGAGAGCCTCGCCGGTTTCTGAGGACAAAGGGCGTTGGTGTGTGGAGCAGTGGGGAGTTCGCGGCTGGGGACGGACTGACAAATCTTGGAGTTCTTGGATGTAGTCATCTGCCTTTGGCCGCTCATTTTGTGATGCGGAGGAGAAATCCCTTGTTTGGCGACACGATCGAAGAGACACTGCTGTTAACATAGTAGTGTTTGGAGCAGAGGATAACGAGTAAATCGTGATGCGGGAGTTTCTGCCTGTGTTTCCGCAGGCTCTTGTCGAGTATCGGGAGGTGCCCCGGAAGCAAGGCAAGACAGTGGTAGTACGTCGCATCGCATGAGGGAGAAGCCTCGACATGCCTATCCTACACGCACCCGTGCCTTTTGCGATAGATCCCCCTGGCAGATGCATCGTGTTGCGATGATAATTCCTGCTGTACGGTTGCCTGTTTGACGATTGCAGACACGGGGTCAACTGGTTGTAGTCCTGTAGACTTCAAAAAAGAAAACCCAAATGGCTTGTGCCACGTGAAGTAGAAGTTTAAACCGAAGCAAAAAGGTCAACAATCCAACGCCAAATAGGAGGTGAGGTTGACGAATGACGTCATATTCCATTTCCACATATTGACGATCACGTGATATAAAAACACCTTTTCCCATGAAAATTGTGGTTGAGAGTGTGTCGATATTGTTACAAATTATCTACTTTGGGCTGAACGGATAATAAATAGTTAATAAGTCTAATCTATGTATCCCGGCCAGTTCGACAATTCCTGTTTACGCAGCTATGGACAACCTGAAAACAGCCCGAAAACAACTCTTTAGACAAGCCAATATATCGGAACATTCCACGCCAGAAAGATTCCAAAAGCTGTCCTTTCCATGATGACATCGCCTACAATCTGGCTCTATTACATTGAAGCTTTGCTGCAATATCTTTCCACTTGGAGATTTGGGTATCTCATCGACAAAGACCACTCCACCGGTTAGACACTTATGTTTGGAAGCACGGGGCTAAGCCACTCTTGGATCTCGACAGCCGTAATAGATGAATTTGTTTTCTTTCCATTCTCCTTGGTGACAATGGATGCACGTGGGAATTCTTTGTTGTCGCTATACGAAGTGGAATCCCATATATGCTAGTCCGAGGATGCTTTTGTGGATTTTTCTATCGATTTCCTTCCTTTCATGGAAGGCTCTTACATTGTCATACCAACGACAGCCGCATCGGCGATGTCATCATGTTCTAGCAATGCGGCCTCTAGCTCAGCCGGTGCGACTTGCAGGGCGTTGACCTTAATGAGCTCCTGATTGAGGTTTAAGTACTTATTACAGGAATATTTCATCCAGAGTGTAAATGTGGCATCTATACCTTTCTGCGATCGACGATCCAAAACCAGTCTCCGCGCTCAATGGCGATGTCTCTCGGAGAATTGTTTCGCGCGTGGCTGCTTCGTTTTTCCAATATCCCATTGTTACATTCGGTGATCGGATATGTATCTCACCAGGAACATGCATAGCAGCCGAAGTTACCTCGGTCATTTCCCGCCCTTGTTGTACTATAACCCCAAGCTTCTGAGATACCTTGTTCTGGAGCTTGCGCGACAACGGTGCAAGCTCCACAGGTAATAAGCTTTACACTGGCCAAGTCATACTTGGCCGTCTCGGGTCTTTTGCTCAATATGACCATGAATCCATGATAGGTGGCGCGACATGCAAACTCGTTATCTTATGATCTTGCATGGGCCCGTACACGTGGTATATACATAATGGTAAAAAAAAAAAAAGACAATCCACCGCTCAGGGGGTCCGCCGTCTGCAGAGTAACGCTTCAAGGCTCCACGAATAGCCATCGACTGCAGAACGTCGGCTATTATGTTCCGGTGGCTCACGCATACTCCCTTCGGTAAGCCTGTGGTGTCTGATGAATAGTTAAGATGCCTCATCTCCGTTCAATCCTGGCCATTGATACGAATGTGACTCTTACACGGTTGCTAGGAGACCTTTAGTCCAGTCCCTCAATCCATTTTTGGATGAGTTTACAGTATCCGAAAACTAGAATAGCCGATCCGGGGAGATATCGGTCTTCTCTGCTGCTGCAATCACAGTGTTAACCAGAGACGGTGGACCAGGACGATTTTGGCCTCCATGTTACGTAAGAGTTGGGGCGTCCAGGAAGCTGGCCTGGTGTTATCAAAAAAAAAAAAAGAAAAGAAAAGAAAAAAGGGGGAGAGTGAGAGAGAAAGTAAAAATGGGATATACCAAGCACGGAAATCATCAACTGAAAATTTCCAGGAACATATGTACTAGTATGCAAAAGAAAGATAGAACAGAGATGAAGTAACCAAGACCATTTAATATTGAGTTTGCGTGTCTCCACTTGAGATAGATCGGTTTCGCCAGTCAAGTCGGCGTCCGGTCCGAGAGATGCTGAAAAATGCTCGCTCGATTGCCGAACGCCGGACTGCCCATTTCGTTTTTATCTCAATTGCTTCGTCCTTTGTACTTGTGCGTATATATATATATAATATGTACATGTGCATACATCTATACTATATAGGCGAAAGTACGTTATCCACTGCCGGTGGTTGAGCACATTTACTGTAGCTCTCAAAGCAATAAATAATATACTTCATATTCCTCAAAATATTTATTGAATCATTCAACATTATCATTATTTCATCGATTGATAAGTTTAGCTTCATTTATTTAATGGCAAAAAGGGAGGAATAAGGTTAATCAATCCATCCCTTCGACCTGATTTCGGGGGAAAGCATAGCAATATGAAAAAAAGGATGTGAAGGTTAATACAATAATGGATTTTCGAACAAATCACAACTAAGTTAACGAAAAACCTAACTATAAAACTTTCTCATCGATCGTAACAGTCGTGCCCATTTTTTGGGATCAAAGAGCAAATGAAAGACACAACATAATCTAATATCGCAACAAATTCCCCCTCCCATCATGAATATACCTGGGCGCATCCTTCACACTCACCAGCGACGGTGAGTTATTATTATTATTATTTTGGCTAAGGCGATGGTCACGATCATCCGCACTCAAACTCCTCGCCTCGCGCTCTTTCGTCGAACGCCTTTCCTTCCTCTCTTTCCCACACCTGGCCTTGAACGAATTACATTTCGCGCGGTGATGAGCAGCATCCCTCCGCTCGTCAACGGTACTCTTGATCCCAATCGCTGCTACGGCGACGCTCGCCACGTCTTTCAGGTTATTCTTAGTGCGCTGCCTGCGTGCCTTGTCGGAAATGATCTCGCCTTGGCGGAGCTGGGCTTTGCGTTCCTCGCGCTTGAGACTCTTGACGACAGTATAGCCGGCATGAACGGCGGCTAGTGTTGGGAGCCCGGTGGTGGCGATCTCACGGCGTCGTAGTTTCCTATGAGTGCGTTTTTCCTCGTCGGTGCTGAGGCAGGAGGATTCAGAATCAGTGTCATTGCCATTGTTAACAGAGAGAGGAATCACGGCACCCCTGTCCCGTAAAGAGGAAAAGGAGGAAGAAACGGAGTGGGAACCTACATCTCTGGAATTGCTGTCGCGGGAATGACTTCGCCGACGCCGCGACCGGTTTTTATCTGAGCTCCCAATGTCTGAGTCGCTGTCGTCGTTATATCGTTGTCTTTCACGACGTCTGTTACTGTGGCTGGAAGACTGCTTTCCTTCTTCCAGTCCCAATGCAGCAAGGCCTTTGCTCAGATACTCCGAAACGCTCTGGCTTCTCTTCTTGCTCCCCCGGCTACGACGTGATCGGTCCGGGCTGCTGTCATCATCGGAATCATTTGCAGAGCGTCGCTCGCGAGTTCGGGGCTTTGAAACAAAATGATCATATGCAGATTTCCCGACAGCTGCCAGGAGTCCGGCAGAAGCGAGCTCTTTTGCCCCGCGGCCTTCTGACCGTGCCCGCCCACGAGATCGAGAGCGGGAACGAGGCCCATTGACCACCCGGTTGGTAGCCAGCCCTGCCAGCGTGGTCTCGATGAGATGGCGTTTACTGTGTTTATCTGAGTGGCCGTCAATAAGTTTGTTGGCTCCACCTGCACCGATAGCTGCGGTCAATACTCGCTTTCCTTTCTCGCCTGTCCAGCTTCCAGGCTCCTTACGGGCGCGGAAAGCCTCCGCTGCGCCGGCTGTCAATGCAGCCCTGAGAGTCCGAGCGAGCTCCGTTTGCTTATCGTCACGGTTGCGGGAGCGGGAACGGGAGCGGGAACGGGACGAGTGTCGCTGGCGACGACGACGACGACTTCGAGAAGGATCGTAGTCAGGGTCATAGTAACCGCGATTAGAGCCATAGTTGCGGCTGTCGTCGCGACGCCTTGACGAGTGCGACTCGGAAACCCCTCCCAAGCCAAAAGCAGCCAAGGCTTGTTCGCTGAGAGACTTCCGTCGCCTAGGTCTTGGAGACGGCGTTCTAGAAGTGGATGAACGAGAATTCGATCGTCGGGAACTACGGTAACGATCATGATCGCCTATCCTCTCAATTAGCTTTCTTGCACATAAGTCGTAACTAATTGTTACCTCCAATGGGTGACATAGCACTAGAACAAATTAAAAAAAGTAACAATCCATTGCCGTTATCAAAACTTACGTCGATTTCCATAACCATGTGTACGAGAGCGTTGGTAACCTTTATCTGGAGCATAGTGGTCCCCATGACGATCCCGACCACGACCACCAGCAGAATGCGTACGCCTCACACTAGGGTCATGCGCTGTTCTCCGCTTGGCGTAGATGGCACCGCCGCCTGATCTGCCATGGTCTGTACGATGGCTACCAGTGTACGATCCTGGAGGAAAATCTCGCTGAATCTCTTCGACGTGGGAGTCCTCGGGCTCGTCAGGGCGGACTAGATCGGTAGGGCCTCCCCAACGACTGTTAGAGGGGCGGGAGGTTGTGTAGGACGGCTCGTAATAATCAGCGGTTTGAGCTCGTCTGTGCTGGGTGTTGTATGGGTGGTTCTCGTAGTAGGAGGCCATGGCGCAAGAGTATCGCTATTGCAATCCGGAGCCAATGAATTGTTGAAGGTCTTACTTCCGTCCCGATGGTGGAACTTCTGGAAGCTCAGGAGGACTGCGAGGGACGGGAAAAAAGCATATACTATTTCCTAAGAGCGGAATTTCTGGGAAGTAACATATATTTTTCAATGAAAATATATGTAGTTACATGAATAACTGAAGATAAATGAAAATAAATAAAATCAACTGATCTTGAAAATAACACAAAAAAGCGGGACGAGAAAGAGGAAGAAGCCGATGGTGGGGGTTCCTGCGATAAATATAACCCGGTGGCTGTTCTTGTTGGTCAGGCCAGGGTGCAACCGTCTGCAACGGGCTGCACTGTGACGCAAAGCGCCCCGTCTTGCTGTCCTCACCTTGGCAATCAAGGAAAGGCTGTGGCGACGCAACGGCAGCAAGGCTGGAGGGGTGAGGATTGGGCGACAAAGGATCTTTGTTATTGCCATTGCTGTAAAAGCAGTAGCAGCTGCAGAATACAAGGCAAAAGGCAGGGATTCTGCGATGACCTGCGATTATATCGTACTGCCTGGAGATGGCTATGATGGAGAAATGAAAAGTGTGTGGACTGGATGAGGATAGCCTCTCGAGCCTAGTCAACCCAGGCCAAGGCTGATTGCGCTGGGGCGCAAAGGCTGGTCGAGTTTTGTAGTGCCAGAACGTGCGATGAACGAGCAGACGGTGCACGGGGAGCGAGAGCGGAGGTATATTCGTATTTGGGTTGCATCCAGGAGAATCCCGTAGCAAGATCGCGCTGTCATGCTTCATCATTGCTACTGCGTAAGAGTTAATCGAGCGGGTTACAGCTGAACGGGGATTCTTGATCAAGGAGGGAAAATAGCTAAGGTATCAATGGATTGGGTGATTCGTCTATACCACCATGCAATGACGTCATGTGATGGGGTTGAGACTGCCCTAACCCTAGCTATTCAATCCGAGCTGGTCGGCATGCAATATACTGTACATACAGTCAGAGCTCGTCAACTGTGTGGCCTGGAGAACTACAAACATCCCACGTAGTGGACAGCGCATGCAGACAGCTAAATTCTTTGCCCCTTGAATTTAAGGTTCCCTGTTCCCGCACCGGTTCAGTGGTACCAGATCAAAAGTTTGGATAGACTCCAACCACTAATATACGATTTAGACAGATATGTTGTTATCCTAAATATACAGAAGGCAGCGTGGCGGGTTTCGAAAAGAAAGGAATGAGAAGGTACTCAATATGTACAGTACATCTATAAACTTTTTTACACAGCAAAAAGGAAATTAAAAACAAAAATACCAAATATGTTAATAACTTGAATACAGTGGATGAATACAGTGGACTGGCCAGCCAGAGAAAACAAGCCATGACCAAACTATCTGTGAAGTTGGAGACGAAAACAAATGGGAACAACCCATGTTCTCTAAAGGCCATCATCATACTTTACAATTACAACAGCAACGAGAGCAACAATCAGAACAACAGTAGTGACAAAAAAGTATGAAAGAAAGGAAAGAAACAAAACCGACAAGCAGAAAACTCAAGCAAATGAATAAAAGATGAGATGCAACAGAGGATGAGTAAGGTGAAAAGACATTACATTATCCATTACACGGCTATACAATATGGGGAAAGGAAAGAGTAATAGATAGAAAAGAAACAAATAAAGCAAGTCATCATCAATAAAAAAAATAAATCAGGACACAGGAGGGGGGAGGAGGGACAGATGAAGCACAGAATAACCCAGATATTCACAACACTCAACAGCACACATTTTCAGATGTAGAGCCACTTTTATAGTCCTCGCGTGCTTCCATTTGTAGTTTCTAATGTGTGTGTGTGTGTGTGTGTTGATCGAAAGCAAATGATACCGCACGCAAAAGAGATGGTAAAGAGTTACGAGCGTCGAATCATCTACCACATTGAAACCGCATTGCACAGAGTTAGTTTTTCACGGATGAAAGAAATCAAAAGTGAGACGAGAAGTGAGAAGGATTCAGGTAACCCTTTTCTCGACCGTTGTCCTATATATGTAGCTCGCCTGTCGAAAATCTTTCACACTCACAATGCAAATTTACTTGCTGGGTTCTTCACAGCCTTTGACTTTGTTTTATACATGGATTCGATTCTGATAACGCCTGCACTGGGAAATGGAAGAACAGAGAGAGGGAAATCAATGGTTGACACGAGGGGATACAGTGGTGGATGGGGAACGAAAACGAAAACAATAAGAAGGACATGAGAGAAACAAAAGGAAGAAACACTCTAACACCCAACCATTTCCCCTCACCCTCGTCGTTGCCATTCCAGCTGCGCTTTCCTATGCGGAAAATTGCTTCTATAGTATGGGATATCAAACAGAAAAAGTAGGAAAAAATGCCAGGAAAAAAAAAAAAAAGAACAGAAGCTGGCTCTATTGAATATCAAGCATGTCTTAGTACGTCTCCTTCATACATCATCGAGTGTAGCTGTCAATTTGTGATTTCTCCGCGGCAACTGCCAGAGTATCCAGCCCTCTGGTAATAGCGTCAGTTCGTGAAGTCGCTTGCGTAGACTCGTTTATTGAAGTATATGACCGTCCTCCATAACTGTGACTAGTGGATTGGCTTAGGGTATCATCCGGTCTACCATCTGTACATGGGGAAGTTGGCGTTGCAAGACCGACGTAATCACCCCTGTCGCACTGGCTTTTGTTACTGCCACTCCATTCGGGTGGAGTGGTGTCATCGTCGCTCCTTTTCAGCGACGTTGTGCTCGATATCGACAGCCGATGTGTCCTTCGATGCTGTTTCATGTTGTCTTTTCGAGTGAATGCCTTGTTGCAAACTGGGCAGTGGACGCTCTTCTCGCCCGTGTGCTTCTTGCCGTGCCGGGCAGCGTGCCCGGATGTGGTGAAAGTTGCGGTGCAAGAATGCGAGACGGCGTAAGGACACGGGTACTTATTCTTCTTGCTGACTTTCGCTGCTCGCGTGTCCCCCGATGCACTAAGCGGAGTTGGTGGTGAGGGAGGGTCTCCAGGCTGGATCTCGCTGTGTGTAATCCTCCCAATCGACAGCTTTTCAATCGGAAAGTACTGCGAGTTACGACAGCTTGTGGGAGTATATGTGCCAGCAACCTGGGTTGTTGGAACCTGATGATTGTAGTAGATGGAATGCTCTGGGGGCTGGCTGAGCCCGCTGTAATGGTGCATGCCTGGATCTATACGATAAATGCCAGGAGATAAGGGGGGCAGAATGACCCGGTCTGCTCGTGTATTTTGATGATGTCCACCTTGTGAGGGCCATTGACGAACCTGCTGATGGGTATATGTCACTGTCTGTGGTCGGCATTTTGCGTTTTTAATGGGTCGAACAGCAAAAGAGGGGTTGTCGTCATTGTTCAAAATAGATATAATGCCAGACTTCCGAGTGTCCATATCTTGGACTTCTTGGCCTTGTTTTTTGTAAGGTAGAGAGTCTCTTGAATATAAAACAGCTATGCTATTCAGTCAAGGACAAGGTGTCTATATCGATATATTAGAAACCCATAACAGGCACAACAGTATGGTAGGAAAAACCCACCTAAAAAGTAAAAAGAGCACTCCAAAGTACTCTTTATATAAAGTCGGTATGAGTCCTTGCTTTGTATAACTGGTTCCGAGGGCGGTTGAAGTACAGAGCTTGTCCGCCTGCAAGGCCGTATGGCACGGATTCTGGCTAGATATTAGGACCCGTGGGAGGAATGTTCTCTCTCCAGTAATTGACGAAATCTCCCGCCTGAAGGAGGGGATTATGTGGCGCAGACGGTTGAGTATGAAGGATATGTACAAATTAGATCCTGAAAAATGGGGAATTGAGGAACCAGGAGGATGATTGAAATGGCGTCGTTTCCCGAACGATATCACCAACCAGTAACGATAACGAACAATGTCAAGACAATCAAGGGATGGCGGAAAACGCGGAGGGGGTACAATCGTGGAGACAAAAATTGTAAACCAGGCCCGAGGGAGCTGCAACACAGATGACAGAGGGGGGTTCGTGCACACTCGGGTCAAACAGCAATCATGGAACAGAAAGATAGATCAATCAATCAATAGGAGCTATGCACAGGAAGAGACACAGCGGCAAAAGAACAGGTTGGGCTGCGAATGACTATTGTATATGCAGGCGCAACAGTCAATACTAAATATCACCAGCCAAAACGATCGTAATTTTAAAAAGTGATATTATCAAGCAATTATTTAGCAAGTATTATTATTTTTATTTTCAAAAACTAAAAATAAAAATAAAAATAAAACCAAGGAAGGAAATAAAAAAAATAAAAAGGCGAGCACTTGAAGGGAAACTAAGAGCTCATATAGGATCCAGAAATTATCGGAGACGTGGAAGGGGGGGCACGGATACATAGTCCGGGATGAAACGAGGAGCGTGGAAGATCCGAAGCCCGTCTTCAACAGGGCCACGGCCAGAATCAGTTGCAAGCAGCAGGGCGGATTAGCGTTTAGTGCTGGAGCAAAGTATAATCATAATAAGAAAAGCGCACCTAGAAACAAAAGAACCCTCCTCGACGTTCTATCGAGCTGGGTTTGCGCCAGGGGAAGATACCAGGAGGGCTTGCGGGCTAAAAGTTCTACTACTGCGTAAGCTTCACCCCAAGCTGATCATCAGAACGCGGGTCCAGCTATCCACCGGTCAATCAGTTTGCTCCCATTGACCGAGAAAGCGAGCCAAAAGGACAAAAATAACGTGAAGTGGCGCAAAGCCTCCAAGCTCTCCCCGCATTCCCATCGAAACGAGTCCTGGAGTCCAAACGGACGAGCCATAACCAAATCATGCATAAATAATAACAAATCCAAATACATCAGGGACGTAAGGGTTAAGAGAGCAATGGATGGCCCGGAATTGTGGTGATAGGCAAAGATAGATTTTTTGAACGTTTTTTTTCAAATTGACCGCATCCATGGTTCGAAAATTCTGTTATGGTTTGGAGGAATTTGAACCACGTCTACACACCGCGGCACAACCGCCATAACGTAATCTACCATCTTCTCAGGGCAAATCACCTACTTGGACACTTCAGAATCATAGGATTAGTTAAGAAAAAGGCAAAATGGCAACTTGCAAAGGCCTGAGGAATATGAAAAGTAAACAATAAGATTTCTAGCGAAAATTTACGCATACATAGTATATAATAAACATAGGCTAGCGTGTACTGTACAGAGCCGTCGTTCTGACGGGCTATGTTGAGGCGCTACCACTGCCGAAAACCCTTGCCCCTTCAGTCCAATATGTACAAGTATCCGTTGTTGTCAAACGCTCAATGCTCTCCAAAATGAGCACTGGAGGGGTCAGCGTGTTTAAGAACAGGGGGAAATAAGGGGGCAAAACATTCGAGCTATCATGAAAATATCGTCGTGAAGTGTAACCGGGCGACATTGTAGGTACTGGTAAGCTTAGGAGCCAGGCACATGGGAATTCATGGTTCATCTCCCAGGTCTGACCATCGACTCATCGAAATGGCAAGACAGGTTGATGCCAAAAGTGTCGCCAAAGTGTCGCCAAAACTGCCCCACCTCATGCAATCGCCGCGAGACAGAGTACTCCATAGGCCACTGAGCACAATAACCTTGACCAAGAAGAACACGCAGGGCTTCCCCGAAAACAGCCCAAGGCAACAACTACCGGCATGTCGAATAGTAAGGATGAATGCGCCAGCATTCCCAGCTCTAATCCATCGCCAGCCCCCATTGCCAAATGCAAACCCATGACTCCGAGGTTTAATTTTTGCTCTATGCAGATTTCATACATGCCGCCGAGTGGATATTATTCTATAACCCGCCAAGGGAAATACAGTAATAGATTTGCACACAACGTCCGTCATGGCTGGCGTCAAGAATCATTGAATGGCCTGATGAAGCTAGTTATTTTCTTTTCCTTCCAGCCGCAGTGGCTGTCTGATGGGCGTCACCAATGCAAATTTTCGACCGGTCCCTGAAAGGACACCACCAAGTTACGAAGGGCTCAGGCTCCAGACTGCCAGGGCAATACGGAACTCTCGTGCTGTATTTCCTCCATTCTGCTCCCAACTGGTGGTGTTCACAAATAGCAAATCCGCCATGCTAAAGTTCCCCAGGCTGGATATTCGTACTACGTGCTGATACCCCCCAGTTTGAAAGCACCATGCATGTGCCCGTGCTGCTCGTATTATTTGTGATTTTACATTTTTACTTTCACCCCTTATTATTTGTTATTCCCGCCCATCTGTTTGCCCTTGCATCACGCAACAGTAGTTTGAAATTCGGCTCGCCGCCACCGAGTCCCTAGTTTCTTATGAACCCGATTCGAAAAGATCCTTGAGCCTTAGCAGGTCCGCACCCTTTTAGGTTATCTTCCCTTCGAACCCTTCAAATGGGCGATCCCAAAGACCCTCAATCAATTATTTACAACCAGGGTCCAACTGTCTGCGTGTCAATTGTGAATTGCGATTGCCCCATACAGAACAGGTCGCTGGTTTTCTCAGCCCCGAGGATCTGGAGATTTGGGTTCTCCCCAATTGCATTACCATGACGATGAACAGACATACACCATCCAAGGTAGATTGGGTATGCGTTGTATCGTATCTAAAATTTAGGTAACCGTATCTCCGAATATTACGCCTAGAACTGTGTTAGAATGGCTGCTAGATTCGAATTTGTCCCAATCGTCCAAAGACTCCACAGGGCGTTGGCCTATCTTAGCCCTAAAGAAAATCACGACGAAAGGGTTCGGCGGAGCGAACCATGTTTTGTGGACCTGTAAGCGAAGCTCACCATGGATCCATTTTTGTCAACGAAAAAGGATTAACCGACGAGAACTTAACCTTTGACATGGAAGTGGCCGAGTCTCATCGTGAGAGCGACTGTTTTCGTGTCGGAGAAATCAAAACGCCAACAACTGAGCCACCACATGTCCGTCGAATACACATCTGAAACCACGATTCGGTGTGTTACAATTTTTAAACACCGGCTTGACGTGCGCAAGTCTCAAGAAAACCTGAAGCCGTGTACCTGTTACAAACAAGGGTCACACGTGCGATCTATGCAGGACAAAGAGTTAGGTATCTCTTATGTGGCGCCACCACTTCCCATGCTCCGTCATCTTTTCTCCTCTCCTGAGAATGTCCATGGAAGAAACCGAAAGAAGAAAAAAAAAAAATCGGTGCCTGCACGCCCACAAGCCCTCTGTTGCAAGCCATTTGTGGATCATGTGATTGTCGCCAATTCATTTATTTTCCTTTTGTGGCATACGCAGTAGACAATGAGTAGCCAACCTCGTTTTCACGCATTGAAATGCAACTGCGGTTCCGCTGCTTGCCACGCTTTTCTTCGGACATATGATCAGTCCATTTTCCTCCCCTCCCGAATATGCAGAGGCCTCGGGTATCGGGGTGTGGACGACTTGTGATTCGACACCAAGATCTCGTTTCCGAAAGGTTTCTTTTTTTTCTTTTCTTTATTGAATGCATGGGAGTAGCGTCCGAGAACACGCCCATGCCACGAGGAGCCCAAGCAATCAGCTTGGAATGCAAACAACGTGCGTTCCGCGACCATTGCCTGAAGCAAATATCCGTTCTGAACTGATAATGGGTTGCTTCATGCTTGCCTTTTCATTGTTGTCCACCGCCCGCTGCATCCAGCCACCCAAGCATTCAGCACTTCATCTACTCTGTACTTTCATTAACAATAGGAAATTTCTTGGTTGCGTGTTGAGCCGAAAATGTTGATCCGGTCCACTCTTTTCATCAATCCAAAGTTCTTAACTTACTATGTACACTACATACTATCTAAGGCGGGATCTTATGAGCCAAAGGCCGCTCTTACCAGCAAAGACGAAACTCGATCGTAATACTGTGGATAACATGTTGATTTTCAGAAAATATTAGACAGATTCTGCAACCTATTGTTATTGATAGTCAAACTACCTTGTTTTAGTGCAGTACCAAACCCATGCTAGTCTATACTTTATATAGCTATGGACGCAGTTCATTTCATCCATTTTCTCAATACAGTTAGAATAACATATGTGTACCTGATCATTGGCAACTGAATAGAGAGAATGAGCTGTGTAGAGAATGAGACTTGTCTTGTATCATCTTTGAGTCAAATCAACTCTATTTTGATGTTTCAATTACTTTGTTATCCAATACTGAATACCATCAGATTTCATCCAACGTCATCGATCATGCACATCAACCCTATTGTTGAAAAGAATTGTCCTAATCTTCCAGGGTCTCTCGAGCCTCTCCACATGATACACTACTGCACATAGCGCGTCCGTCTCAAGTGACAACGAATGGGGAGTAAACTGTGCAGATGTGCAGCATCACTGATACCCTCCTTGTGTTACATTCGGTCCAATAAATGCCCATGCCTCAAGCTCCACCATGACTAACAAATGGCAACAACCGATTCGACGAAGGCTCCGTATATAGAGTAACACGTGGGAGATAAAGAAAATGCCTGCAGAATCCTGGAATTAGGTGATTGCGAAATCTGCACGGCTCATGAAATCCCAAGAAAAGGAAATAGGAGCAGGAGAAAGAATAAAAAGCAAAGACAACAAAATCCTAACCAGTTGGCCAATCTGCGGGCCCTAAGTTGGACCAAGCAAACGCTAATAATAATAGGACGATAATGCATGGTCGCCGAGCCACAGGGTCCTCGACGTGGGGCTATCAACCGAACAGATGGAAAAAGCAAAAAAAAATTTACAAAAAAAGCGACAGATTTCAAGTTCGAATAGCCATCGTTCAATAATGTGAAGTGGCTCTTGAACCATCCGATGTCCTGACACTGATGTCAGATGGTACCATGAATATATCCTGGTGCAATAACGTTTATTTTTCTTTTCTCCACGCCGATAAAATAGATCACAATAATGATTCCAGAGCAAGCTCCGCGCGAAATTTTTGCTCTCCGCTATCTGGTTCCTTGGAAGCTGGGAAGCTGGATCTCGGATCTCTTCGCAGCAATTGGCACAGCTATCTCTTTGGATGCCTTGGCTTCAGTCCCGCAGAGTGTTAATATCTCTCCCCAGAGCAACATCTGCAACATCCCTCAAATAGTTTCATTTGAGGGAGTCATAAGTCTTTCCATCGTCACACCATTCTCATATTTAATTATCCTTCAGACTCGTACTAACAGATGTTGGAAAGGACACACGTGGTGCTGACTGACTCTTCATATCCACTCCAGAACCCATTACGACCCTCAAATCAGACCCTAAGTTCCCAAGAAAAACAATGTGGTCAATGGCGATCATTCTCCTCGCAAGTGTTACATTTCTTTCACTACCATGCCAAGCTTTAATGAAAAGATGAGAAGGTGAACCTTAAACTACTTAGTTTATTTGTTGGGTTGGTAATTGCACATCTTTAAAATCACCAACTTTTCCACCCTCATATCGTGGAGACTTGAAGGCCTGAAACAATCAAAAATTGTTTTGCTTCGCTTGGCTCCACAGTCCCAGCTCGTCCATACAAATCTAAGATAACTAACTATCTCAAGTTACCACATCTATATATATCAAGGCTTCGCTTTAGGCCTATGGGAATACCAAGCAAGTCAAAACTTAACTTCAGGCAGAGTAGATCTCTCCCATGAAAGGACCTTTTATGATGAAAGAAGGGCCTTAAATCCGAGATTCAGGGAGGGAGCTGAGATAAGACTCCAATCTCCGAGTAGTTCCGTGACCACACGTCGTCATTTTCATGCGGCCTCATTAATTGAAAATGCCCTACTACCACATGCATCTTAAACCCTTTTTCTACATTAATTAATATCGCCGGATGTTATATACTGTAGGTACATAGGTGACCTCACATTCACAACAAAACCTCAAGGCCAAACACGGCAGACTGGATTGATACCAGGTATCAAATGAGTATCAGAAGCTCCTGCTTGAAGGTAGTATTAAGCACTTTCAATTTTAATAAAGCTCCAGCGATGGTGCCTAAATTTTTCAAATACGAACCAGCTCTTGATTCCCTCGTCGACTGACCTAGATTTATTGTTTGAGATTTAATGTCCACTCGGATTATTGTCTGGGGTTTTTTTTTATATGTCCATTGACCAAAAGAAGCAGGTGCTTATCCCATCTATCTCAACATGATACCATCTGCAAGCGTAATGTTTTATAATGGTTGTATTGACGGGGTAAAAAATTATGAGGAATGAAGGGATAGGATACTGTTCACACGGTTCCCAAACCAGATTTGTTCTCCATTTCTATTTCTATTCCGCAATTTTCCAGAATCCCTTGGGTGTATTTCACAATCGGATCCGCATGGTTCATAACCCCCTGGTGATCAGGGATTTCCCTCACATTTCTGTTAAGCCTCTTCACGTTTAGATGATAAAAAAAGGACGTTCTGCTAGCAGGATTATTGATTGCCGAGGTCAGCCACGCAGCATAAAAGCTGGCACCAGCTGCCTGGAATCCATTTTTCCTTTGCTTCATCGCCATCGTGTTGAACATAGTGAATATATGGACTATCCTGAGATTGGAAGGTGTCACCCCTTTCGTTTTGGTGCAATCGGAACGCCCTGCCTACCCCTTGCGAAAACTCCGCCAATAGCTTTTGTCTATTTTGCCCCGGTTAGGTGCCGCTTCAGGTCCCTCTTTTCCGCAACCCCACACCTGGCATTCCCTGAAGCTGAATTTGTCTTGGGCAATTCTTGTCCAATGGAGAACTGGTGAACTGGTGATTGGCCAGTGGTCCGGACAGCCAGAAATCAAGAAGGAAAGACGCCAATTTTGCCACTCGCATTCATGAGGTGCCACGTCTTGTGGCAAGCATACTCCCAGAGGCGTCCACCGAACAAAGATACGAATCCTTGAGCCTCGACACAGCCAGCTGTGAAGATGCAGGAATGCAGCTGACCCACCCAAACTAGGAGTTCGATTTGGAAAATAAAGTTATTGCCCGTTAACCGGAAAAGTCACCAATTGGTGAGGGCAAAAGTCCCTATTGAACCAAAGACAGAAAGTTCCTTTTGCTTTTTGTAAGCAGCCATGAACTTTGTTGTGCATCCCGTCCACTTTGGGCATATCAATTCTCATGCTGAACACTTCCCGAACAAGATTTCCCCCCTCCTCAAAACATTTCCTTTTCTGAGCTCGCCGCTGCTGGATTATTCAGGATGCAGTGCCTAAAATTGATCTGTAGCGACTAAGGTCCCCTGACGCAGCAGAGTGGATCTAGATGACTGTCCAGAACTCGTGTTGCCACACACAACGAAGGAGACAAGGAGGTACAGAGTAGGCTAATTTGCAAACGGCCAAGAGTTGCCTAATCTCGATGGGGATAGTCAATACACTGCATTTCCTCCAAACTGAGCAGCACATTGAAGATATATATTAAACCGAAAACTTTTTCGCTAGGCTAAAAGGGACCATTGTTATTGGCTCAGTTTATTATATGTAAGTAGGCATGCTCTGTTCAACACCGTCTACAGAGGCATGGCAAAAGAGTCCTTGCACAGGCTTGAAACTTAAGAGTTATGGTAAGCATGCTACATAAAAGTTCGTAATTTAGGGGTTTCGAGTATTTAAGCTAGTATTGAGATTTCCATTTAAATTTCTAGTTTGTGGAAGAACTTGTTCCCAAGAATATATCGTGCCGTGGATGCCGTATATGTAAAATAGATCCTAGGATATGTGATTTTTTGATTGAGTAGCTGAAGGCCTCTCTGTACTCAGCACATGCTATATATAGTATGTCATGCCGCAGATGTCCTGGGGATTTTGCTGGCAAACTGTTTCCACAAACATCACATGATTCCGTGGTTATCTCCGCTATCACCGCAGGGACAGGGCACGGCGGCTGTGCGAGGAGCGTTGCTGACGAGCGTGACCCGATGATGAGGTTCCAAAAAAGTCACCCCGGCCAATAATACTTTGTGGAATAATCACCAATGATGTTTAAGGTGCAAGACGTTGAGTTTAGCATTTGCACTAAACTCAGAATGTGGCAACTACCGAACCGTTCCGAGGTTCTGCACCTTCTAGAAAAAGCCTAATCAACAGAAGGTTAGTCCCACGCTTGTTACCGGTGTTTGCATCCTCAGGGTCGCAGCCGTACATAGTGAACAAGCGCAGCAGCTGAACGGCGACTAGCGACTGCCATTGCTCATTAATGCAAATCAGATGGTCCAATCAGTCGTGGTTGGATTGTCCCAGCCGGATTCATCACAGGGCATTTCGTTAAGTTGAAACGACTCGGGATCTATATAGAGGATTTAAAACACCTGACTGTTACGTCTCAAGGTTGGAGTGGTTGAGTTGGTACAAGAATTATGTGCCTGAATAATTTCTCTTAAGGTGTACCGTAATTCCCATAAATTACAAGCATCCTCTGATATCTGTATTCTGCTCTTGTCCGATAACATCAAAGTGGTAAGTTAGATCGCTTCAAATAAACGCTTCAAGCCATTCTCGCAACTGGCAGTTTTATGTATGGCTTAGCCAAAGATGAGGAGGTGTATTGCTAGTCCGGTTGAGGTATGATATATAGGCGCGGTATGTAATAATTTATTACAACGTACGCTACGTATCGACACACCTCCTGTAGTTTTTCTAACAGTTTGACTTCAGCTTGACATTCAACAGCATGATCGAGACATAGTCGAACATTGTAAGTATCTTGGATGAAGAACCCCGAAGTAACAATGTGTGACGGCCGTTTCATCAACAGACTAAGCTGATAAGGGCGCATTCATGACTCTTCGGGGAAATAGCTGCAACACTTTGGACGCCGATTGTTGTTTTGGTCGCCGAAGGATAATTTCTCATTACGTCATTGGCTCCTCTTCTTTGATGCTTCCCGTCGGGAGCATAATTGGGATTTAATCAGATAATGCCTTAATTATCAAATTCTGAATTCTTGTTTCCATCAAAAGAGAGTCCCAAAAATTAAAGTCGAAGCAGGAGAATGTTCCAAGGACGCTAGTTCGTGTTTATTCAAGCCGGAAAGTTACGAACGCAAGCCCTTCCTCAACATTGACCGAATAGCACCGAAGGACGATCGCTCAAAGCAGACACTAATCCGCACAGTCAAAGACACAAGACGACATTTTGATGTTCAGAAACCTCGAAGCTGATCCCTTTGAACCGCCACTTCATGCACCAATCAAACAGCTCCAACATCTTTTCGGACATTTCTCAGGTGCGCCCAGCAACTCACTTCTTTTAGCATCCATTCATCACATTTTAAGCGCCTGCGTATGTTGCCAACAATGGACTAGTTGCCACGCAGCACATGGTTCGGCTGTTGGAGACCCTGCGCTAGCGCAGCTAAATTCTTACGCAGCTCAGGTTGGTGCAATTACGACCGTTGGAAGGCTCGCAGGGCAATCAGTCCGACAAGTAATGCCAAAACATGAAATGCACCAGCTTCCTCCTGCATCACGCTGCAGGAGAGGGAAGGTAGAAAATTACATCAGCTTTTCACCGCTAGTCAAAGTTCTCCATGTGTGACAACTCTATCTTGCATCGCGTTCATGAATACTTGATGGATTTGCGTGCCATCCGCTTCTCCACTTCTGGGGAATGTCCGCGGCGTCTCCGGAGTTTGGCTGAAGGTTAACGGCGATGATTCAATCAGGGGAACTCTGGTCGCATGCACCTAAGTCCACAATTCCCCATACTTATCATGGAAAAGGAAACTAGCGATAATAATGCCAACTGGTGCAAGAATGGGGAGCGAAACAGCTCCTTCTTGCTCTCCACGAGTTGCTGGCATTGAAGATCTGCGTTGCACGCCTCAAGGGTGAAGGGTGAGATGACCTGGTGCATTCGCTTAAGATCAGCGCCAAATCTAACCCGGAGAGGCAGGCACTTGCAAAGCCACGCATTGGGCAGATGAGACTAAAGGGCACGGCAGTTCGAGCGAAGGGATGTTTCGGTTGATGTGGAGAGCTCCCTTTTTCAGCCACACTGAACAGGCTAGAAGACGGTTGGACTAAGGAGCTTGAAGCTGCCTAGTTACATGCGCAGAACGAATCTTGTATTTCACATCTCCTGAACAGTGGCGGCTGAGGGGCGCAGAGAGACCTGTCCCCCAGATATATGCTGCTAAGGTCCAGGATTCATTGAACCCGACAGAGTTTTGAAACTATTGCTTCTCGAGTTTTCCAACGAATGGAAAAATTTATCAAAGTTTCTTCCTCGATGCTCGGATAAGCAACTTCGCCTACTAGATCGTTTCTGCTTTCGTTTCCTGTTTAAGAATCCCTGAACTATAATGTAAATTCCGGACTCCCGCTCCCACACCCTCGGACCCTTACGTCGGCCGATACTATCCGATCCTTTGTTCGGTATTCCTCAAAAATAAACCATATGTTCCCCTTCGTATTAGAATTGCATCATCCAGATATAAGCACAGTTTCGAGTCTAAGCGCAGGATCTGTTATCAATATTCACCAGGATCTTACCCTCCCTCCAGCCACAGCCAGACTGAATCGTATAATTTCCAGCGAATCGAGAACCAAGACGTATCAAACTCAGCGGTGTTCAATCCACATTTTTTTTTCTTTTTATGCTCCGCTTCAATCCCTTTTTACTTTACTCTTCTCTTCCAGTTTGGTGACAGACAGACTTGTGACGACATAATCATGTCCATGCACTGCACTGAGCACCGTTACATTGGCATCGCCTATCAAGCGCGAGTGGGTCAGGGTATAGAATGGTAGACAACAACCGACGGCAGATCGCTTGAACACAGGCAAATTATTATTTATTATTATAGAACAGACCGTTGATGCCGGTTTTAATTAATTCCATTCTAAAATCCGTAAATTCACCAGCCATCCTTTATTGGTCCAGAATCTTGCTTGATACGGCTAAACCTTCAAAATTGTCCCCTTTCCCTTTTTAGCCCTGCGAAATATCCCCCTGCTAGCTGACGTGACGATGGCTTGCATTCACGGTCGCAAACTTTTTCGAATCCCATGGCCGGGCCCCCCCCGAGAAGACGGTCAAATCTGGTGGATATGGGCAAGGTTCAGGGACATGGAAAATCATCCCTGAATAAATCTTTTTTTATATTATTATTTTATTTTATGTTTTATTTTTCTTCTTCTTCTCTATCTTTGGGGGGGGGGGGAACTCAATCAATCACCGAACCCTGTTGCATTCCTGGTCAATCAATATTAGACTAATCATGCAAGGGATGCAACAGGGTTTGCTCTGCTCACCCAACCTCGGCAGGCCGAGTTGATAGCCGAAGAGTTAACCGAATGGCGCTACATACGCTGTAGATTAGAGCTTATGCCGTATTCTGCGTACTTAGGGAGCCGATTGTGTGGCATTTAAATATGCATCCAGAGTGAAGACTCCTTAGAGGGAGAGTAAACGAAAAGGGACAATGAAGCACATATTACAGCCAGATTACTTGAATGGCCATGGAGTTACGGAGTAGTTATTGAACAAATCGCTATTTGCCCGGAGATGCTTTTCATTTTCTTGTCTTGGTGCATCAAGAATCGTTCCCCCCACCCACCCCCCCGAAAAAAAGGGCCTGGTAGACCCGGAGATTTAAGTAAAGCATGGGAGCGGAAGGGGAAGAAAGAAAGGGTAAAAAAAAAGAAACAAGAAAAAGGAAATAAGAACTAAGTTCGGATATAGACTTTGGCTTGTGCAAGGCAAGGCAAGGAGCGGGGAGGGCCAGCGGGACAGCTGACATACAGCTCGATATATGCATGCTTCGCTGATGGCTTCCTATCAGAGCAGCAGCAGCAGCAAAGCAAGCAAGCATTCTCGATTCCAGCATTTGGCTTCGCCCCTCTCACAATGGAAGGGCTGAGTAGAGGTACATGTACACATGGTAATCGGACTTGGAGGTGGGTGAGCCAGAGACTGAAACGGATTGTAATCCCGAAGTCTCCATTCATGAAACCCGTTGCGAAGGTCCAGACTTGCATTAATAATATCGATATTATTTGGAAAAATAGCGAGTGGATATGGCTTCATATGATCAATTGATGAAATGGCGCTCTATGGTGAAACAGGCTTGTTTCATTATTGTTTGGGCTCTTGAAAACACAATGAAGTTAAAATTTCCAGTTTGACTTTTGAACTGAAAGATGGTTCTCTCAATGGAGCTGCCTGGATTGTCAAGCTGGAGGAAAAAAGATGTATGCAACGTGTATGTCACATTTTCACGCCTGTTCACGAGTTCAGGTTGAGATTATCAAGAGAACCTTGCAGTGACCCAAGGCATTGAGATCTGTAACATGTTTTTAGAGAGATATATAAGACGAAAATTAAAAAAAGGCCCCCAAGAACAGGATTCTTCAGATAATCAACAACAATTCGTAAAAGAGACCCTCACTTCTTCCCAGTCGCATCAACCCATTGCTGATTACAACGAAAGGGTTGCACTGAACTTGATCAGCTTCAGTGGATCTTTAAAAAGCCCTAATATTAATGAACCTATTTACCTCTTCTCCCGCCGTTACATCAACCACCAACCGTCGCAGCTCCCCGTATTTTCATTTTTTTCCCATCAGAATAGAAACTAAAACCGAAGAAGAGGGTGGGAGGGTTCGCCAAAAAGCCCCAGCAAAAGAAATCAAGGGAGGACGGGGATAAAACGCAATGCCTCTCAACCCCCGTTTTCACCTTCAAAATATGTATAGCATAAAGGCATACGGAAGCTTTGAAGGGAGTATTGAGTAAAACACGTCCACATTACCCATGATAGAAATAACAAACTAAGAAAGAAGAAAGGGAAAACATGAGGAGAGGGTTAGAGGAAAAAGGGAGTTTATAGATATAGAGGAATACTATGAAAAAAAGGGCACAACATCGGGTTTTGTCAAAGGAGTAGTTTTTCAATTAGTACGGCGCTGTATTGAGAGAAGAGCGATGCAAAGATACTTCTTAATCATTTTGTTTGTGCCATTTAGCCAATAACAAGCGAAAGAGCGCAAGGGAAAGTGAGATTTGAGAAATACTTTTTTTAAATTGGAAGGAGGTGGTAGTGAATGCTTGAGTGATAACTCTATACGTAGAAAACTGACTGATACTGATTGCTAGGCCATGGTGGGTAAAAAATGGAAGAAAAACAAAAAATGAACTAGTTGTGGAAATAAGAGGTAAAGAGGTATCGCAGGCAAGATGAAAGGTTAAAAAAATGAAATGAATAAATATTAATGATACAGAGAAGTCAAAGAAAGAGGCAGAGAGTAGAAGAAAAGAAGTTTCAAAAATGAAAGAAACCGGCTCGGTGTTCAGTGGGTGGTGACGGGGTGGTAAGGCAAATGAGGATATAAGGAGAACAAAATATACGAAAAAATGATGATGAGAATGAAGTGAGGGCATACAATGAACGAACAAAGCCAGAGGGGTCAGGATGGCGGTTAGCAGACAGACATATCAGATGTTGTATCAAGCATACGGATCGATGGGACGGGATATCGGTGTGGATAGTTAAGATGAGGGATGGGATCAACAGTGTGCCAGCCGGATGTTGCGGTTAGATGGAACAAAAGGTGTTTTAAGGTCAGAAGAAACAGGAAAGTATGAGTTCAAGTTGGGCTGGATGAATATTGTTTGTCCACATGTTTCAAATCAATGGTTAACGCGTGCCCTTAAGATTCAACCAGCTCATATCTGTATTCGCGCTTTTCTCTGGTTTAGAGCTATCTGGTGTATTAGAAGATTCGGGTGCGTTCGATGGCCACAAGGTAACCGGGCGCTCCGCTCTTGCTTGATTCGCGAAAGGTGGCTGATACAAGCTACCAGAGTAGTTGCTACTGGCGACTCGCTCGTCCGCGAAATGATGTCCTCCTGTGGCAGACCAGCCTGAGTCGTCGTGTATATTTACTGGCATCCCAGATGAATATCTCTCATCCTCATAGTCGTCAGAGGCGATGCTAATGGAATCTCCACTGGAGATTTTTGCCTTCAATCCCTGTTGCATGACAATGGACTCGCCTAGTCTTGGTGCATGTTGGGTGCCTGGGCTGCCAGAGACAACACGATTGATAGGTTGGGGTTTGCCCAATTGGTTAATTTTTAAGGGTGCAACATCAGATGAAATCGTAGGCCAGTCACTATTCCTGTAGTCTGACTTTGTCATCTGTGAAGATGCCCCTGATGATCTAGCAGATGTGTCTCTAGCTAGGTTTGCCTCATTATCACCCTGGAAATATTTGCTCCATCCTTCGTCGGTACGTCGATCGCCTCGAGTAGAATCTTCATCGCCTGGAAGTGGTATCGAATTCTCGCCTGGAAGGTTAGCCGTATGGATTTGTCGAAGAGGACTTCGGCCGCCAGTTTCCTTTTCTAGAGCGCTTAGAGCCGGGCTGGGGCGCATGGGAATAGTAGTAGCTTTTGACGGTTTGTCATCAACTTGACCAGACATTATGGCCCAAGAATTTGTCGAGGGTACTGGCCCTCTTGCCATTGGCTCAACAGAGCGGGTTAGTGGCTCCATCCCTTGGTCCTGGAAGCTGAGTCGATCTTTATCCTCCTGATAGCCATTTCTGCCCCGGTTCATGTACCGATTTCGTCGTTTTCTCCAACCGATGAAAAGAAGGATAAGGATCAAGAGTGCGGCAACGCCCAGAATCGCTCCAAGGGTCGCGCCTACGATCGACAATGTCCGTCTATTCCCAACTCCAGGCACCAATTCAGGGGCACCAGTAGAAGATGGCGCAATGGATGAAGACGAAGATGGCAAAGCCGAAGCAGATGTGGGAATATTAGGAGTCGCGAGGAAATTAGTTTCGTCTCCAAGGAGCAATTGCTTCGCATCAACCCAACTATTTTTAGACTGGTCGAAAAGCCTCACTGGATAATCAGAATGGCGCCCGGTTATGACTACCAAACCATTCCCATCCTGGGCAAGGGAGAAATCATCGAGAGTCGAATTCGGGGCGTTTTTGCTATTGTATTTGGGGAAAGTTGCCAAAATCACATCGTCCCTTTTTTGTTTTTTTGGGCCGGTAGCACTGCCACCAATTTCCTCACCAGGGCCAGCAGCCACACCACCTGCGCGAAGTATCACGTATCGTGAAACAGAATTAGGAGACCTACTCACGTCAAAAACTTCGAGGACTCGGCTACCGTCTGCACCAAGTAGCATTGCGCATTGAACTTTGGACTTCTCTGGCAAAGGTTGAATTATGGGAACTCCGGTGTCTCGCCATCCTTCGGCTTTGTTGAAAGTATATGTTTTGGTATTAGAAGGGCCACCTCCAACCATAAATGCAGAGTCTTCACTCCAGGGTAACAGTAACGGATCCACTGCTGGGTCAACTGGGGCGTTAAATGACGCAACTACGTGTGGGGGAGCAGCAGGAATAAGGAATGTTTGCGTAGACGGGTTGATGTGTCCATTTTGGCTGCCAGCAAAGACTAAGAGTGAAGAGGAAGCGGTCAGGTAGCTAACGCCATGATGGATGCGATTTTTGATGTCCGTGTTACCCTGAAGATCCAATCGCTTCCATCTTTTTGTCCGCAGCGAATAGAGCTGAATGCCGCTGTAGTCAGGCGAATCGGATTTCCCTCCAATCACGTAAATACCTGGGTCATTCGGGTTACCATCCACACCTCCCAGTGTGCAGGCTGCGTCTGAGACAGGCACTTCCATACGAAGCCTCGACCATTCCCCACCGCGCTCCAGTGGGAGCGACATAAAGGCATCGGGCGTAAATACATAAAGAACGCCGTCATGGACGACGGAGCAGTGACCCCTGAGTTCAACAGGGGGCTGACTGAGCGACATCTTGGTGGATGAGAAGACGAGAGAGCTGAACGCCTCTCGACTGTGATAAGGGTATCCAAGCGGGGGTTTCGCGGGGGTTTATTCTCCAACGGGGTGTGACGATTAAGGCCTTGTGGAGATAGCCCAAGAAATATGACGCCGCTGTGCAAAACAGGACCACCTATCTCATAGTGCGATAAACCGATTCACAAAAAAAGTCGTAAGTCGTTGAGAGAATAATTTTGCCCGACGATGTTTCCCAACCCCAAGCCACAAAAACCATAGGAACAAAAACGCCGTCTCATGCACCAGATAACTGTGCCGACGAAGGAAACTGGCACGAGTCGATCCGAAAACGCAGCGGGGGTTCGCTCCTGAGTCGATAACTTCCAGGTCAACAGCGACAGCCCTTCATCCCAACCGCAAAGCAACAAATGATAGCTCAAACCGAGTCGAACCCAACCCAATGCGTCGGAATACTTATTTATTTAAATATATATATACTTATATATTTTCAAACCATTAACGAACCAACCAACCAACCAACCAACCAACACCACCAAACGACGATCGATCCACGGTGTCAATGGTACGTTGATGTCGAAAATGCTGGTCTAAAATCGAAATCCAGCTCTCGGCCAAGGGAGAGATACGAATTGAGAATGGCTCAAGGGAGATAGAAGCGGACGAGCGATGCCATAAAGTTTCTGGCGGGTGGAGTGAGGGAAAAGTGAAACAACAACGGTTGCAACAGGAGTATCCAGACTTAGGTATGTCTCTAACCAGCGAGAGGAGAAGCACAATGGAGAGAGCGAACTGATGCAACAGCACCGGGTGAGAGACTAAAGGAATGGGAGTGCCGTGAAAAGGCAAACAGACGCCGAGGATGGTTGACGTTGAAGAGGTGAGGTTGGGGACGAGGGAGCAAAGAGGGAGAGAGCGAGAAAGGAGATGTGGAAGGGGCAAGGAGCACCACCAGCAGCAGCAGCAGGAGCAGCGATGTTTGCTGAGTACGAGCCTAGCCTAGCGTACGGGACCGGTAAGGGGGGGAAATCTTGGACCAAACAAAACACGGGCTGGGCATTTTTGAAACAGCGGGCTGGTCGTGCGGGCTGTATTTCTCAGGTATTTTTAGCCAGGGGTTGGTAATGCTGGTGCTGCAGGCTGGGCCAACGTCTGGGAACGCGAAGTTTACCCCGGAGCCCAATCTACTTCCCTAGAGGAGGAGATGTCCTATACGGTATACGGTGTCCCTTTCACGAATTCACAAAATACTGGCACAGAAATCAAAGCCTGTCTGAAATCTAACACCCAGAGAGCAGAAGAGTGAGGGGTGGGCCAAGAAATTACAAGTCTCTGGGGGACCTAGCCAAGAGAACGGATCTGTTTAGCTCAGGGCGGTGCTTAGATTCGGTACCTGCGACAAGAGAAGATGGGGCAGTCTCACTAAGCTAATAGGTATCTGATACTTTGTCTGGCAGGGGTTCCGTCACAGATGCGTTTGGGCGCTGAGTATCTTGGTATTGTATTGTGGAAACAAAACCCGCCCCTACGGATTTCCATTCTCCTGTGCAATTTCCTTTGATCAAGTCCATCCGTAACAGCAGAGTTATTAAATACCTCGACTTGAAAATAAATAACGTATCTGGAAATATCTGGATGTGATTCATATGCATGCACAAATATGTTCAAAAGCCTCTGGTTTCTTCTGAAAACTGCCTGGGATGGAGAGGAGAAACATCGAATGCACGGATTTGGCTTGCATAAAATTGCCCGCAAAAAACCTTGGCATCCGTAATCCTGCGACGGAGTATTTATCCCGAAAAAAGTGGAAAAGCGTAGGGCGGAACGCCCACTTCCCTCTCGAAGCATCTTGATTTCTACTTCTTGAAAAAGAGAGAATGCGAGATCGTCAATAATCGGCAGCTCCAAGACGATTCAAAGCCCGACAAAAATCAATAATAAGTGAACCAGGCATCACAACAAGCCCAATATCGGAAAAATCAAAAATCATCAAAAATCAAAATCGTCCCGTTCCTGCCATCAGCGTGTGTCTATCGTTTGTCTATCGTATGCATTCCATCAACTGCAAACGGGTTACACCGTCACAAAACTAGGCGATTTCTTCATCTCTCCCTCCCGCCTGGAGAGAAAGTCCAGAAAAAAAAAAAAGATCTAATAAATTAATGTACGTCCTGCCGTTTTCTTTGTGCTTGTGTTTGTATCATCCCACCTGGGCAGGCCTGCCTGGGTACTAACCTTGAGTTTAACAGGCTTCTTGTTTTCCCTTTCTAACATACTGAACAGAACAAGAACCGCTATCATGGAGTCATCAAAAGGCCAAGAAGGAATATATATACATATATAAACAACTCAAGGTTTATATAATGGTTTATTTTTTGGCTGAGGATTTAATTTCACTTGCTTTTCCTTGCTTCTTGCATGGATTTTAGTCCCTTTGAATTACACATAATGACTCGAACTATGTGATGTGATGTCGTCATTCATTGAGCAGTGAGCTAGCTGAGGGCCTTCCTGGAAAATTTATCGGAATAACTTAAGGGAGCAAAAAATAGTAAATCCCAGATTCCAGAACATCCTCTATTATTGTATTGATTGACACGAAAAACAGCAGTCCCTTTCCTTTGCTATCTCTCTCCTTCTTCCTTTCCCCTTCTACCTCTACCAAACTGACCCCGAAACCTGAGGAGACCCAAGGTTGCTCAAAAGCGGATAGTATGCGTAGAAGAGGCAAGGCGCTAGTTGCACAGCATTGAAATTGTTTTCCGAACTGTTTTCAGCACAGAAGCACGGAGGTTCTGTGCGATCAAACTGCTTCCTTTTCTCGCACATGCGTCGAGGGAACCCGAATTTGAAGACAAAACCGGAACAAAGAGAAACCTGGAAGCGTACAGTGATGATGGGGTGGCAGTGGCGATTTCGACCGACGCTTCGCGGGGCCTGGCCCATATGAAGGAGCGATAATTATCGTCTTTCATTCATTATTGGCGATCGAATAAATAAACTTCATGAAATAAAACAAATAAAATACCTCTTTCTTTTTCTCTCCCCCAATTCGTTGCGGGAGATTGACGGCAGGAATCTTGAACAAGCTGAGTTCCCTCGCAAGGCTGGTGTCGAGCCAACCAGAAAATCCCACCAACCCCTGAGCCTTATTAGAAAACCAACTGGCAGTGGCCACTGACAGGTAAAAGGCAGCAGGCGAGTCTGGTGAAAGAAATGGTCCTGAGACTAGCCTTGGTCGAGAAAAAAAAATTGCTCAGAATGGTTGGTCCAGTGTGTATCTTTTACGCATCCGCCTTGCCATGAATAGCCAACGTGCTGGTGTTTGTCCCCACGCAGAGTGCCAGGGATTGGATCGCTATGCAAGAATTGAGTTTCTCCAAGACATAAAAACACTCTCATGATATTTTTTTTGCATCAAGAGCAAGTTAGATATTGATTGTTCTACAATCGATAGAAACCTAACAAGACATGAAGAGGGACATGGCTAACATAGCATTTTCACTTGGAAAATGCGTGAACATATCGCTAATATACTTACTTGCCTGGATAACCCATGCTGTGGCTCCTCAGATGGATGACCCCCGGCCCGAATGTCAAAAATACTAGTAAAAAGGGAAGTCTCCCAAAAAAACACATCCAATGCACAACCCAGCCTGGCACTACCACTGCGTACATATGTCCTCCTGTTCGTTCATAAAGATAAGCAAAATATCCAATTCCACGTTATGGAGTAGAGAGCTCACGGATGGGGGTTGTCATCGTCATCGCGCATTAGCATGTAAATGTCACTTTGATCGCCAGGCAAGAGCTAAACCTTCGCTGACAAGCCAGTCAGCCAATTTCTGTGCCTGAAAGACCCGCCGCCCACTGCGAGCCCCAAAGAGCCAACCTCATGATTCGCTTTTGGCGATTCGTTTGGTTGATTGGCTGGGTGTGGGTGGCGATGCTGCTGCTGCTGTTCAAATTTACGTCCGTCAATAGGCGCCCGTAGAGGGGGCGTGTTGTATTAGCCGATTGATCACGGGTGACGTCTCTGATTGCAGGTGTCATTGGCGTGGTTGTGGAAACGGTGGAGATTTGTTCCCCACAAATATCTTAAAGGATAGTTAAGCTTAGATTACGGCGGGACGTCTTTGTCATCGTTGTGGATTGGGTCATGGTTGAATAAGAGTAAGTTCAATTGTTTTGAATGACGAATTTTGATAGATGACAATTAGCTGATGTGAGTAATATTGGTTCTTCAAGTGCCTGGAATATTATTCTAGTAGCAAAATGATATAATGCCCTTCTTAAAACACCAATATAGCTAAATCACTGGCTTCAAACGCCGTGCTGTACTCTGATGTTACTGACCGCTAAGCAATTTGAACAATAGAAACAGTCATGTCCCTCCATCTGAGACACTCTCATTAATCCATCCTAACGACCGACATACATTCATGCCTCTCCCTTCCCCATATTGCTCGCCTGCTCCTTCTTCCATTGGTGTGCTCTCTGAAGAATTTGTGACAATTTGGCTGACGACTCGTCGTCCGCAGGGAACATGTAATCCATGTATTCTTCATAGCGATCATCATCCAGCTTGCGCCGCTTCTTGACCTTGCTGGGCATTTGCTTTTCGATCCTGGCGATGTCATCCGGCGACCCGTGTGTCTGCTCGAAGGATTTCCACGCATTGAGGAGAGCGACTCGCTATAAAGTGAGAAGAATGTTAGCTTCGGCATTATCTGACCCGTGGAGTCCACTAATGAAAAAAAAAGGATTTTTGAGAGAGTGAGGAGGAAAATATGAATAAACGTACCTCTTCTTTCATCTCCTTCTCTTTAAACACATTATGCGCGCGCTCAAAGACCTTTCGAGCACGGCGCTTAGCCTCTTCGCTAACAGGTCTCTCTTCCTCCTCCTCCTCTTCCTCATCCCCTTCAGGTATGTTAATTTCGAATCGTGCGTAATTGATCCAGACTTTGACGTGATCCGTTTTCTCGAGCAAGCGTTCGTACAACATCCTAGTTCTATTATACTCACCCTCGTACTCTTCAAAATCGATATATGACTTCCATAGAAGCTCAGGCATGTCTAGGACAGGCTGGGAAATGCCCAACTCGTATATAGCACGTGCTCGGTCAATATCATCTAATCCCCGCTCCAGTTCTGCAAATTTGATCCACGCTTGGCAGTTTGCAGGGTTCCATTTGATTTGCTTCTCAAATAATTTCCTACATCGAACAAACTCGAAAAGTTGTCGCTCGATGTCGATATAGCCCTTGAATAGCTTGTCTTTTGGACATGCACCAATCGCATGACCAAGGGTCTTTCTGGCCGTCTGAAGATCCATTTGTCGAATTTCAAACTGAGCCTTCATCAACCAGATCTTAGCAAACGTGAATTTCTTGTGAGGGATCAATTTTATGCATTCTTGGTAAATTTGGCGAGCGCGATCCATGTCCTTGGTTTCAAGTTCTTCCCAGAGAGCGTAAAATATCCATAGGTAGATATATCGACGCCAGTGTCGCTTCTCTTGCGAAGGAGGAATCTGTGCAATTGCCCGCTCATAGACATCCCGCACGCGGTCCACATCTCCAGAAGACTCCTCCAACCTGACAAAGTCAAACCAGATATCATAGTTTTTCGGGTTCTCCTTGACCTGTTCTTCGTATTGGACCCTCCGTTTTGAAAGGATGACATCCTCAACACCCTCCCGGTCACCGAACTGTTTCTCGAAGGTAGTGTAGGCTTTGTGTAGAGCAATAGATTTCGAACGCGGTAATCTGTCAAGCGCATATTTATATATTGCCCTGGCTCGTTCAAATTCCTTTAGCTTGGCTTCATATCGAGCATACGCAATAAAGAGCTTTTCATCCATGAAATCTTCACCAAGAGTCTCGATAGCAAGTCCATAGACCTCCCTCACCAAGTCACTTGTCCCATACTCTTCCTCAAACCGTGCCCATTTAATCCAATTTTTCGGCTCCGGGTGGACAACAGTAAAGCGCTCAAAAATAGCCCGCACCCGATCGAATTCGTTATATCGCTTCTCAAGCTTAATGTAAGCACCCCATGCGCCTTCATCCGGCTCCCA